CAAACAAATGGGTCATGATGGCACTGGATCGCTCAGCTTATATCCGCCTGCAGACTACATTGGGTGTGTTGTTTTTGCTATATTTTCCCCAAATGTTTGGACGATCAGTTCCAACATAAGGGAGTATAAATAGTTTTTCCGTTTCCGGTTTAAATGTTGAATTCTGCTAAAACTTGTACATGGTGCTGGGGGGGGGGTAAATAAATGAAACTCTTATCGTCCAATTTTAAAATAGCTATCATTTCAAGGAAAACTGTCGGACATAAAATTATATATCCTTATTTGAAATCAAACTTAAAACGCATACTTATTTATTAATAAACCAAATTTGATGCTTGTTGATAGAACCCTCACAATTCCACTTTAAGTTTTCATTCTGTTGCTGATGTATACTGTCAGAATAACATTGGTGTAAATTGTGAACTTAGCCACTGGATATACTTGTTTATTTAAATATTTGGATTATCGAGGACTTTCAGTACTTTGATTTACTCAAGTTGCATGCATTATAAAAACACAATCATATGACAAATGTAGACATCCACATGGCCAAATGCATTGCGCTTTTCGACGCGATTTAAATGTTTCTCACTGTACAAGTCTTTTAAACTAAGTCACCTCAGTGACAAATTTTGACTATGTAAATCATAAAACTCTTGAAGAGGACCACAATTAAGATCTTGCTACATGCCAAAATTAATATCTATGATCTATGCACTGTAGTTTCGAAGATATTAAGCATGTTGACAGCATGTATATAAATTGAACCACGTACAGGGTGAAGTCATTTTTAGCCCCCAAGGAATAAGATTATGTACCTTTTCTTGAAGATTTTCCGGGCAAATATTGCATGTCAAATACATGTATTTAAGTTATAGGAATAGTGTGTATTGGTTCTGACTGTAAGGCTGATATTTATTTTCTTGCAAGTCAATATAAACTATTGATACACTTGTTACTATATATAGTAACAAAATTGCCTATGATTTCAACTGATTATGAGTGTCATGTGACCTATTATGAGTTTGCGGCCCGGGGCCGAGAACTAGTTATCAGCCCGCAGAACATGTGCACGTGCACAAACTGAAACAATGACGTCATATTTTACGTAATCAAACAGTTAACTGTAAAAGTGAAAGTAGGTTGTCAGCACGAATCGCTTTATTTGTATTATGAGAGCTTAAGCGTATTTAGTACCACAGATATACATACACATTCAACTCCATGTTAGTACAAACACATTTTTGTTACTTTTGAAATTTGAAGAAATAATACGACAAATTCATTCCGAAAAAAATGAAAATAAAACTTGCTTCTAGATTCTACTGCTCAGTAAACATCTCTGTACAGAACAGTAGAGGAGTAGACAAGAATTTCAACGAAAGAACTTTTTTTTTTTTTTTAAATGCCACTATTACATCAACCAAGTGTATTAAAGACATTAATACACGTCAGAGTAGGGCCAGAAGGTGATAATCGGCCCTGAATGAATAATGGCCCTCGGGCTAAAGCCCTCGGGTCCATTATTCATTGTGCGGGCCGATTATCACCTTCCGGCCCTCTCCTGCCGTGTATTAACCTCTTATTGATACAGCTGGGATTGGGCCAATTTTGAGCCAATAAGCCAACTTTTGTAGAGGACCACAATGACTCTCCTTATTCTGGTCATAGTAGTTTAAGAAGGTGATAATCGGTCCGAAAAATAATGGCCCCCGAGGGCTTCAGTCCGAGGGCATTATTCATTTCAGGGCCGTTTAACACTTTCTAGTCGGTCTATGACGTGAATAATAAGAGGTTAATACACGGCAGGAGAGGGCCGGAAGGTGATAATCGGCCCGCAAAATGAATAATGGACCCGAGGGCTTTAGCCCGAGGGCCATTATTCATTCAGGGCCGATTATCACCTCCCGGCCCTACTCTGACGTGTATTAATGTCTTTAATACACTTGGTAGATTTAAAAGTAGCATTTAAAACAATACAACAACAAAGTTCTTTCGTTGAAATTCTTGTCTACTCTTCTACTGTTCTGTACAGAGATGTTTACTGTTTGTGTGTTCAAAGCAGTAGAATCTAGAAGCAAGTTTTATTTTCCTTATTTTTCCGAATGGATTTGTCGTATAATTTCTTCAAATTTCAATAGTAACAAAAATGTGTTTGTACTAAATACGCTTAAGCTCTCATAATAAAAATAAAGCAATTCGTGCTGACAACCTACTTTCACTTTTACACTTAACTGTTTGATGACGTAAAATATGACGTCATTGTTTCAGTTTGTGCACGTGCACATGTTCTGCGGGCTGATAACTAGTTCTCGGCCCCGGGCCGCAAACTCATAATAGGTCACGTGACACTCATAATCAGTTGAAATCATAGGCATTTTTGATACTATATATAGTAACAAGTGTATTAAACGTCTTTAATACACTTGATAGATCTGATAGAAGCATTTCTACAATTCCACTCGAATCAGAGGACGTGTTATTTTCTGATTGAAATGCAAATTTCCGTATTTTTTATTCTTTAAATTTCAATAAAACAATGTTTTTACAAATAATAATCTAAGCTAAAAACTTGCTAGCTGTTTGACACGTCAGTGTTTCAGTGTGTGCACGTACTCGTGTCCTGCGGGTCGATTATGATTAATAACTTTCAAGATTCAAGTACATTATGCATGTTATTGTGGTGGAGATTCAGGTTTTACACCAACATTGAAGACAAACTATTTCTTTTTCAATAAACACTTTATTTTTAATTTCAAACTTTTTATAAAACTTATTATTCTTATTTTAACTAAACATAACACACCTTATATATTCCAAAAACTGTAATGTTCGAATCTAACTAATGCTGTGAAAGGGCGTGTTTATATAGGCTAATTTACAGCCAAAAAGTTTCATTACAAGAAAAGCAAGAACAGTGAGAAAGTCGTGGCGTGGAGTATAATTTTCCCGCCTTTCTTATTTAAGGCGGGAAGTTATTATGTACAAAGACGAGGAGCAATAACATATCTATAGCTCATTCATTGATTTTAGCAAAAAAGTGAAAATCTATATTACAAGTTTAAATTAAACTAGAGGGTCTATATATTCAAAAACAAAAATAAAGAATTTGGCATAAATAAAAATAATCGTGTATTTCATGACAGTTATTTGCGGTCTAAGACTTTTATCACCATATTTCTACTGCGTTACTAACGCAATAAGGGATGTTCCTGCATATGTTGACCACTTTTTGGTAATTTCCTTGGATTGTCACGCCTCCAGATTCATGTTAATTTTCATGAAAATTTTGAATATGTATTTAAAAGTAAAATATTGTGAGGTGAGCAAATAAAGCAATTGTAAATCGGCCAGGCGTGCTGCTTTAAAGTCGGAAATAGGATTTACGGAACTGGATAGAAACTGGCAAATAAGGGATCTTCCGAATGTGAATTTATTTCGAAAATCATCGGGATTCCACTCCGCTCAAAATTAAGGGCAATTTCTTCTTCGTGTGTCTCTAGTAGATATAATCAAGAACAACCCGAGAACCCCATGTACATTTAAGAAACATGACACGTGCTTTCTCCCGTTCATCTTCAAATGAAGAGTGCTTCGGCAATGGCTACGGAAAATAAACAACATAAACTTTCTTTTACATGAAAGGTAGACCCTCTAGAGAAAATTACGGAAAATTCTCGAGGCTGACTTTTTTTAGTTTACAAAAATGCTTTATCACACACCCCTGCCGATTTTGTAACTCCGTAAATATGGTATTTCACGGCTGTGCATATATTTTGACGTGACGTCATTAGCGTACAAACATAGTGTAAAGACGCGCTAAATGAAAGCGTTATACTATGGCGCTTCAATGAAAAATGACTCTTATTTCACTTTAAACGGTCTTTATTTTGGGTATGTGATAAAAAGAATATTTAATTCGTGTAAGTTCATTACTGAATTTATTGCACTCGTTGAATAAAATAATATTATGCTTGCTAGAGCTAGAGGCTCGCATAATATAATTTTATTCAACTCGTGCAATAAATTCAGTATTGAGCTTGCACTAATTCAATAAACTCTATTTATTTTACATTCAGTCTCGGTTTGTTAAATCAAACTAGGCAAAAGTCCGTTTCCATTTTGATAAGGAGACTATGGTATACCTTGACATTAAAGGTAGGAGTCTGGATGTTGCACATGACACATGGTCCCATTATTGTGAACATTCGTGCCAAGTAACTTCAAAATCCCTTAAACAATACAAAAAAAATTGGACTGCATACACAATGCAGGCCTACCCCGTAAAAGACCATTTTAAGCTTTGACCTTTAATTTAAGTGTTGCCTTGACCTTGGAGATAAGGGTCAGGGTGTTGTGCATGACACATCCTCTTATTATTGTCAACTATTTTATGCAAAGTTATTTCAAAATCCCTTGATGGGTGAAAAAGTTATGCCCTGAAAACAAAATATACCCTATAACAGACTATGTTAATCTTTGACCTCCAATATTAACTGTGACTGACTTTTGAGGTAGGCGACTGGTTTTTGACACATCTCATTGTGAACATTTGTGCCAAGTATTTTCAAAATCCCTTCATGGATAAGAAAGTTATGAACCGGACATGACATATACCTTCAAATAGAGACATGACATATACCTTCAAATAGACAATGTTGACCTTTAATCACCAAGTGTGACCTTGACATTGGAGGTAGGGGAGGTTTTGCGCACGACACATGATCTTATTATAACAAACATTTGTGCCAAGTTATTACAAATTCCTTTGATAAATGACAAAGTTATGGACCGGACACGAAAATGAGACAGACAGAGAGACGGACAGAGCCTATTTCTATATCCCCCCTTTTTTCTTGGAAAAGGCGGGGGACAATTAAGTGACCACAACTGTGAGCCATCTAGGACCCCAGAGGCATGAATCATTTAACTTCCCCACAATGTGGTGCTACATGCTAAGTATCTAAGCCCTGTGCATTGTTGTAACAACAAACAAACAATTTGTACAATGAATAATAATTTATTAAAAATTAAATCAAATTGTTATCACAATATGCATGGACGGACTATCAAATAAAAAATAGTACCATAAACTGTGTAAATATCAAAAATTAAAACACATGATGTTATATCACTAACGCAACTCTTTTATTCATCATGATCACAGTATTTGGGGGAATGTGTGAAGTTATTTCAAATACAAAACAAATACATTTTAAAAAAAAATATATGAACATCATGTTATAAATCAGCAGTTTAACACAGTAATTTTCCAATCAAAACTTTCCTTTCATATGAAATTTTTTTCCATAATTATTTTCTGCATTTACAAAAGCCTACAGAAATGAGTCACTGGGTTGTGTAAATACAAACAAATTGTCCAGTAGTGACATTTTTTGTGAACAAAGTCTGAGTAACAACAAAAAGATGACATAAATTTAAAAAAAGGAGGACAATCCAATTTCTATTTCTTCTTCTTTTTCCCTTTTTTACCCTTCTTCCCTTTTTTGCCTTTCTTTCCTTTCCCTTTTCCACCCCCGCCGTCATCATCATCACCTTGAGCAGCCTTTGCACGTTTCTTTCCAAGAGGAGTTTTTGCATACCATGCCTGAAATATTAAAGACACAATTATGATTTTTATCCTATATTGTTTTTTTTTTGGATAAAATACTCAAATATGTTTATGAGATATTAATCACAATGTATCAAAATGAGTAAATCATAGATTTCTGATTCCCATTTTATACATTGAATGATATTAACAAAGTAGAATGGATAAAGATTTTATGATGTCATCATCGTCATAGTTACATCATATAAATAAGGGTAATTTGGTGCCATTTTGGTTGACAAGTTTCAATGCAAAAACTATAAAATAAACATTGGATAAAAATTACGTAGTTTGTTTCCAGTAAATAATGAACTTGTTTCAGTCTGGAAAAAAAAATCATGTTCTTTCACTTGTGCCTGTAATTTGATATTTTAGAAGGATATTTCTTTAATTATACAAAATACATTTAACATTCTTGCATATCAGCCTGGTTAGGCCATCTCCAGACAGACATTGCCATATAGACAGGCAGCAAGTGTAAGAATTTTATACCGTAGCTAGCATGCAAACTTGTAATTCAGAACTTGAGCAAAGATCACTTTTAAATAACACATCATTCATGGTCTGTGTGAATTACCTTAAAAGATTCCTCTTCTTCCTTATATATGGGATCGATGCGTGCAAGAGGAGCTATGAACTCTACTGCAGTCAAAGGACGTTTTGAAAGTTGTTGAATACGTCGGTCTGTGAGCACCTGTGTTATTGCAGTATGCATGTGTCCAGGTGTATAACCATCCGTCACCTTTGCCAGGGAGCTGACATCTAGTGAATTAGTGATCGCTCCACCATTCTTTATTGTTAGTCTTCTCCATAACACTGAATAATAATAGTAAATGTATTAAAAACAGAATTACTTACTCTCTGTTTGAATTAATTATGGTCATGACTTTTCATGTCAATTTCTTACAGAATCCAGTTTAAGGGGAGTGGTTGCCAAGTGGTAAAGGCGTCTGCCTCTCAACCAAGCGATTGTGGTTAAAATCAAGCCATACTAGGGTTAAAACCATGTTTCCTCATATCTAATCAGTACTGGCAAGGTTAAAAGTGTCATATGCATGGTAGACATTCAAATGCTTATGTAGCCAAATTTAAATTTTTCAAAATGAGCTCAAATTTAAACAAGTAAATGCATGTTCATAAGCTTATTATTGACTAAAAAATTTAAACCAAAATCTTGTCAGGATTGAAAACTCCTTCATTTTAATGTTTGAAAATAATGAATTTAAAATTTTCAAAGTTAATACACAAATGCTTTAGTTTTAGCCTTGAAAAAAGTGTAACAATTTAACTTATAGAGAGCCATAATACAGTCCCAATCTTTGTCAAAGTTATGGGCCTTCGATAGTGACCTCCAATAATGATCCCAAAGACATTTGCTAAGTTTCAATTGAAAAACTTCAGAAGTTTTGCACACTGGTTCTTCATGCAAAACTTATACAGGATATTTGTTAGTTCACAAAGGGTCATACTTCAATCAAAACTCATGCTACAGTTATGGGCCATTTAAGGTATTAGGACCCTAATGGGCACTATCAGGAACTAAAAAATTGACATCATAAGTCAGATGTATACCTTAAAGTACACCTGTATGCAAAATTTCATACAAAAGTTACCGTACGGAAATCAAGTTATGGCCACTTTTCTGAACTCAAGCTAGGATGTATGAGGGCCCTTTTTTAGAAAGTAAGAACCTTTTAAAATAATCTGCAATAACAATTCTAATGAAAAATGTTTTTCCCATTAATTTTGATAAACAAACAAATAGTACCATTCAGCTAACAATCCAAATAAGCAAACTTATGTTTTTATTTAAAATTTATGAAATCATGTATAAAAATGTTGCCCTAACCCCACCTATTTTTTACCAGATGTCTGACCATTTTTCTACTTAGGGAGCCTAATTTAAAAAATTCTTAAAATTTACCCAAATGAGTGCCTGATTTCAAAGTTTCCCTAAATTGTTAAAAAAGTATATTGGTTGATCTTGTAAAATATGAAATACTTTTACCGGTCTTGTTTTGATTATATTACACTTTGAAAATATCAGGTACCATATTTATTACTATATTTAGCATAATTTAGCCAATAAATACCAATATAAATTAAAAAATCAAAATTTTAAACACTTTTTTCTTTCCAAATGGGACATGAGAGATACATAAATAATGTTAAAGAAAAAAAGAAAAAAAAAAAAGTTGACCCTTCTGGGGATTGAAACCCATGGCCCTCATTTTCAATGTAGTTAAACAGTAGTTCTAGCCTATTTGAATACTCTTCAAAGCGGAGGTAGTGCATTAGGGTGCTAATACCTTAAGCTTAAATAACTTTTGTTTTAATAAATAACCTTTAAAGTTATAAAAATTAAAGTCCATAACTTACAGTGTCTGGAGGCATAGTCAGGACGTGGGATGAGGATAAGTCTTTGGTAACATCCTGTAAGCGGCTTCATCTCCGCATCAAATGGACAACGTGACGTTCCCACTAACAACAGCCTGTCATCTGATTTGATGGTTTTCAATGCCTTTGGTAATTCTTTTTTCAGTCGCTTTGGATCAGTCTGAAATATGAAGAAGAAAAAAAGAATTATAACAAAAATTATTTTATTTTCTTATTTTTTTTTTTTTAAATTGTATTAAAATAGGGGTGTCCTTTGATTGTTTATATTCAAATAAGAATTGCAGAGGATGTTAAAATTTCCATCCATTTCATCATGTACCTTATTATATGACAATGATCTATTTTGCAAAATTTCCGCCACACAAAAATACTTTAAGACTGGCATCAAGTTATCAGAATATTTCAAAGTGATATAACCATGCCTAACTACATGTACATATCTGTGCATAACATATGAGCCGCGTCACAACAAAACCAACGTAATGCATTTGCGACCAGCATGGATCCAGACCAGCCTGCGCATCTGCGCAGTCTGATCAGGATCCATGCTGTTCGCTATCAGTTTTGCTACTTGTAGCGAACAGCATGGATCCTGATCAGACTGCACCGATACGCAGGCTGGTCTGGATCCATGCTGGTCGCAAACGCACTATGTTGGTTTTATCATGGCGCTGCTCATATTAAGGTGGTACAATATAAGACAGTGACCTTGAACTGAAACCCTAGGTGTGTTTTGTTTGTTTGTTTGTTTTACCAGTCTTACAGTTAACTCTACTTGTTCAAACCTCTATGTTGACAATGATTTTACTAACTTTGAAAAAAAATCTCACAAAAAAGAAGATTTCTCATTAGATAATTTGGTGTAAACAAACATCTTCACCTTAGTGCAGTTACGGGCTAACTCCTATTTGGCAACAGGGTCTGACCTTATAAAGTCATTCTTTATGGTCAAACCTAGATCTCAGGTATTTAATTGGTCAAAACTGTCAAAGAATGTACACTAACCAATGACTGAGAACTGACAAACACACAAAAAGTTTTATTACTTAAAGGCTCAGTCATATACAAATACTAGTGTCCATTAAAAAGGTGTTTTTTCTTTATAAAGGTGTAATAGCCATCTGAAAGTGGTGTAAATTACAATACATGTAAACCAAAAAGGTTCATACTTCCTTGTGTTTTTTGTTGGTTTTTTATGGTTTGTGGTTGTTTTTTTGTGCGTGTGTGGGTTTTTCTTTGTTGTTTTTATTTTTTTTGGTGAAAGGTAAAAAGGCACAAAAATACATCAAATAGTATTCAAAAATTTGTATTCAAAGTTTTCTTCAAAAATTTGCAAGTGTGGAAAAGAAAATTATTGTCAGACATGTTAATATTTGTTATCCATATGATTCCTGAGTGTTCCACAATTAATCGAGCATAGCAGGAGAGGAATGTGTTTATTACTTTTTCCACTCGAATATAATAACATGTTAGAACATGGTGTGTGGTAGACAATTCTGTTTAATAAGACCAACAGAAGTTTCAAATTAACTGGAATCGATTGTGAAAAATTACTGCCACCCTTTTGGTTCCTTTGACGAATTTTTTTGCTTTCACGTTGTATTTTTGACAAATAACAAATGTTTTTTTGACTATCCTATGTAAATGTGACTGACCTGTGATTTTTTCGACATTTCAATTTACTGACATTATAAATTGCAAGACATGATCTATGGCTGATCCCATATTGTCCATGTGCGTGCTCATTCAATAAAAATATCTCTGTATATTATACAGAACACTCAACATAAAAAATTCATTAAGTAAGTTTTCATCAGTTAGAAAATAGCTGTAATTGCCACCCCCTTTTTTATTATTAATATAATATCTGTTTCAATAAGCAAATATGGATAAACTTACTGGATCTGTTTTAGGAATCTTTTTCTTGAACATCTTCTCGCAATCTCCGATGTAAAAAACTGATGGCTGAAGTGCTCTCCCAACCTGAAAAAAAAAACAATGAGCACTTTAATGTTTGAATCAGTTGCACTGAACTTCTCTTTAATCCAAATCAAGGCATATCTACTGCAAAATCATTTTTATTCGTAAAGCACTAATTTTCGTGGTTTTCAGGGATGAGTTAATCCACAAATGCAAAGTCTAACGAAATAAGTGCTATTTTGTCTGCTGTTGTCTGCTGTACGAATATTTTATAATGAGTACATTGCAATTTTGTTTGCAAAACCAGACAATCCACAAATTTAAGAACCCACAAAAATGACATTTTTGACAAAACCATGAAATTTCATGCCCTCCAAAGTTCATGGTATCATACTTGGTTAATGCTGTTTTTTGGTCATATCTGGGCACTCAAATTGCCGGCTTCCACGGATTACTTATCAGTAAGAACCACTGAATCTGAAGTGACTATGAATCCCACATGATTTTTGAATTAAAAGTGAGAGACAAATAATCAATAAGCTGAAAATCCTAGATCAGTTGTCAAAGAGAAATTTTGACTTGTCTGTGGATCAGACCAGCGACTTCTGGATTACAAATCCAATATTTTCACTACTGATCTAGTCTGTATTACACATACTGAGCATGGCAATGATAAATCATAAATAGAGGATATTAAATGGCCTTAAATACCATTTTTACTGAGTCATAAAATATCTGCATTGGTATGTGATAAATAAAATTATTGCACAAGAAAGCTTTTTTGATGAGATGTATCACTCAAGTTGATTTTGCAAAGTTTAATATATCTAATATTGCACAATATACAGGAGTGATTATTACAACCCACCAGAACACTCCATGATTTCCATTATATGAGCCGTGTCACGACAAAACCAACATAGTGCTTTTGCGACCACCATGGATCCAGACCAGCCTGCACATTCGTGCAGTCTGATCAGGATCCATGCTGTTCGCTATCAGTTTCTCTACTTGTAATAGGGTTTGTAAGCAAACAGCATGGATCCTGATCAGACTGCGCGGATGCACAGGCTGGTCTGGATCCATGCTGGTCGCAAACCCATTATGTTGGTTTTGTCATGGCACAGCTCATATTATTTAACTTCTGAAAAAAAAAAAAACTAGAAATGTGTCATCATGCCACGGATGCCCCCGCATGCAGCCAAAATTTCAGATGTTATAATATTTAGTTCCAAATTTGTTTGCACAAATTATTTTTTTCATTTGCAATTCAAAGCCTTAAAACTTTTCAATGTTAACACAAACCATTTTCATACAATGTTCAAGGCACTGAAATTATTCAGTGTTGACCTTTTGAAAATAGCATATTTCATATTTGTAGCCAAAATAATGGCTAAAAGTATGAGTGCTGAAACTGAAAGTTCAAAATTTTTCAAATATTCAAGAAAGATAAGTTTGTCCAAAATCATTGAACCACAACCAAAGTCAAACTTTAACTGCTTATTCCTAAGATGTATCTATATTATTTTCAAAGTGAAAGGGATATAACCATGACCAAATTTCAACCTGCCCATTCCTTTGACATATCCATATGTCAAATTTGAGTTGAATATGTAACACTGTTGGGTAGATAATAAAGAAACTGTAAATTTCATATTATTTTCAAGGTGAAAGGGCATTACTCTGCCAAAAATCATTGAACCATGACCAAATTTGAACTTGACCTGCGCATTCCAAAAACATATCCATATGTCAAATTTGAGTTGAATGTGTTGTACTGTTGGGGAGATAATAAACAGAAACTGAAAATTTCATATTATTTTCAAAGTGAAAGGGGCATAACTCTGCCAAAAATCACTGAACCACGACCAAATTTGAACTTAACCTGCGCATTCCTTTGATGTATCCATATGTCAAGTTTGAGTTGAATGTGTTGTACCGTTGGGGAGATAATGAACGGAAACTGAAAATTTCATATTATTTTCAAAGTGAAAGGGGCATAACTCTGCCAAAAATCATCGAACCATGACCAAATTCGAAGTTGACCTGTATTTTCCCATGACATATCCATATGTCAAATTTGAGTTGAATGTGTTGTACTGTTGGGGAGATAATGAACAGAAACTGAAAATTTCATATTATTTTCAAAGTAAAAGGGGCATAACTCTGCCAAAAATCATCGAACCATGACCAAATTCGAAGTTGACCTGTATTTTCCCATGACATATCCATATGTCAAATTTGAGTTGAATGTGTTGTACTGTTGGGGAGATAATGAACAGAAACTGAAAATTTCATATTATTTTCAAAGTAAAAGGGGCATAACTCTGCCAAAAATCATCGAACCATGACCAAATTCAAACTTGACCTGTATTTTCTCATGACATATCCATATGTCAAGTTTGAGTTGAATGTGTTGTATCGTTAGGGAGATAATGAACGGAAACTGAAAATTTCATATTATTTTAAAGTAAAAGGGGCATAACTCTGCCAAAAATCATCGAACCATGACCAAATTCGAACTTGACCTGTATTTTCTCATGACATATCCATATGTCAAATTTGAGTTGAATGTGTGCAACCGTTACTAAAATAATGAACGGAAACTGATGATGACGGAATGACAGAATGACGGAATGACGGAAGGACGGAATGACGGAATGACGGAAGGACGGAAGGACGGAACAGGGTAACACTATATGCCCCAGCCATTACATGGCGGGGGCATAAAAATATTAGCCCTTAACCCTTAGCCTGCTGAACGCAACAGATTTTAGCTATGGCACATTGCAGAAGTCTGCACTTACATGCCATCTGATCATAGTCTGTACTGTTTGCTATTCAATCAGTATATATTTTGAAATTTCCCCTTAAAATGATGAATGGTCCACAAAAAAATGATTCATACAAGGTGTAAGATAAGGAAAAATTGATACACATGTATGTTTTTCTTTAGTTGACAGTGATGACATTTTAATAAGAAAACTTATAGTTATTATACATAACAAGTTTTTTACATCATACCTTAAAGATGAGATGCATGAGCATTTTCAAACCATCCTTGCCTGGGTATTTTCCAGCTAAATTTGCTGGTGAAAGATCAAACAGATTTGCACCTGTTTCGTTACATATAGCATGCACAAGCATCTTTTTGCCCGTACCACGTGGCCCTGACAGCAAAATAGACTTTGTGAGAGGAGCTTGTTCATGAACTGCTGGTGACCCTGTAAAAAATTTCAAGAAAAAAATGTAAAACTACTCACTATATGTATATATATATTCAGGGGAAACTCAGCAGAGCCTCGTTACTGCCTTAAACAGTTTCACTCAAGCTAGAAATTTCCGTCTGTGATGACAGTCGGTGTTTGATTCTTTTACATATATAATTAATGGAAATCATACTGCGGAAAGTTTTAACGAAAACTGATATTTTCATGGGCACTTGTTTCTTACAGTAGCGTATGAATTTTTTTAGCTTCATTCATAATTGAAAAATGACGTCATCCTATGAACACAATTCATTCTAAAAATGCACGGGAATGACATAAACACTAGATAATCTTGTCTGATATGCAAGCATTTTTTATCTTCTCCATTATAACCGTTTTAGTCAATCGATAAATATGTACCTATGGCCAAAAAAATGCACAATATCTTTAACTTAAAGGCATCTAAGGGACATAGATTTTTGTGTAACTGTTTATTTAAAACCACAACTGTAAAGTTGAGATCATATGGTGATTTTTCCCCAACTACCAAAATTTAAAGGCATAAGATGCTTAAAAGTGCACTAATTAAGTGCAAACGAGTATCTCATGGAACACCCTATAAATTGCAATCTAGCTGGTATGCTTTCTTGCACTGAATAATTCAAAGCATCTGGTAGATTAAAGGTTAACTTGTACATATTAAAAATAAACAACTCAACAACAGAGATTTTTTTCTCTACAATACCTGAGGTCATTTAAAAGGTTTGTCTGAATTTCAAAATGAAAATTAACTTTAAAAGATTAAACAAATGAGCCATGTCACAACAAAACCAATGTTATACGTTTGCGACCAGCATGGATCCAGATCAGGATCCATGCTGTTCACTTACAAACACTATTACAAGTAGAGAAACTGATAGTGAACAGCATGGATCCTGATCAGACTGCGCAGATGTGCAGGCTGGTCTTGATCCATGCTGGTCGCAAACGCATTACGTTGGTTTTGTCGTGACGCGGCTCAAATCTAATTCTATGACACAAATTCTCACCTAGTGGTAAAATACCAAATTCAGTTACAAGTCTTCGAACGTCACTGAGTGATGGCATAGGTTCGATATTGGCTTGACGTAAGGTTGTGCCGAGGTAGCTATATTCACCTTCGAAGTCGGCCAATCTTATCTGGGGACTTCGCACAATAACTCCCTGCATGACCAGTTCCTCATACAGTGACTCAATAGTTCTGCAAAAACATAAAAAGAGGATATTTGTCTATTGCTATTCGTAAATATCTTGTTGTGTTGTGGTTTCTTCTTCCATTTCTTAGAAGGTTTAGAATGGTAACAAAAAATCTATAACTCATTCAGTTTAAAATAAAATGATATAACTTACATCTCACTGATATTTTCAAAACCTCATGAAAAAAAAAATGTGACAAGGATGCAAAGTACTTTTTTTATGTAACTTACGGCTAATGTACATAAAAATCTGATCACACAGAAGCAGTGAAAACAACAATATTTTTTTACAAAAGACTTCATTCCCATGACAACAGGAATGTTATGAAAGTTGAAGTCACAAGTTTTATTTCCAATCCTTATGTAACTATTGTAACACTCCCCTAGAATGAACACATCAGCTTGCTTATAAATATTGATGCATTAAAGTAAAATTTATACAACAAGGTAAAAACATATGTTTGTCTGTATGTCTGTTTGATTTTGGTTAAGTTTGCAATGTGCAAGGGAAATGAATGTAAGCCCAATAGTGAGTTACTTAGTGAGAGTGTCTCAAGTCTGTATCAACTTCTACACATCATCATTAATCAGTGGTGGTGGAGAATGAATCAAACAATATTTACAATGGTTTTGAACAACTGACAAGCATTAAATGATTTTCTTTCAGTAAAAGTGGCATGACTATATTTTTATAAAAACAACAATTTTTGATATAAAAAAGTATTTTTTTAAAATTAACTTTATTAATATACATTTCCTTTCAAAAATTCAAATTTGTTTTTCACATTCCTTTAATTTTTTGAACATTCCTTCCATCCCTTTATAGGTTAAATTCATCTGAATGGAATCATTATTGAAAAAACAAGTGGCATACTTTAAGCCCAGCCATTCCTGTCCCAGATATGTTACCAAACTGAAAAATATGGCACACTCCTCCTTAAGACAAAAAACAAACTGAAATGCAAACTTTGCCTACCTGTCAGGTGTCAGATCCTTTTCCTTCTTCTTTTTCTTTCCCTTCTTTCCGCTCTTCTTCTTTTTCTTCTTCTTTTTCCCAGACTTCTTTTTGCCTTTCTTTCCACCTTTTTCTCTATCGACAGCCTAAAAGATTTATTTACAATATCAAGAGAAGCCGCAGATCTACTTAAATGGTATGAAGCTATTTTTATATACTTATAAATGAAATGTTGAGAAATATTGATGAAATAAAATGCGTATTTCATTTTCCCTATTTTCACTGTAAAAAAAAAAATTTTCACTGCAGTGAAACATATTTTCTGTATTTTCATTGGTGTCTTGCCGGACTACTTTCTTCTAAGTTTAGCCAATACACAAAATTTAAGGAGGAATCTTTCAAATTGTAATATCAAAAAGAAAAATGTATATTTTAATAGAAAATTCAAGTTTTTTTCTATAAATACAGGATTTATTTTCAAGTTTTTTCTATCAAAACAGGATTTATTTTCATATTGTGGTATGAAAATTATCATATTTCATTTGTGGCTACCGCCACTCATGAAATATTTATTTTCATTCCACTCAATGAAAATAAATCCTGTTTTGATAGAAAAAACTTGAATATCCTCTATATCTTATGGTATTATGCTATATGATCTAATGGTATAAAACTATATCTAATGAAACATTTTTCTTAATTTTTTTTTACAACTAAATTATGTTGTTTCAATAATTTCACAAAAGAATTTGTAACATAGAATGTCTTTTGATATTCTAGCACATGAATATTGAATGTAAATGGAGTAAATTGTTCTGGACCAAAATAATATGCTGCTATTTTAAGCAAATTTTTTTTACCATTTAAAATTCAATTTTTTTTGAAGAAGAAGACAATTATTAAAAAATTTATCAAAATTTAATTTGAAAATCATATTTTTGTGCTATACTTAGCAAATGATCGGGGATTTTGTCATTAAATGTTATATACAGTCAAATGAATCTCAGAAAAATATTTCAGGTCTTGTCATGCCATGAAACCTTAAGTGATTCCCTTTCAAATATTATTACAAGCTTAAACAAATTTATATTATTATATATTTCTGAAAGTATAACAAAAAGTTGTCTGACAATTATTGTCAGTACTTACCGGTAACAGTAACAAGAGCACTGCATGCATTAAACAAGAGCACCGCTAGGCGGAGCATTATATGCCCGAAAGTGTTTTTTTTTAAGTAAGGATGAAGCATTTGTAAGAAATGGGAATTAGCTGTTCATCCTATAAAATTTTACAGATGTAGGTTGATTAATACTTAAGTTATTAATAATGACCTTAACCTTTGACCTTGTGACCCTAAAATCAATAGGGGTCTTCTACCTTATATGGACAATCATCCTAAGGAGTTTATATATTGTGGGCCAAATGGAACTTTAGTTATGCTCCGGAAACTGTTTTCGATTTTAAGGTGATAGTGACCTTGACCTTTGACCCCAAAATCAATAGGGGTCTTCTACCCAATATGGACAATCATCCTTTGAAGTTTGAATATTGTGGGCCAAATGGAACTTAAGTTATGCTTCGGAAGCTGTTTTCAGTATCAAGGTAATAGTGACCTTGACCTTTGACCTTGTGACCCCAAAATCAATAGGGGTCTTCAACCTAATATAGACAATCATCCTATGAAGTTTGAACATTGTGGGTCAAATGGAACTTAAGTTATGCTACAGAAACTGTTTTCAGTATCAAGGTAAAAGTGACCTTGACCTTTGACATTTTGACCCCAAAATCAATAGGGGTCTTCTACCCAATATGGACAATCATCCTATGAAGTTTGAACATTGTGGGTCAAATGGAACTTAAGTTATGCTACGGAAACTGTTTTCAGTATCAAGGTAATAGTGACCTTGACCTTTGACATTTTGACCCCAAAATCAATAGGGGTCTTCTACCCAATATGGACAATCATCCTATGAAGTTTGAACATTGTGGGTCAAATGGAACTTAAGTTATGCTCCGGAAACCAAATTGCTAACGGACAAATTGCCAACGGACGGAAACTGTTTTCAGTATCAAGGTAATAGTGACTTTGACCTTTTGACCCCAAAAACAATAGGGGTCTTCTACCCAATATGGACAATCATCCTATGAAGTTTGAACATTGTGGGTCAAATGGAACTTAAGTTATGCTCCGGAAACTGTTTTCAGTTTTAAGGTAATAGTGACCTTGACCTTTGACTTTTTGACCCCAAAATCAATAGGGATCTTCTACCCAATATGGACAATCATCCTATGAAGTTTGAACATTGTGGGCCAAATGGAACTTAAGTTATGCTCCGGAAACCAAATTGCTAACAGACAAATTGCTAACGGACGGAAACTGTTTTCAGTTTTAAGGTAATAGTGACCTTGACCCTTGACCTTTTGACCCCAAAATCAATAGGGGTCTTCTACCCAATATGGACAATCATCCTATGAAGTTTGAACATTGTGGGTCAAATGGAACTTAAGTTATACTCCGGAAACCAAATTGCTAACGGACAAATTGCTAACAGACGGAAACTGTTTTCAGTATCAAGGTAATAGTGACTTTGACCTTTTGACCCTAAAATCAATAGGGGTCTTCTACCCAATATGGACAATCATCCTATGAAGTTTGAACATTGTGGGTCAAATGGAACTTAAGTTATGCTCCGGAAACTGTTTTCAGTTTTAAGGTAATAGTGACCTTGACCTTTGACTTTTTGACCCCAAAATCAATAGGGATCTTCTACCCAATATGGACAATCATCCTATGAAGTTTGAACATTGTGGACCAAATGAAACTTAAGTTATGCTCCGGAAACCAAATTGCTAACAGACAAATTGCTAACGGACGGAAACTGTTTTCAGTTTTAAGGTAATAGTGACCTTGACCCTTGACCTTTTGGCCCCAAAATCAATAGGGGTCTTCTACCCAATATGGACAATCATCCTATGAAGTTTGAACATTGTGGGTCAAATGGAACTTAAGTTATGCTCCGGAAACTGTTTTCAGTTTTAAGGTAATAGTGACCTTGACCTTTAACCTTTTGACCCCAAAATCAATAGGGGTCTTCTACCCAATATGGACAATCATCCTATGAAGTTTGAACATTGTGGGCCAAATGGAACTTAAGTTATGCTCCGGAAACCAAATTGCTAACGGACAAATTGCTAACGGACGGAATCTGTTTTCAGTATCAAGGTAAAAGTGACCTTGACCTTTGACCTTTTGACCCAAAATCAATAGGGATCTTCTACCCAATATGGACAATCATCCTATGAAGTTTGAACATTGTGGGTCAAATGGAACTTAAATTATGCTCCGGAAACCAAATTGCTAACAGAGACGGACGGACGGACGGACGGACAGACGCCAGGGGGTATAACATAATATGCCCTTTCGGGCATATAAAAACTAGAGGATGCTTTTGTAAAAAAGCGCATGTCTCCCCCACTGCTGAGAATAACTGTGAATGGAAACAGGAATGGAAATGGAGATAAGATAATGTAAATACCCGGTAGTCACTTCAATGAAGGCTGTCTATGGATGGTTTCTATTGTAAAGGTTGTATGAGAAGATGTTGGTAAACTGTTTGTTTTTAACCAGGTATTCAATTTTGAAAATCCTGGTTATTCAATCAGCGTATGGCAGGCGGGCGTCAAACGAAATTGCTCAATAAGACCAATCATCCTATGAAGTTTGAGGGTTGTAGGTCTAAAGGAACTCTAGTTATCATCCGGAAAGGAGAAATTAACCAACGGTCGCTGTGACCTTGACCTTTGACCTACTGACCATTAAAACAATAGGGATCATTTGATTAATAAGACCAATCATCCTATGAAGTTTGAGGTCTGTAGGTCTAAAGGAACTCTAGTTATCATCCGGAAACGAGAAATTGACCCACGGTCAGTGTGACCTTGACCTTTGACCTACTGACCCCAAAAACAATAGGGATCATCAGCGCTATAAGACCAATCATCCTATGAAGTTTGAGGGCTGTAGGTCAAAAGGAACTCTAGTTATCATCCGGAAACGAGAAATTGACCAACGGTCACTGTGACCTTGACCTTTGAACTACTGACCCCAAAAACAATAGGGATCATCTGCTCAATAAGACCATTCATCCTATGAAGTTTGAGAGCTGTAGGTCAAAAGGAACTCTAGTTATTGTCCGGAAACAAAGAATGGACGGACGGACTGATGGACTGACGGACGGACAGGGCAAAAACAATATGTCTCCCCCCAGTTTGAGGGTTGTAGGTCAAAAGGAACTCTAGTTATCATCCGGAAATGAGAAATTGACCAACGGTCACTGTGACCTTGACCTTTGACCTACTGACCCCAAAAACAATAGGGATCATCTGCTCTATAAGACCAATCATCCTATGAAGTTTGAGGGCTGTAGGTCAAAAGGAACTCTAGTTATCATCCGGAAACGAGAAATTGACCAACGGTCACTGTGACCTTGACCTTTGAACTACTGACCCCAAAAACAATAGGGATCATCTGCTCAATAAGACCAATCATCCTATGAAGTTTGAGGTCTGTAGGTCTAAAGGAACTCTAGTTATCATCCGGAAACGAGAAATTGACCAACGGTCACTGTGACCTTGACCTTTGAACTTCTGACCCCAAAAACAATAGGGATCATCTGCTCAATAAGACCATTCATCCTATGAAGTTTGAGAGCTGTAGGTCAAAAGGAACTCTAGTTATCGTCCGGAAACGAAGAATGGACGGACGGACTGACTGACGGACGGACGGACAGGGCAAAAACAATATGTCTCCCCCCGAGGTGGGGGAGACATAATTAATGCTCGTCTGTTACAAATTTTAAGTTAAAAAGAGGCATAACTCCAAAAATATTGCTTTCAGAATTATGCCATGTGAGAAGCAATTCACAAATATTTTGCATAAGGAAGTAACTGTGTATTTTAGAAAGTTCATACATATGGTAACCACCAAACTTACAGCTTTAAGATTTTTAAGCTCAGTTCTCATAAGCTCGTCAACCTGAACTCGCACTTCCGTCTCAACCTCCTTTCGTTTTTCTTCCTTGATCAGCTCAGAATCGTGTTTTTGAGGGAAATTCTCAGACTCGTTACGTGTCTGCCAAACACCTGCAATGAGATTATAATTTCTTTGTTACAGAAGATCCCGCAACAGAATCGTAAACAGAGAAGTAAGGTACCCAACATACTCTAAAGTAGTATTTATATACATGTAAACTTTTTTTTTAGTTTAACACTGACATTTTTAGACTGGTGGAGGAAGACCTCTAGTTGCCCTCTGTATGCAAGCACCTTTAAAAAAAAACATTAAGTAGACTAAATTGATTATGACTTTTACTCATCAATGACCTTGACCTTGAAGAATGTTCACAGGTGTTTTTGCTTTATTTGCAATTACCTATGTATTGTCTTCATATTCGTGCACAGCAATCCTTCGGATATTGAGACACTAATGAAAATTTAATTTACCTTAACCTTGACTTTAATTTGACCTTGACACTTAAGGTTAAAACTAGTGTATTTTGCTAGAATTGTTGGTAACTAAGTTGTTATTTATTTATGGATTTGATTCATATTTGGACAGAAGAACAATTATGAAAAAACCTGTATGTTGTATAATTCAAAATTATTATTGACCTTTGCCTATTTATACAAGTATATCAAGTTGAAAGGGGGTGTAACTGTACAAAAATGATTCTCAGGGTAATTTCCCCACTGAATGGAAGATCCCATTTCCAATATGAACAAAACATGAAGTTAGAAGTGAACATCTTCAACATCTTTAAATGAAATAGATCTTAAGGATACCCACCATTTGAGAAATAGATTCTAATGATGATAGTGATTTAAAAGAAATAAATAAATCAGACCTTGCAAACACTTACGGATACAAAGTGCAACATTCACAACTCATACACAAGTACATATTGTAATAAAATGAAAAAAATATTTGTGTATTGCAACAACATCCATGGACTAACAACATTAATGAACATTGTCATTTAAAAACTTTAAAGTCATCTTACTTTACTAATATGTAAAATCAGATATTGTCACAGAACCAACATTTTCATGTAATCAACATTTTGGACTAAGTGGAGAATTTTAATTTTTACAAATTTCTATTTTTTAATTTTGTTAAGTTTATATGGTACATTGTAACATAGTGAACATTTATAATGGAAATTCTTCAATTCGCTGAAAAAAGCAAAATTTAGTCCCCACAAATTTATTTTTGATTTTACAGTAGTCACACCCAAGTATCCACTTTAAACAGTGACTCAGATTCCATATATTTACGTCTACAACAAATGGCAGCCAAAGTAAGATTCTTATAATCTTTCATATAATGATTCTCATTACAAATGGTTTAGCCTTGAATTATCTTATATTTGTATAGTGTGTCTCCCTCACTCAGCCCCCTGTTGGTGACTCCCCTCACTACACCATTTCCCACATAATATTCATGCAGTGTATAAATTACACACCACAACACTAAGGACAACACTATTACACATCTTTATACTTTTGTACCTTTGTACACTTCTGTTGCTTCATTAACTGATGGCACAAATTTAGACTGGTTCATCCGCCAACCTTCTTCTTCCTCCTTTTTAGAGAGCATGTCATAAAAAAAGTATGAATTGAATTATCAAAATAAGAATAGCATTTTAGCATAGTGAATACCTTTGAATGACTCAGTTCCGTCATTTACAGATGGTACAAAGTTTGATGGTGCCATCTTCCATCCCTCCTCTTCTTCCTAAAAATAAGACAATTACATTTAAAACCATAATAACAGTCTGACATTTCAAACCATAATAACAGTCTGACATTTCAAACCATAATAACAGTCTGACATTTCAAACCATGAAACCAGTCTGACATTTCAAACCATTGAAACCAGTCTGACATTTCAAACCATATAATAACAGTCTGACATTTCCAACCATGAAACCAGTCTGACATTTCCAACCATGAAACCAGTCTGACATTTCCAACCACAAAACCAGTCTGACATTTCCAACCATGAAACCAGTCTGACATTTCAAACCATGATTCCAGTTTGAAATTTAAACCATGATTCCAATCTGACATTTCATTATTTAAATTTGAACAAAAGAACTTTGAGATATTGCAAGGCATATAAAAGAGTCTAATATTAGTCTTGATATAAATTGTAGTAATTAAATAACATTGTGTGGTGTAGTGCACGTGTAATACTATATAAATATTCATTGTACAATATAAACTACATCTTTAAAGGGTTTAAAGCTATATATCTTCTATTCTATCACTCCATGTGATTTTGTCACTATAGACAAAGAAAGAAAAAAAAAACGCTGTTTAATTGCCAATAAACACTGGTTAGGGACTACTTGTATATGCGGCTTTTATGTTTTCACCCTCGATTGTATAGTTTACAAAGGCTTTTAAAGCAACAATAAAAAGCATTTTTATTGATATTTTCAGTTTTAATAATGTTTCCTTTTCATACAATACCGAAATAATATCTCACATACAGTAACGCCACATATTTGATCCATATCAGTAAATAAATATTTTGACAAAACAGCGCCAATCCGTAAGCAGCGTTATGACGTCATCGTAAGTAAACAACTCATTCATAAACAAGCTGACATTATTTCATACATACAAGAATGATAAATGGGGCACTGATGTAAACACAATACGACGTAAGTTTTTATTGTTGAAAACTTGATAAAATAAGGTTTTTTCTTATTATTTATTTTGTTTAATAATTTCTATATCTTTGCAACAGTAGGGTGCGAAAATCGAACAGCGTTATACGAAAACCCAAAGTTATTTCCGCTTGAAAAAATAACATTTTGATCTTCCTTATTTTATTGTGATAGACTTGAAATAACATCGGCCTGAGAGGTGTATATCCGCTAATTAACACCGGTTTTGTCGTTTTGATGCGAAATAATTAACCACTCAGGCCTATGGCCTTCGTGGTCAATTCCTACGCATCAAAACTCCAAACCGGTGTTAAATAGCCAACATACACCTCTCAGGCCGATGTTATTTCTTAAATGAAACATTTTTATAAAATTTATCAACATATTGCATGCATAATCTTGATTCTGGAAAGAGTTGTTACATAGAATGTCTCTCTTATTTAATGCACACGAATATTATATGTGAACATAATAAAATGTTCTGGAACAAAACATTATTCTACTTTTTAAAGAAGTGTTATAACTGTTTAGCAATGACTTTGTGCATGTGCCATTCACTACTAGGGCAATTGTAACTACCATATTTATTACAAACAAACATTTTGGAAAAAAGTCGATTACTTAGTATTTACCTATCATAACGCAGGTTATAAAATTGATTAGCTAGCTTTATAATAAATATTGTTTCTCAAGATATTAAAGTGACGGTAAAACTGTTTTCCAATAATAAAGAAATAGCAATTATCAAAGTACTTAGGTAAGTAAAAATAAAGCAAATATCAGATTAAATAAGAGTTTGTCTGTATCATCGTAATGTTTTAGGGTTCTCTGTCTCAAAATGAAACATAGGAAGGAAAAGAAGTTGTATATAATCTCCATACTGTCATATATCCATATGTCAAGTTTCATAAAAATATATTCAGTGCTTTTTTAGTAGTTATCATGGAATCCAGATTTTGCAGACAGACGGAGACACAGAGGGCAAACATAAAGTCCTCTCCAATTAAACTTGTAGGGAACTAAAAATGTTCTAGAGATGAATTATTATATAAAAATCAAACATATTACATGAAACAACAATTTTACCATTCAGAGATACTGGTGATTAATTTTAATCCTAACCATGCTAAATAAGAATAATGGACTTGCCCCTTGGTCTTTGAATTTGGAGAATTTGGGACTGTTCATTGTTTATGTTAAGGGGTGTTTTATTACATTGAAACAGTAAGTACAGTTTAAAGCTAGCAGTATATATAGACTTCTCCGGCTGCACAAAAGTGACTTTCAGCCTGGCTCCACATTGGTGGAATATGCTAGCATTCTAAGAGTTAACCTTTAAAGGGACTCCACAGAGGTGCTTTTTAACAAAACTGGACTGAAAATCTTTTTTTCAAGATTTATGTACCATTTGAAGGTCTACCAGTGTTTTTTTCTTCTTATATAACTGATACCGGAAAACGGCACCAATAACATTTGTGCATACTTCTAGAGCATTTACTTCAATTCCTTCTTTTGAAATACATATTTTAATTTTGAAAAATGACCAAAAAATAAGGAGTATTTAAACACGTTTAAAATACCATTTTCATTTTAACTATGAGTATAAATTTCTTTAACCTTTTATTATTACATACATTATTTTTCAATTTTATGATTTTAAGGCTTTACAAACTAAGTTGAGTTCCTATAACATGCTGAATTTCTTAAAAAGATTTGTCCAGCTTCAGTTTTTGGAACTATCCATTATCAATACTAGGGATATCAAGATGAAAATTTAAGTCAACCAACAGTATAGAGCCTGGTCAGACTGCGCTGATGTGCTGACTGGCCTGGCTCTATACTAATGGAAAAAACTAATCACTTTAGTGTTCTAGAAAGTAAACAGTTAAATTACTGGTACAACATGATAGGAAATCTCACCGATAAGTCCTTTAATATTACAAAAAATAAAAAAAGTAAATAAATACAAATAATAAATCTGATAAAAAATCTGTATATACATGTACAACATTGTTTGCTCAGCAATTTATTTAAAAAGAAACAAAACTTTTTACAAGTTTTAAAATATTTAAAACATCAGGCAAAGAGAATATTCAAAATAAAGAACTCCTAAAAATATTTCTACCGATAAGAAATGTGAAATACAATGCATGAACGATTATTTTATTTTTACATTCTTGTCAAATGCACACTGATTCCTATAGGAAAAATTGTAAGGATTGTTCCGGTCCTATCGTAATAATAGTTTTTGTCCTATTGTAATAATTGTTCTGGTCCTATTGTAATAATTGTTAAGGTCCTATCATAATAATTGTTTGGTCCTATTGTAATAATTGTTTTGGTCCTATCATAATAATTGTTCCAGCCCTATCATAATAATTGTTTGGTCCTATTGTAATAATTGTTTTGGTCCTATCATAATAATTGTTCCAGCCCTATCATAATAATTGTTTGGTCCTATTGTAATAATTGTTTTGGTCCTATCATAATAATTGTTCCAGCCCTATCATAATAATTGTTTGGTCCTATCATAATAATTGTTCCAGCCCTATCATAATAATTGTTTGGTCCTATTGTAATAATTGTTCAATTCCTATCATAATAATTGTTCTGGTCCTATCAAAATAATTGTTCAGTCCTATCGTAGTAATTGTTTTGGTCCTAACATAATGATTGTTCTGGTCCTATCGTAATAATTGTTCTGGTCTTATTGTAATAATTAATCTGGTTCTATTGAAATAAGTATTCTAATCATATTAAAAAATGAAAATAAACCTCGTCATCGCCTCCTTTGCCCTTTCCTTTCTTTCCCTTCTTCCCCTTCTTATCTTTTTTGTCCTTCTTGTCCTTTTTCTTCTTTCCTTTCTTCTCTTTTTTGCCTTTCTTTCCATCTTCCTAATAAAAGAAGCAAAAATGTTTTCTTACTGCTTACTCAACTACATTTGAGAAATAGAATATATGTTATAAAGTTATCACTGAACTATAAGGTCATAGAGTTATCACTGAACTACAGCTTGAAAAGTTATCACTGAATTACAAGTTCATGAAGTTATCACTGAATTACAAGTTCATGAAGTTATCACTGAATTACAAGTTCATGAAGTTATGACTAAACCGCAAGTTCATGAAGTTATCACTGAACTACAAGTTCATACAGTTATCACTAAACTACAGCTTGATAAGTTATCACTGAATTACAAGTTCATGAAGTTATCACTAAACTACAATTCATGAAGTTATCACTGAACTACAAGTTCATACAGTTATCACTACAAGTTCATACAGTTATCACTAAACTACAAGTTGATACTGCTATCAATGAATTACAATTACATATAGCTATTACTGAACTGCCATTGATATAGTTATCACTAAACAACAAGTTGATACAGTTATCACTGAAGTAGAAGTAGATAATATTATAATTATCACTGAAGTAAAAATTGTGCTGATTATTACTCTAGGTTTTAATTTTTTGCATTGCTGGGGTAAAAATTAATATTGAAATTTGATAAATGACACAGAAATTATTTTTCACCCGTAACCTGCTGGAATAAAAAGTGATTCTAATCGCCTTTGCCACCAGTATAGTCAGATCAGCTTGGAATGTCTGAGAAGTCAGATAAGTCTAAAAAAAGCTCTAATACTGCTGGTAGCTCAATTTTTGTACTTGATATTGAAATCCCTTAAACTTTGAAAATACTCTTCTGAATTCAAGACATGGGTAAATATCAATTACACAATATACCAAAGATTAAGTGTTAAATAAAGAGTGGTCAATTAAAAATATATCAATGAATGGGATTATACAAAAAAAAAATCATTCCAAAAATTCCATGTCCTATGTACAGAAAAAATAATTCTGAGCTGTGCTTAAGAAAACAGTTTTACAGTGTAAACAGGTGCTTACAAAAAACAAAAATTATGGTACCACATAATTTCTGGGCTCTTATTAATGCATATACATATGATATGTTATTTTGGTTTTGGAGTGATATATGTGGATTTATTACCTGCTAAGATTTTATATCATCCGAGCCGTTAGGCGAGGATGATATTTTATCTTGGCAGGTAATATATCCACATATATCACTCCAAAACCAAAATAACAATTTTATAACCCTTCCCCTGCTGAGTTTAGACGATTTTTTAAAAAATCATTGCTGTTTCAAATGAAACGTCGAAATAAGATTCCCTTTAGGGTACCTCTTCATCACAACATGACGTCACATAAATACATGACGTATTTTTCCCGAACCTAACGAAAGTAAACAAAAGAAAAGTAGTAGTCTATTGAACGCACTTTTTTGTAATTAATATCAAGCTTTCACAAGGTCATATTTGTTTTCAATACTGATGGGAATATGTATCATTACTCTACTTTGGTAAATATTTATCATTTGACAGTTAAAAAGTGCTTGTAAATCGGAATTTACACCGCGTACAATCGAACCGTACGCGCATCACCTCAGCTCATGTTGTTTACAATGTTGGGTACCCAACGGGGAAATTTAGTGTGTATATTACCCGTCTGGCTCGGTTATATCAATTTCTTTCGAGTGATCAATATCCAATCAAAAAGGCGGAAAAATTCTGGAAGGGTATGAACATGTATATTGTACATGTTTGTTAAATTCTAACTTGCTGCATTTTTTTTTAACTTTTTTTATCACATGTAGTCATCATTGCATGTGGGTTCTAAGCAAAGCAAAAAAAAATTAAACCTTTATCCTTAAGCACAAAAATGCCAAATATTATACTTTATAACATTTACTTCCTAATTGTATAGTTTATAACTCCACTTTATAAAAGAAAAATCTTGAAAGATAAAAAACAAAACAAAAAAACCCTGCTGAGTGCCATATTATATGCTAGGCCAGACCCTTCATAACATTAATTTCTTATTGTACAATTAAACCTCAACTTAACAAAAAAATACCTTTAAAAAAAAAAAACTGAGGGTTTGGCAGATACACCAAGTGACTTGGCAGTTTGGCAGATACACCAAGTGAACTGAGGGTTTGGCAGATACACCAAGTGAACTGGCAGTTTGGCAGATTTAAAAACAAAGACACCACGTGAACTGGCAGTTTGGCATAGAAGTTAACACATCAGACAAGTATTTTATTGATCACTAGCCACGTGGGTTAAAAACCCACGTCAGAGCCAATCCTATGTTTCCTTGAGAAAGAAACTTTGCACACATTGCTCAGTATTGATTGGTTCCAGGAAAACAGATTAGAAAATTCATGTCTCTATAAGTTTATAGCTTTCTATACAATCAAACTAAAATAAATTCTGTATAAACAAAGGGAGCAAAGACTTATACAATATATATATTCACAAGTGATGTGAGCACATGACTTTCTCTTGTTTTTGATGGTGAAACAGAAATTTTTAAAAACTTGAACATCAGTTTAAAGTGCACCAAGAACAAAATGAATGACAACACATGATCTTATCACATGACCTGTCACATGATCAGATTACTACCTCGCTGTCGTCCCAGTCCGACCACGTACTGGTCGTAGTGTTTGTGAGTGAGGACACAGCTGATTGGTGACGTTTTAAGTATTGCTGCTTGCACAGAAATCAAAAATATATATATATTTTTTTTCTTATGAAAAATATATTACAAAAAGACTGTAGTTTTAAAGTGCAAATGTTATTTTTGTATCCCTGAAAATTAAATTGAAATTACACTGAAATAGTCAAAAATCAACAATACATGCAGAGCACTCTTAAATACAAACAAAGTATTTACTTCCTTACTGGAAACTGCAAGTCTTGAAGATTGATGAATGTTCATTGTTTATGAAATATATAACCACTAAATATGACAATATGTGTAGATTGATGTACATGTATCTTGAACCATAATGTATCAATGGAAAGTCCTAGATTAATTGCTAATTTAACATTAACTGGCTAGGTACATTTCCTTGCTCACCTCAATGATGATATATCAACTGATTAATATTAATAGATTTGCTAATTTGTCCTTTTATGGCTAGGAACAATCCATATTCACCTTATCTATGATAAACATGAAATTAACAAATTAGAAAGTCCTAGATTATTTGTTAATTTAAAATTAATTAGCACATTTAGGTTCGTTTCCCTACCTTAACTTTGATATATCAATTGATTAATATTAACAGATTTGCTAATTTGACATTATCTGTTTAGGAACCATCCTTGTTCACATAAACTATGATAAACATTAAATTGGAAAATAAGAGAGTCCTAGATTTTTGGCTAATTTGACATAATCTGGCTGGGAACAATCTATGTTCACCTTAACTATGATAAACATTAAATTAAAGATAGAAAGTCCTAGATTATTGGCTAATTTAAAATTACCTTTCCTGCAAGTTCCGCCTCAACTTCGGCAGGATCTTTCTGTTTAAATATAGTCGCTGACCCTCCATCATCTTCATCAGGGTATTCTGGGAATTTTCCGGTTGCATCTCTGTTATCAAAATAAAGTATTATTATCGATCATCTTATAAAATAAACTTCCAAAATCAGCTATAGTGAAATCATTGAAGAAACTCACTGAGGTCTAAATCTTAAAACCATAAAATTTTATTTTCTTTATAGATCACATGTGGGAGCATAAAACAGAAGGAATGACAAAAGATGATTAAGAAAAATACTCAAGAAATGAAGTGAAAATCTTTTTTCGGTAAATTTATGATAACTGGAAACAATAATCTGCCCACAATGATGATACTATGACCTAGAAACAGAGATAATTTGACTTCCTCAAAGTTTACATTTGATCGAAATATTGGACCATTATAGACCATATTTCACAATTCTGACGGGGAATAGTTACCTGCATTCAATAAACCATTGTCTAATCTGGTCCATCATCGTCTCCTTCATGTCGGGACCCTCTGTCTCTCTGATTTTATCCTTCATTGTTACAAGAGCCTGCTGGTATTCATTTTCATGCATTTTTTGTGTCAGGCGACGCTGCTGCTCTGTCTTAACTGCCAGTGCTTGAGGAGTGTTCTTCATACTAGGTGGTTGAGGGGGAGGAGCCTATTTGTAAGGAAGCAAAGTAAATAAATAAGTAAATAATGTAAACAGTTTGCTACCTTGTGTTTTTTAACTTTTTTAGCTGAATTTTGTGATTTTGTTGAATTTGTTTTAAATGTCAAAGAAAAGAAATATTGATTATCTAATCTCCAGATGAGATTCTGTGATAGTTTATGTTAAATTCATGTTTTGCATTGAAACATTTGATTACATCCTCATATCTGCAATTATTTGTAGTTTTCTATTTAAAACTGATTATTAGTATAGCAGTTTTTATGTTACAACTGAAGTGTGAAAATATGTAAGTGTCCTGCTTTCTTTAAAAGATACCACTGCAGTTTTGTGAAAAATGGGAAAAAACTGTTTCATAAAATAACAATGACAGACAATCAGAGGTTGTCTTTCTTTTCTAATCAGTATTCAACCTATCTGCCTTATTTTATTTGATACAGACAGAGAATTTGGTAAATTTTTACTATGACAAAGGACAAGAAGCTTTCAAGTGTTTCATGATACTGATTTTAAAGCTGCATGCCTCCTGATGAGCTATTTTTGAATATTCTGATTTCCTTTTGGTAATTTTCGTAGATCTTATGTGTCATTTGCATTGCATAATTTTTTTTTCTTTGTTCACTTAACAATATTTTACATTTTAATACATTCTTAAATAATTTATGAAAATTAGCCATATCTGGAGGCATGCTGCTTTAAAACCTCTTCAGAAAAAAGAAAAATGAGCCGTGTCACGACAAAACCAACATAATGGGTCTGCGGATGCGCAGGCTGGTCTGGATCCATGCTGGTCGCAAACGCACTATGTTGGTTTTGTCATGACACGGCTCAAATGGCTTACCATTCCAATAAAGATCATTTCTTCCTCTCTTTCTTTCCTAGTTTTTCTTCTTTGAAAAAATCCTTTCCAAACCTGTACAGGATAAATTAAAATCATACCTTATAAGTTTTCAAACTTAATAAAGGTTCTTTAAGACAAGCTGTATGTACATGTCATAGGTCAAGTAATCTTCCGACATGCTTCACACTATTCCCATGTTCTCAGTGCATTATTAGTTATTCTAACACGACCCGCATTTTTCCCTATTGAACATAGAAGAACCGAAAGTGTGTGTTATTATGCTATACAAGAGCTGTCTGTAGGACAGCAACGCTCGACTATTCTTAGTGCTTGATTGTAAAAAAAAATGCTTGATACAGTTACCTCCTCCTGTTTACAGGTTGGGGTAATGATGGTGAACAAGTGTGCAAAGTTTCAAAGCCATATGTCAATGGACTTTGAAAATATTTGAGGTATTTCAAAAACTTTAACGTAAATTCTAAGTCCAAAAAGGGGCATAATTCTGTCAAAATGATTGATACAGTTACCTCCTCCTGTTTACAGGTTGGGGTAATGATGGTAAACAAGTGTGCAAAGTTTCAAAGCCATATGTCAATGGACTTTGAAAATATTTAAACTATTACAAAAACTTTAACATAAGTGGTTACGCCGACGCTCGGTGACTGCAATAGCTCTACTTATTCTTATCGAATAGTCAAGCTAAAAATCACTGTTTGATGTTCTATATTTAGACATGTGACGTAATCATTATACTCGTGACGTAACCACTTAAAATGTGACGCGCTGACAATAAGTACGGACACAAATCAGGCGCAATTCAGCTAATTATCATGTACGGGCAGCATTTATTTTTTGTTGATGTCGTGTTAGAATCAAAATAATATATCCAAATCGGTGATTTTATTGCTTGATAACATCACTGTTTGTCGTTCGGATGTGCATCATTATATCACTCGGGCTACGCCCTCGTGATATAATTCCCCGCATCCGAACTCAAAACAGTGATGTTATTGAGCATTAAATCACAGTTTGGGATATATTATTTCTTAATTAAAGGATATATAGATGAAAAAGTAATGTTTACATGTCAAATGACTTCAGATGTGTCATCAAGAAACAAATCTATGTTATTATTAAAATAACATCTCTGCTCAATGATATTCAATATTTTTTATACTATGTACATTTGCATCATTCAAGTCTGCTTCCTGAAACTAACAAGCACTGGTGTCATAGGAAAGAAACATGGTTGTAACACCAAAAAGGATTCTAACCAATAGCTCCTTGGTTAAGAGGCAAAAACCATAACCACTAAGCTTCCCCTTTCCTTGTCTAAGGTTATATAATGTTGACAGGAGTTCAATAGTAAATTCCATCATTGCCAATGAAAAAGACTGACCCTTGTAAAGTATGTAGATTTAAATTATTACTTCAATTTTTAGTTTTATTCAAGTATATAACTAAATTTCATAACATTGTGTACACTAAACTGTGCAAAAAAATGAAACCTTCATATGTTTTATGCAAGTAATTTAACACAAATGAAACTTGATTAAAAGGACTGTGGTATACCTTCTGAATTCTAGTTGCAGCTACATCAGGGTCAAGTGTTGGAGCCCCTCGGGTCTGCGCCTGTCGCTCAATCTCCTCCTGTCTTCTGATCTCTCTCATAAACTTAGCTCTGAGACGACCTTGACGTGCCCTTTCATGTATCTGTACGAGACGTATAGCCTCCTCAAACGACATCTTAACCTCTTCTTTCTAAATGTAAATAAAACCTTTTCAATGACTATTCAAAGAAATTAAAAGATTTGGAGGGTAGAACAACACATCAAAACACAAGGTTGGTTTATATATTTTTCTAACTATATTCAAAGAAATCATTTAAATACCATAAAATTAATTTTTTTTAAATGACTAAGGTTATAAATTCTCAGATATCAAAATATTCTACATTGATTTAAACTAACTTGTTACTGTATAATCTTTGATTTCCATGCTTGATTAAAAAGTTAACATCCATTTAAATAATAGACAAATAGTTAATTTAAATAATAGAGAAATAATTGATTCATAATCTTATCACTTGGAGAATGGAATGGCAATAAAAACATCTGAATGTTTATTCCTGCTCTAAATACCCTGAAAAATAAATGAAATAAGCTTGTGTTTCTTTACAGAAATGAATCTTAACCAATTGACATACTAGATCTTTGTCCTGTGGTCCAACTTTGGTAAGAATTTGTCCAAGCAACTTTTCTCTTTCCTTCAAAGCTTCATTTCGTTCATTTATAAAGTATTTGGGAATTGGGATTTCAACATCGTTCTGAAATTACAAACAAACAATAAATGACTAAAAATATTTTATCAAAACATTTCTGAAACAATATATTCAAAAGCAAACATATGGTGGACATTAAACAAAAGATTCTCCCAGCAACTACATGTATAATAAATATGTTGATTGTTATAATCATAAATGAAGCATCAAGATTAAAGTCTTCTTATCAATAATGTATATCTACACAGCTTAGTATTTAAAATGAAGTAATCAGTCTCAAATATAAATATTTTTTTCTCATGGTTAAAGCAATAATGAAAATGTATTAAAGTAATCCATTTTTAAAGGTATATAAATAGAGTGATAGCCAAGGCACTGCATATTTAAGCCCTATTCCGGTCAAAACCATAATCCTCCCGTGTTTCCTAATATAACACCAGTACAGGTAAGTTCCAGGTAGTGGACACCAAACTGATATATAGAAGTTGCAAAACTTGTGTCTCTGTCAAGCTAAATAAATATGTTTGAACAGAACTTTTTACAAAATATATAAAATCTTTAATACTAAATTAACCGAAAGAAAACAGTAACTTTTGATTTTTTCAAAAACTCTTTAGTTAATCCTTACAGGCGTAAGTTTCAGATCAGAGAGCACATCATCAAAGTAATGGTACTCAGAGAATTCTAGATTGACCATCTCGTGTTTCAACTCCAGTATTCGTCCCATTGTCCCATCCAGCACATGTCTTAATACACGTCTTTTTTGAGGGTGTACAATCTGGTCATAGCACATCTCAAGGCGACGAAAAATCTGTATGTACTTAATGTACATTGTTGCTAAAAGCTGGAAAGCTGCCAAACGATCCTGTGGAAAGACAAATAATGACAGTGTATATTATGTTATAAGCAAGACTTGCGTAAAATAACTTGTGCTTTATGAAACTTCCTAATTACAGAGAGACTGGGCTATTATTTCAATAAAAATAGCAAGAAATAACTGTGTACATACTATGCAGGTTTTTGAAACCTCTGATCACCACTTTCAAAATTCCATTTTATTAAAAAGTTTCGCCCACTGTTTTCTCGTTAAGGGCAAAGCAAGTTTTTACTTGGTGACCATATGCTGCTATTCATGGAATGGCACTAAAGTGTCGCATTGAAGCTTCCATGATCACCTGTTATGAAAACATCTGCAGATGTGTCTTAATTCGAAATTTTGCAGTATATACTTTGTGCTTAAACCATCTATATTTGTACATTACATATGAGAACCAAAGAAAGACATATGAATGGAGGAGGCAATATCTAGGGCTGAGCGAGAAACTGGTCCATCTTTAATAAATTATATAGAAATAGAAGCAGATGAAAGACCAATTTTGCTCTCAACCCTTGACAACTAGGAAATACATTTATTATAACAACTTACCCTTTCTGGCTTGGGTGGCTCTGCTGGCATCTCTTGGACCAGAAGGTCCATGAGAGCAGACTGTGCCTCTGTCCATTGTTTGTTGTATGTACTGAAAAATAAAACAGATAAATATTTATAGTCTTTAACACTATAAACTGTCATGTTTGTTTTTAATGTAAACATTTCCAGGAATAAATGCATAGATTACTCTTGAAAAGAAACATTTACTTTCAGAAGATATATAATCAATTATTGTTTGGTGTTGTTGTTTTTTCCTGAAAACGTTTGTTATATTTTTAGGCTGAGCTTTAGTCTTAGATCTCTTGATCTAATGAAAATAGTACAATAGAATTTATTCAATCATTGCATTATCTATAAGTAAGATAAATACAGAAAAATTTCTCAGAGACAATTTGGTGGTCACCTACATGTTACGATGTAGCTTATTTTCTAGTTATCTGTGACTTGAATTTGATAGTTTGTTATTTCAGATTATTGAAGTCTTTCAATTAAAATGAAAATCTTTGTGTTATAGATAGCAAACACAATATTGCAGTAGGAAGCATTTAATGTGGTATACGTGTCTGTTGTATGTCTACCTTTTTTATTGAATGGGGTGGGGTTGTGTAGGAGGTGGAGGCTTTTGAGGGCTCTTGTAAGAAGCTGATATAAGCAATGGAGTGACAAATAAATTGAATAGTCTTTTTTGTGCCCAATCTTAATTTTAAAAGTTAAATCATACAATAGAATATTTTAATACATTGTATCTACTGGTGGCCATGATTCCCTGGACAGGGCTGAATTTAGGGCACCAGACGATACTGTTTCTTTTTGAGTAACTTGGCTCAAATTCTCAGTAGATTATGCAGTTATACGAAAATGCCAAAAATATAACAATAAAGGGGTGACATGAAACATCTAGTGCGGAAAAGAGGCTTATAACCAGTATCTTGAAGACATCTTAAATTTAAGCAACACTGATGCCAAAAATGGTCACAAGGCCAAAACTAAAAAGCTGTACTCCTTAATTAAACTTTCAAAACAAGAAACATCTGCTACACCCCCATTAAAGTATGAAAATAAATTTCACCATGATGATTTTTCAAAGGCTGCAGCTTTAAATAAGCAATTTTAGTCAGTCTTTAGCCTGACACTTCTCCCCTATCCCTTGTGTCCTTGTGTAAAATGAACCTTAAACATGATCAATCTGTCCCTTCTACGCCAGATATCCCAAAATGAGCAAAAGAAATGGAGAAACTTCTCAATAACCTAAACTCTCATAAGGCCTGTGGTCTAAATAAAATTAAACCAATTATTCTCAACACACTTTCCAAAGAGCTGTCTCCAATCATAGAAGTTATCTTCAAAAAGTGCATTGATGAGGGCTTATTGCCATCCCTATGGAAGTCTGCCATGTAGCCCCAATCTTCAAGAAAGGCAATAGGTCAGTCCCTGCCAATTATGGGCCAATATCCTTAACATATGTTTTGTGTAAGGTTATGGAACACATAGTTTCCTCTTCCATTTTTAAACACTTCACCAGCCATAACATCATTTACCACCTCCAACATGGTTTCAGGGAAAGAAGGTCATGTGTTACGCAACTTTCTATGTTGGTAGATAACCTAGTCACCTCAGTATATGAGAAGAAAAAACAAGTAGATCTGATTCTTTTAGATTTCAGTAAGGCTTTCGACAAAGTCAGTCATGAGAAAGTACTGCTGACAATATATGACTACGGTAACGGAATCAGAGGTCAAAGTCTAAAATGGGTAAAAGTTTTCTAGATAACAGGCTGTTGTGCTAAAAGGCAGCCCCAGCGGACATGTCTCTGACATCCTAGTTTTCCAGCCCCTGTTTTTAACATTTTTAAATATTTTTATCCTCTTTTAAACAACATTTTTTTAACTTACTTGCGATTTTTGACACATAGACATGTCTACGTCCCAACGAGGGGTTTGACAATAACAGGAGACTAATAAGTGTTAAAATCTGGCGCAATAGCTCAGTTGGTTTGACCACTGACTGTCAATCCTGGGTAACACTCTTGGGATTTTTCAGAGACACTTTCTATGTTTCCCCATGATTATGTTGATCATGTTTATTGTTTCCGTACTGTATTCAAAACTTTATCAGTTGTTTATTTGTGCCACAACTTCTAAATTTGTGGCTTATTCAACGTTCATACCACTATAACGTGTTCTTGAAACTTATATGACTATAAATTCGAAATATATAGATACTTACCTGTGCGACATTGTTGACTTATGTTATAGAAAAATACAATATTTCTTTGTTATCAAAATAATAGTGGCAGTCCCTACCCGGACGCCATATTGTAATCAATCTCGGTTGTCATGGGAATACCTACTATTTTCCCGCGAGAATGTACGTGAAGTAGAATCAGCGGAACTTCAGATATAGACTGGACTAGCAGGACCAAACACAAAATATGCAACGGATATATTTTGACGCAACGGAGAATATATCTACATCTACATCTACATCATACTGCTTAACAATCAATTCTGATTATGACTAGCAGGCGCGTTGTCAGGGAACTGTTAATAAAAGAATTTATTTATATGCAAATTAAAAGTTAAAAGAATAAAAGTTCTACAAGACTATTTATTTAAAAACATAGTGTGCAGTTTAGAATTTATAGAATGGGTCAAGCCTCTCAGTAAAGATGTTTAAACTGGGGCTAGACTGAACAGTTAGGGGAAGGCTATTCCAAAGACGTATGCTCCTAGGAAAGAAAGAATTTTGATGATATTGTGTCCTCGAGTAGGGTATCAGGTAGTTCAGATTTCTTGTTTGAGTAAGGTGTTGGTGGTCAACAAAAACAATATTGTTTTGGATTTTATACAAGTAGGTTACAGCACTGATGTTTCGACGCTGTTCAAGGGTTTGCCAATTAAGATCATTTATCATTTTGGAGACACTACTTGTATAGTCATAATCATTAAAAATGTATCTAGCAGCTGATCTTTGTACTTGCCCTATCTTATAAATTAAGTATTTCTGCCAAGGATGCCAAACTATGGAGCAATATTCAACCTGAGGTCTAACATAGGTCTTATATGCAGTTTCTTTTATCTTTTTATTTGGAGTTTTAACATTTCTTCTAATGAATCTGAGGGAGTTATTTGCTTTAGATGTGATGTTGTTTATATGTTTGGTCCATGAAAGGTCTTGACTAATAGTGACTCCTAAGTATTTCGCTACTTGAGTTGAGTTAAGTTGGATGTTATGGAGGGTATAAGGAAATATTACAGGGTTTCTTTTTCTTGTTATCCTGAGAACTTCACATTTGTCAGGGTTGAATTCCATGGACCAGTCTTTTCCCATTTTTCTAAAGCATATAGGTCATCTTGGAGGGTTTGGGCATCTTGTTTAGATCTGATGGTTAGGTAGACAACAGTATCATCTGCAAAGAGTCTAACCTTACCTTTGAAAAGCTTACTGTGCAACAAAATAGTTGTATTTCTGAAAGTCAATTTATAGATATATTTTCTTGTAGTTCTGTGTAGAAAAACAAGTTTGTACATGCAGTTTGTATAAAATAATTAGTAGATGTGTTTCAAAAGATCTCTGTTGCGCCTGCGGTGCGCCAAGAAAGTGTCCAATCTGCCTTATTATAAAAGTCTTTTAATTTTTTGCAACGATTTCTTTTAAAAAATCATAAACTTTTTCTTTACAGGCCAATTTAGGAGTGGAAATTTTCCGTTTTTCTTTTTCCGATAGCATGTTTAATTTAATTAATTGTCTATCAAAGAATTTATCAAGCAAATTCAAAGCCATTTCTATAATAATATATAAAAAGTTATAAGAGCTTATATGAGAAGAATTATAAAAATTAATTTGTTATAATTATTAAAGATCCTGTAATGTTTTGTAATTGAGATTGCATACCACTCTTCATTGAATTATATATGTATGTAATTCAAGCAAATTTGTCAATTTTTTCGAAACATGGAGGAATATGTAAAATATGTATTGCAAATATTTGTACATATTTAAGGTAATCATTAAATTATATGCATTCACTTTTTCTTATTGGAAAAAATTGACTTAGAATTATAGAAAACTAAATTCTAATTACCTCCTTTATGTAATGGAATATTAAATTCGGTAATATTCTTTATAAATAATGTTTTTTGAAACTTACAATATCAATAAATCTTAATTTGAGCATCATAATTTGTATATAAAACCATAAAAATAATGTGTTAAAGGATCTTTAAAGAAGATCTATGTTTTATTACAATGTAATAGGTTCAGTTTTATTTTTTTAAAAATGAATAAGGAGAAAGTAATTTTTCTGTTCTTATACAACAGAGAACGCTCAAAACTATGAAATATATAATTTGAAATTATTATATAGATAAATTATCGCATGCTTTGGAACTTTTTCTTTGTTCTTACTAACCCATTACACTCAGTACACTTTCAATGAGCATTTGAAAACTGTATTAATATATAGCAGTACATTTTTTTTTCATTGATTCATATAGCGGTTGAGTTTTTTTTGCACCATGTATATATCAGTGTAGTTTTTTTACTGAGGCTCCAATAGGGCAGCGGTAACAAACATTCACAGTTCAAAAAAGGTAATAATAATAATAAATAAGAAAGAAAATTAATGAATGATTTCTACTACCAAAAAAATGAAATGCAATAAAACAGTTATAGTATATGAAACTCGTTAGTTACACGGATATAACACTGGCTGGGGCGACATCTCGGGATGTTTCTGCAAAAAAAAAAGATTGTCTCGGTCGTATTTTTTTAGCAGAAACACCCCTTGATGTCGCCCCAGCCAGTGTTATAAACTCGTTTCATGAACTATAACTATTACGTTGAGTATACAAAATGAAAAACAAAATGCAAAGAATAAAGACCTAAAAATTGATAGTTAATACAAATTCTAGCCTGATTTGAACGAAATTTATTTTGTAATTCTTTTAAGTTTTTTGCCATTTTGCCTAATAAAAATTGGTATCTGGAAAAAGGATGTGAGGGAATTACCTTAGAATTTTGCACACAAGTTATTGATTCAGATCTACATCAATTTCCGAAAAAATAGTTCACGTCCCGTCATGTCTAAACATCACAGCGGAGTCTCTTATAAATATCAAATTATTCGATTACATATTGACATACAATAAATTAAAACGACAAGTCTCACAAATGTTTAACTTTTATATAAAAAAATTAGTTAGGACTGTTAACAATTACTTACTGTTAAACCAATCTCAACACTAATTTATACCATAAAAATATTTATTATTTTTTGATAAAGCAAGTAGTGATCGATCAATTCATGACTGATGGAAAATAACTAACCCCAAACATCTTCATTAATCAATAAGAACATAAAGGAGGAGGCTATTTACCATTATTAGATAATTGCTAAGTTATTTCATCATGTATTCCAAGTAATAAATAATCTAAATTCCTCATGCAAGAACCTTAAGCTTTGAAGTTTTTGGCTTTTCATTTCATAATCATTTATATCTCGTTTGGTATCTCATCTTTCGGTACCGAGGAGCCTGACTCCTTCTGTCTTCAATTGTTTCGGCCTGCAGCACTTTCTCAGTTTAAGACTGGAGAGATTAATAGAGGTAAGCAGTGAACTGGTAGATCGAGTATTTATATGTATTTTATACTGAGAATTTTCAGAAAACAACTATATCCTTAGAACAAATTTCTTTGTGAAAGCTAACAATACTCAAATAGTTTTATACTCTTCCCTATAGTTAAATTATTATAATATTATACATGCATATGTATGCTCTTTTTACCAATAGATGACTTTGAACGAAATTTTGCATGTTTATGCTAATGTAAATATCTCAATTTAAAAACATCTACATCTTTGACCAATTAAAGAAATATTATTGCATTGATTTGTAATGTAATGATCTAGCTTATAGCCCAAGGTTGAAAAAAACCTTAGTTATTGCATACCAACTTGCATACCAACTATACACACGAACAGAAATAGACCATACATTGTGTATATGCACAAATACTTGCAAAAAACGCAGAATCGCTAAACTATGGTAAAATAGTGGGAAGGAATGACACAACTAGGCACAATTGAAAACGTGTCATGCTCGAGCCTAGCTGGTTTTAATGATTCTATTTATATATGGGAGTGGAGGTTTGGTTACACGTATTCAAGAAGAACATATTTTGAACAAGTTGGTTATGTTCTGTAATTGAGTGTTAACGTCGTTGCCCCTATCTTCAGTTTGAGTCGTCTGTTGTGGTAATAATATATATAGAAACATTTTTAATATTATCTTTCATAAGAATCATATTTAACAAATAAAACAGCGCCGTTGAGCAATTCACAGATTGATAAACTATTGTTATCGGTGAAATATAATATAAATAGCAACTTCCTTTTATTTGTTGTTTCTACAGTTTCAAAGTTTAGATCTTAATACTTTTCATTTAAAAAAAATATTTTCTTTATGTTAATTATTTGGTTTATAAAACAACTTGTGAAACGCTGTCTTTTCAGGCCCCGTGTTTAATATAATATTTCTGTATAGCAAAACACTTTTTTCTTTTCATTATTTTTCCTATGCCATTATGATTATGACTAACTCCTCTCTCCCGTGGCTTAGTAAATTTATGCATAGAAAAGTTGCAAAATAAGCTTCATTAACTTGGCGTATCTACAGATACTAAAGATAGCCCGTTTCGCAAAACAAAAAACCTTGCGTATTTTAGTCCTACCCGTTTTAAGTATGAGCCGAGAACCAGACAAGCGGAAGTAAAGTAGCTGTCAGAACTACACGCAGAATTCCAAGTTATTTATTTCGGTTTGTAAATCTGTTTTATGTATTATGATAAGTAGACACTTAAGAAAAACTACGAGGTTTTAGCAAGAATTTGTTTTATACGCTTGTCATGGCGCGAGTTTAACTCTACGACACAAATTAAGAAGTGTAAATTATCTAATCCGGGATAGAAGACGGTAGTCAGACTATTCTCTCCCTTACCAGTTCCTTCCCTGACGTTTCCTCCCTGACGGTTCTCTCCCCATTTTTATTTTTATCAATACATTATTATTGAAGTATTTAGATTAGTTTAATAAATGGATAAATTTACTATTAAATTATTATAAATTGAGATAAATTAGAGAAAAAATATTTCATGGAAGTATTTAGATGTTTAATACATGCATGGGTTTAGGATTAATTGATAATATGAAATTAGGCAAAGCCTATGAATGGGGAAGTCGGTAAAATATCTTTTTATTTTTCCGTTTTAAAGGTGTCATTCGGTATTATATGTACCAACTTCTGTTTTCACTCGGAACACTCGACGATTATTAATAATCCGAAAAGTTGAGATTTGTTCCGTTATCGGAATACACCGCCTTTTATCATTGAGTTACATTGTAAATGGCGGCGCCTAACTAGAACTGACACTGAAAATTTCATCGATAAGCAGGGCTCTCAGTAGGATCAGAATTTCACGAGTCAAAGACTCTGACCAAAATTTTCACGAGTCAAATAATTTTTTTCTAGTGTTATTTGACTACATGAATCATTTTTAAGTTACAAAATTTACTGTATTAGAGCTATAAATGTCCATTATCAACCCCCCCCCCCCCCCCCCCCCTAAAAAAAACAACACATACACAACAAAAAACAAACAAAAAAACAAATAAAACTAAACAAAAATAAATTACATCTTTAGATCTACTGTGAAAGAATAAAAAAAACAGCAGCTTTTCTGATTTATTGTATAAAGTATAAAAAATCATCTTTACTGGTATGCTATATCATATTAATTTTAAATATCAAAATGTACAAGGAATATTTAATGGAAAAAGAAATAACAAAATGAAATGTACAGGTACTCCAAGTAAATCAAAGACGTATTATAAATCAATAATTGACACCTGAAGTAATATGAAGTATGTAATTCTTATCAGTTGTGTAGAGCTATTTTTAGCGCTGTCAAATTGCAGCCACTGAATTCGCGCTTCAGTGCACATGCTGTGTGTATAGCACTTTATACACGACTTATACTGCCTGTTGACATTTTTATTGAGTGTGATTTGAACACATGTAGGATTTGATAGGTAATTAGGGGTGGATTTAAGGTTATTATTATTGCAAAGCTTAAAATCCCATATTGCAAATTGACTCTTGTGCAGATTTTATCACGTGTCAAATAAGTGCATTTCCTGATTTTCACGAGTCAAAACCCGGATCCCCGTGTCAATTGAGAGCCCTGGATAGGTATAGAATTCTATATTTTTTTAATTGTTTTTTATTTGAATTTTCTTTTAAATAGACACGTGTAGTCTATAGCTGTGTAAGCCAAAGCGGGCCCGGACTTTGACTTCCCCGTATAAATTAGATAAAAACATATTTTTAGCATATTAGTATATTATTCTGATTGTTTTATTAGATCTAAAGTATACCGTTTTAACGTGTTTAGTCATTGAAAATGATTATTGAATAATTTACTTGAAGTTAGTCAACTAAGAGATCTGTCATATGAACAACAACTTAAAACACTGAAATTGCCTTCGCTAGCATATCGTCGATTTAGAGGTGACATGATTGAAGTTTTTAAATTGTTACATAATAAGGAGGATATTAACTATGAAGTGTTTTTTGAATTAAATAACAATGCAAATACAAGAGGTCATGGGTATAAACTGAAAGTGAAATCATGTAGAACTGAGATTAGAAAGCATTTCTTTTCTCTAAGGGTTATCTCGGACTGGAACAATTTACCAGAAGTGGTTGTGAATGCTCCTTCACTTAACAGTTTTAAAAACAGGTTGGACAAATTCATGGGAGCAACATAGTATACCACCATACCGGATCAGAACTGGTTACAAAGCCATGGGGGGGTTATAGAAGACGATGACGTCTTGCGACCTCAACTCCAGTAAAGTGAAGTAAAGTAATAAACGTGTTCCTCAAAAGACACTTCACATTGGCAAAAATTTATATATCCCTGTTTCTCGTATTCTCGGGGTTTCTCGTATTCTCGTGGAATAATAAAAACGGATGGAAGGGACGTTCGCGACTTCCGTCGATATCTGAAAACATGTCTATTTAGCAAAGCATTTTCATCTCCATTAAAAAAATAAAAGAAATGCGACAAAAACAGATAAAAAACCAAAATAACTGAGGAAATCATCGTAAAATCCAGAGAATAAACATTAAATTTATCAATTTCCCCCTAAAAAATCATCAATTTTCTAGATTTTTCCATGTTGCAGAAACGTGTAGCGGGTCTCTGACGCAAGACGCATCAAATGACGGTCTCACACTACTATTTATACAATACAGCTCAAAATATTTGTTCCACGAATAGATAGTATAAAAAAGATATGAACTCCAATTAAAAACCAATAATGAAACATTGTTTGTCCTAAACACATTTCATTTTTGACAACAGCAATGGAAGACAGTAGTATTCATTAATTCATTAATATTATAACTAATAAGTTACTAATAAATAAACGTAAACTTAATATATATTAATTAGAGAGATTATGTAAATAACATTGATCACTAAATGGAGTTCAAACTATTTTTTCGGAACAATCAAAATCATTTGGTACCAAAGAGGCGTCAATATGATCCTAAAAGTTTGATATGGCCTGCCAAGCTGTTATTTAAACACAATAAAATTACAGATTTAGGCCATCTAACACTTAATTAGGTGTGGCACTAATGTGTGTAGAATAAAATCATCACAAAGCAACCAGCAAACCAATCAAATTTCACGATAATACAAGAAGGCATCTGCTTCACATAGCGGATGAAGGTCAGTATATACAAGCGGCATTATTTTTTGTTTTGCTTATGGTTACGATCTTTCTTCCTTGATATTGTAAGGTATTTTCCTATGTATCAGGCTAAAAAGTACTGTACCAAAATGTTTTATAAAAATTATTCAACCAAGTTTAGTCCTTAGCCCTACAATAAAACGAGAAAACAAGATATACAGACTGTAACAGTACATATTTCCTGTAATAAATATGATGTTGCTTTGAGATATTTTTGGCAGAGCCCATTGTAAGTTCGACAAGAAAATCTTGTGGAACATTAAAACACCATCAGCATTGATAAAACAAAATGCCTGATAATAGCCAATGATCTGAGATAAGCAACATATACGTCACTGATAAGAGACCTGTTCTAAAAATAAAGCCACATATCGATAAGTTTTGGACAAAGAATCTGGGTTAATCTACATGTAGATTATACAAGATAATGGTTACGAATACTATTATTCACATTTCTCTCAATGAAAATGATGTTCCTGGAGTTAAACTTGCGTAAAGCATGATTGAGAAGCAATAATGGTTTAAAAAAATCTGGAAAATAAAGATGATATAGTGAAAAAGAAATTACTTTCGGGGCATAATTATTTTCCCTGCATGTCAATTTGAGAAAAATGCCGGTGCTTGGCAATTTGTTTTTGTTTCACTATTTATAAAAATTTTGAAATGGTGAGAATTTTTGGTGTGATAATTGGTTGCAGCTGACAGCGTTATACAGGGTCACATTATACAAGGTGTCTTAGTATATAATTTTTTTCATTCGGACCTTAATGTGACCGTTGGAGACAGGGTCACATTGTATAAAAGTGACCGCTAATGAAGTTTTGACTGTATAAGTAATACCATTTCAGTGCCGCAAAAATTGTACTCTCTTGTTCTTAAGTGGATTTCAGTAAATTTAGCAAAATCTGGCAGCTTATAGTATTTCAAAGTGTGTGTTCTTCACCTGAGCTCTAAGGTGATCTTCTCCTAAACCACTAAATGGATTTTGACCAAACTTTACAGCAATGATCCTTCTGCGGTCCTCTACAAAAATCATATAAACTTCCATTCTGATGCATAAGTAGGTCACAGGAGCTAAAAATACACTTTAAAAAAAAGGATTTTTTAAAAATCTTCTCCTAAAAGAGCAATGCCCAGATCTTAGATATTTGGCAATTAGCATCACCTTGTGGTCCTCTACCAAAGTTAAATAAATCATGCCCTGGGGTTTTAAATGGCCTCACTCTAGGGGCCACTTAGTTTACAGATAGGCTTACAGGAAAGTTTAAGTCTTCTCATAGGAAACTGCAGTGCTCAGAGTTTTGATATTTGACATTTAGCGTTGCCTAGTGGGTCTCTACATAAGTAAAAAAAGTCATGTCCCTAAAGTCAAACATGGCCCCGCCCTGGGGGTCACTTAGTTTACTTAATTTTGTATAATAATGATGTCTGAAAAATCTTTTCAAGTACAATTTCTAGAGCTTAGATATCTGGCATGTAGCATCACCTTGTGGTCCTCTACAAAATTTATGTAAACCATGCCTCTGGTGTCAAAAATGCTCCCTCCTTTATATACAGAAAAATACATTTAAGTTTTGTGAAACTACAATGCCAAGAGATTAGATATTTGTCTTTAAGCATTTCATAGCAGACATCCACAACAACAAAAATGAATAATGCATCTTGGGTAAGAAATGAATATATTCAGGCTTGACCTGATTTTGATAAATGAAGTCGTACCTTGTACTGAACCTTGACCCACTGGAAGCAGTCTGACCAGGCTTTATACTGTTGGTATCTTAGTTTATGTCATTAAATATTGAAATCCCTTTATCCTGGAATAGACTGTTCCAAAATGAAATCTAGGCAGATCCATTACACAAATTCAGCAGGTAAAGAGCAAAAATTAATTCCCGCATCAAGTCATGTAGAGAAAGCTAATTACCGAAAATCAGCAAATAAATTATAGGCAAACACTTGTTTGTTTATTTTGACCTCTTAAATACTGGTTATCCTGAATTTTACACTTGTGTATTTCCTCAATTTATAGGACTTGACATAATTGATGATAAAAATCAGTGGACAATCAAAATTATGGTAAAGTTTGTGTAGTAGGATATTAAAAAGGAAAAAAAATCTTGAATAATTACAAAAAAAATCAGTTGTTAACATAAAATTATGGAGTATTTACTGATCACTGTAAGAATTTTAGTGTTTTTGAGTTGTAGGTTTGAACTTTTTAATTAAAGAATAAGGTCATTGACTCAATCATTAAAGATATTGAGTATTTACTGATCAATGTAAGAATTTTACTGTTCGAATCGTAGATTTGAATTTCCTAATTTAAGAGAAAAAATTTAAGTTATTCCACATGTGGAGCATTTACTGATCACTAAAAATAGAGAAAAAAGTCAGTTGTGAAGTAAACAGACCACTGTACATAGGAAATTTAGTGTTTGAATTTAAGATGTTTAAGATATTTATGGTTGTAAGGATTAATGATATTTTTAGGTAATTTTTTGGATGTTTTGAAATTCTAAAATCTTCAACAGTTGAGTATTCCTGACTAATCTAAAAGGAATCTTGTTTTATACTTTGGGCATACAGAGAATACTGAATTTATATATATTAATAATATATTGCTATTTTCAGGACAATTCCAGCATGACGTTACAGTGGACATTTATAGCTGTGTTTCTATATGGAGAGATTGGTCTAGTGTCACTCCTATTGTTACCCTTCATATCACCATCAAGGTATACTTTGGTATTAATTTCCATTTGTAAGTTAACTTATGAAAAAAATGTTTAAATTTATAGAGGAATTAAGTTAAAATCCTAAAAAGGAATTCAGTTTCCATCTTAAAAGGAATGGTGTAAAGCAGATGTTTATATTTTAACATAGATGTTTATGATTATTGTATTTTTTGCTTTGCATGCTAAATGAATGTAACCAAAGGGCAATGTTGCATTTTCCAAAAGTTGTGGGAATGGGAAGCGTTAATAGAAGTACAAAAAATATCAGAAAGAATGTTTACTGTTCCGATGTGTTCTTTTCCACTGGATGGAAGCACAAGCTGTGTCAAAACTTTTGACAGGTTATATGGCCAGGCCGCCACGTATATAAACACTTGTAAGCCATTATAATTTGTGTCACTAGGTTAAACTGCTATATAGCAAACAGCTGCCACATTACACCCGTATAATCTATCAAACACCTTTATAATACTGCACAATTCTTGATTTACAGGAGTAATAAATATTAGGTCATTAATTTACTGCAGCGTATATGTAAATATTTTTAAAACCGTATTTATCCAATTTAAGTCACATTAATACTAAGGTGCAGCAGTGCTCCCTATATGATAATTGAGTAGCAAATTAGATTTGTGAGTAGCCACTCCTCAGCAGTAAATTTGGAGATGGCCATTTGCTAATGTTGAAAGAACTTGGGGCCCAACCCTTATTTTTTCGAAACCCTGTTGTTTCTGTGCATAAATTAACATGTATATATTAGCAATAAAATATGATTAAATCAAACAATATTATAGTGCTCTCTAAGCATTTTAATTAACATGGTTTGGCAAAAGTAGCCGGCAGTAAATTCTGCGGTACCCAGAAATAATGCGATTGCTGGCGTTTATGGAAAGCACTGGTGTCGTGTAATAGTACAGTTTGTATTTAATAAACATTTCCTGAAGCACACTGCACATTGTCAAGGTGATTATTTCTTTCTTTTGTTTGTAGATGGCAGAGGGTCTTTCGTTCTGGACTGATAAATAAGCTGGCTGGATATTCCAATATCTATTTCAATGTTTTCATAGCCATACTTCTACTTCTGTTTTTTGGTAAGTTTTTGTAATCATTTTGTCATTTGATAAATTAGACTAGCTATGCAAATCTGGTTGTTTAAAGGAGCCATTCACCTTGGCTTTAGTCAGGACATTGGCAGCTTGTTGGCCAAATGTGACACAGGCTTAGCACCTCTCGCTTAACCTCTAGGGTCTACCATCTATGTGTGAATATGAAGTCTGATTTGTCAAGCTCTTCAGATGTTCTGTCGATGCCCTGTGCTTTCATCGAAGAGACAAGATAGGAGTTATAATGCGGAGTGGCAGTGACCCAGAGTTATAATGCGGAGTTGCAGTGACCCAGAGTTATAATGCGGAGTGGCAGTGACCCGGAGTTATAATGCGGAGTGGCAGTGACCCAGTGTTATAATGCGGATGTGGCAGTTACCCGGAGTTATAATGCGGAGTGGCAGTGACCCGGAGTTATAATGCGGAGTGGTAGTGGAGTTATAATGCGGAGTGGCAGTGACCCGGAGTTATAATGCGGAGTGGCAGTGACCCAGAGTTATATTGCGGAGTGGTAGTGACCCAGAGTTATAATGCGGAGTGCCAGTGACCTAAAGTTATAATGTGGAATGGCAGTGACCCGGAGTTATAATGCGGAGTGGTAGTGACCCGGAGTTATAATGCGGAGTGGCAGTGACCCAGAGTTATATTGCGGAGTGGCAGTGACCCGGAGTTATAATGCGGAGTGTTAGTGACCCAGAGTTATAATGCGGAGTGGCAGTGACCCGGAGTTATAATGCGGAGTGGCAGTGACTTAGAGTTATAATGCGGAGTGGTAGTGACCCGAAGTTATAATGTGGATTGGCAGTCACCCGGAGTTATAATGCGGTGTGGCAGTGACCCAGAGTTATATTGCGGAGTGGCAGTGACCCGGAGTTATAATGAGGAGTGTTAGTGACCCAGAGTTATAATGCGGAGTGGCAGTGACCCAGAGTTATATTGCGGAGTGGCAGTGACCCGGAGTTATAATGCGGAGTGGCAGTGACCCAGAGTTATATTGCGGAGTGGCAGTGACCCGGAGTTATAATGTGGATTGGCAGTGACCCGGAGTTATAATGTGGAGTGGCAGTGACCCGGAGTTATATTGCGGAGTGGTAGTGACCCGGAGTTATAATGTGGAGTGGTAGTGACCCGGAGTTATATTGCGGAGTTGCAGTAGTGGTTCTGACCCGGAGTTATATTGTGGAGTGGCAGTGACCCAGAGTTATAATGCGGAGTGGTAGTGACCCAGAGTTATATTGCGGAGTGGTAGTGACCCCGAGTTATAATGCGGAGTGGCAGTGACCCAGAGGTATAATGTGGAGTGGCAGTGACCCCGAGTTATAATGCGGAGTGGTAGTGATCCAGAGTTATATTGCGGAGTGGTAGTGACCAGGAGTTATAATGCGGAGTTATAATGCCAGGTGGTAGTGACCCGGAGTTATATTGTGGAGTGGCAGTGACCCAGAGTTATAATGCGGAGTGGTAGTGACCCAGAGTTATAATGCGGAGTGGTAGTGACCCCGAGTTATAATGCGGAGTGGCAGTGACCCAGAGGTATAATGTGGAGTGGCAGTGACCCGGAGTTATAATGTGGAGTGCTAGTGATCCAGAGTTATATTGCGGAGTGGTAGTGACCAGGAGTTATAATGCGGAGTTATAATGCCGGGTGGTAGTGACCCAGAGTTATATTGCGGAGTGGTAGAGACCCAGAGTTATAATGCGGAGTGGCAGTGACCCAGAGATATAATGTGGAGTGGCAGTGACCCGGAGTTATAATGCGGAGTGGTAGTGACCCGGAGTTATAATGCGGAGTGGTAGTGACCCGGAGTTATAATGCAAAGTGGCAGTGACCCGGAGTTATAATGCGGAGTGGTAGTGACCTGGAGTTATAATGCGGAGTGGTAGTGACCCGGAGTTATAATGCGGAGTGGCAGTGACCCTACATAGTAGACAGAGCTGATGAGGTAGGATGACATGCATGGAAATCTGTTTGGTTGAAGATCTTCATGTAGTTTGATGGTTCATAGTCAGTGACATTAAAAATAAACTTTTCTGCTCTTCCACATCTAGGTGGCATTTTCAAGGATCACTTGTTGTCATGGATAGTCTTGTTTTACAAGTTTGCTATGAATGTATATTATTCATAAGGATTTTTTTTCACATTGTGTAATTTTCCCTGTTTTGTTGTTTCACAGATGCTGCAAGAGAAGTGAGTAAATATGCAGGTCCTACATCCGAGGTTGACATGAAGCATAACCCAGAACAGCAGAACCTTGCTCACATGAAATTGTTTCGAGCACAGAGAAATCTATATATAGCTGGTTTTGCACTTTTCTTGTGGTTGTGAGTGTGCCTTTTTACTCTCCATAATCATTTTTGTACTTTAATATTTAGCCTTATAATAAATGAGGGTTGTAAGCCAATGATTAAACAAGAGCTTAAATGTTACTTTATTTTATAACACCAAAGTTACATCACAGATTCTTTTTTCACTTGATACTTTAGAAAGCTATGGTTATATGGCTGACCTGGCTCTATACTGGTGGCAATGGCTAATCACTTTCAGATTTTCATTTAATATACCTTAATATTTATCAATACGCATTTTAACGGATATGCGACCAGTGTAGTTCCAGATTAAAAAACATTTTGACTGAAAAGGGAACAGTGGAGATCCTTATCAGACTGCACAGGCCTACAGGCTGATCAGGATCTCCACTGGTCACATCAGGATCTCCATTGGTCACATATGCATTAAAATGCCAACCCATCGGGTAAAGGGATAAAATATAATATAATCTTTTATAAAATTGTTATACAATTTACCATATATACCTATATTAAACATGAAGACAGTGTTTTAATTTTATAGTTAGTCTGTGGTTTGTCTATATTTCTGGGACAAGTTTAATATAAGTTTTATAAATTGACAACGAAAATTGAATTCTTTCACATGATGTTAAAAATTTTAAAGCCAGAAACTGTAGAAAAAAATTGCAAAACTATTTTAGTTGCCATTTTTATGTTAATCATGTAATGTAAAGAAGAAAACAAGTATGTTATGGCTTAATTACATTGGAATCAAAAGCATTAGTAGTGTATTTATTTCTCTAATTCTAATATGAATCATGCATGGCTTTCTTTTTGTAATTAGTCAACGAAATTACTGCATTTAAATTTTTTTATCATATTTTCAGCATGGCTTTCTTTTTGTAATTAGTCAACTAAAAAACTGCATTTTAATTTTTTTTATCATATTTACAGTATTATTCGTAGACTGGTTACACTGATTTCCCAGCAAGCACAGTTACAGGCACAGTCTGAAGCTAGTCAGAAACAGGCACAGTCTGCCTCTGATGCTGCCAAGAAATTAATGGAAGAAAAAGAAAATCTCTCAAATATGGTAAATAGTATTTTATATCTTTCAACAAACTTAGGTTCTTTATTGCTGAGAGTTTGCAATAGCTGCCTATAAATTATTTCCCATTACAAAAATATGAGTAGATCATAATTGGATATCTCCACTAATGTAAAAGAAAACAACTTCAACTAAAACGTGCTATTTGTTTCAGATTTTATTTTTGCTTTTCTAAATTAAATTAATGATTTAAATGGTAATTTTATTGATTACATTTATATGTGTTAAACTGTTAAAATTACATTTAATAAAATTCATAAAAACAGAAATAGCGACATTTCATAAATAAATTGGGTTTCATATCGACTCCAGATCTTATTATGGTGTCCAGACAACCAAAATGAGTTTTATAAGCATAAAAAATGGACAACCTCATTGTGGCGAATTCGGAAGTACAATATCTATTTGCCTTCAGATCATCCGTACATCAATATTAAATCAACAAACATGACTATAAGTAGCAGCTCTAATTTAACGGTATATTTCCGCATTGTAACGGATGTTTTCATACAAATTCAATCTGTTTTTATGAGACGATTACATTTTACTGAACCTAGGGCCTAATGCACCGTGAAGTTAAACGGTTAAAATGTGTTTGCACAAGAAAATCTCATATTTGAGCTGCTATAACACTGTGACGTAGCGCATACACAAGCTGATTATAATCTTCATTTGCAGGTTAAAATTCGTATACGAACTTTAGTGATACCGTGGGGTTTTCCGTTTAAAATCCTAATTTATGAACAATATTTGATGATATTTACAACAATACTGTTGAACAGGTTAATGATACTGTAAAATGCTTGATTTTTAGGTCGACAGCAAAATATTTTTACATATTTATTTAATGTAACTTTAATCATTATACAATGTGATACAATGACATAGTGTATGATTTCATTGATATGTACAATACATTATGATTTAACTGTATGTGCCCTTCTGACCTATTAAGGGGGGGGGAAAAAATAGAGAATACATGGTTGATGTCGGGATGAAGAAGGTTTATCCGGTGAGCAAGAAAGTGTATCTCGGCGAGCTTTAGCGAGCCAAGATTCACTTTCGCAGCGAACCGGATAGACATTCTCCATTCTGACATCAACCATGTGTTTGATTTATCCTGCTTTTAATCATGTTTTTAGAATAATTAAATGGTTTCATTCTTACTTTTCCCCGATAAAATAGCATCTATATGTAGTTTAGTTTTGCTGTTAAAAAGTTGAAGTCATCATGTGACGTAATGACTGGAGATAGATAAGTTTATCCGGCAAGGCTTTATCCAGCTGATGATATAGACAGTAGCAGAATAAAAGGTTTTATCCAGAGATCTGCGTAAAAGTTTTCATCAGGTGACCAACCCATAGGTTTTATATCCAGGAACTGGTTACCAAACTCAAGTTTATATTAGCATTCTTTTAGAAGGACTTTGTTCAGGTGCCCACTTGTGCCTGAAATAATGCACAGAAGGACATCTGAGGTCTTCCTTCACTAGTAAAGGGGAATAATTACTGTTCAACCTTACAGTGTAAGTTTGACTCAAGAAAATAAAATATAGTAATCCGCCTTACAACATATGTTTTAGGCTAGAGCAGACGACACAGATGTTGATGCTATTAAGAGGGAAAAAGATTTGGCGCAGGAGCTAGATGAAGTTAGACAAGAACTTTCTAAGACTAAGAAAGGTAATAAACATTCTTGTTGGTTAAAAAGTGTATTAACTGGTTTTCTTATTTATTAGATCTTGAGGCTCATATATCATTACAATTACATGTGATAGTGAAAAGGTAAGCTATACTGCGAATTCACTTATATTCGTGGGCATGAAATTTCGTGGTTTTATCAAAACGGTCATTTTCGTGGGTTCTTAAATTCATGGATTTTTAGCTCACCTGTCACAAAGTGACAGTGTGAGCTTTTGTGATCGCTTTTCGTCCGGCGTCCGTCCGTCGTCCGTCCGAGCCAACATTTGATTATTATGAGCTTCATTCCGTAGTTAAATAAAAAACATAAACTCATAAAATTCAAATTAAGAGCTATTTTTTTGTTTTTATGAGCTTATTTTGCTTATGTCCGTACGTCGTCCGTCCGTAAACTTTTACTTTAAATGACATCTCCTCATAAACCACTAAGCCAATTTCATCCAAACCTCACAGAAATGTTCCTTTGGTGGTCACCTTTAAAAATTGTTCAAATAATTTAATTCCATGCTGAACTCTGGTTGCCATGGCAACCGAAAGAAAAAACTTTAAATATCTTCTTTTAAAAAACCCTAAGAGCTAGAGCTTAGATATTTGGCATGAAACATCTTCTAGTGAGTGTCTACCAAGTTTGTTCAAATAAAAGCCCTGGGGTCAAAATTGGCCCTGCCCCGGGGGGTCATTGATTTTCCCAATATGCATATAGTAAAAACTTAAAAAATCTTCTTTTAAAGAACCCAAAGAGCTAGAGCTAAGATATTTAGCATGAAACATGTTCTAATGGGTGTCTACCAAGTTTGTTCAAATAAAAGCCCTGGGGTCAAAATTGGCCCTGCCCCAGGGGGTCATTGATTTTCCCTATATGCATATAGTAAAAACTTAAAAAATATTTTTTTAAAGAACTCAAAGAGCTATGGCTAAGATATTGAGCATCAAACATCTTCTAATGAGTGTCCACCAAGTTTGTTCAAATAAAAGCCCTGGGGTCAAAATTGGCCCCGCCCCAGGGGGTCATTGATTTTCCCTATATGCATATAGTAAAAACTTAAAATATCTTCTTTTAAAGAACTCAAAGAGCTAGAGCTAAGATATTTAGCATGAAACATGTTCTAAAGGGTGTCTTCTAAGTTTGTTCAAATAAAAGCCTTCGGGTCAAAATTGGCCCCACCCCAGGGGGTCATTGATTTTCCTTATACATGTATGTGTATAGCAAAAACTTAAAAAGTCTTCTTTGAAAAAAACCCAAATAGCTAGAGTTTAGATATTAAGCATTAAACATCTTCTAGTGAGTGTCTACAAAGTTTGTTCAGATAAAAGCCCTGGGGTCAAAATTGGCCCCCTTGGGGTCAAAATTGGCCCCCGCCCCAGGGGTCATTGATTTTCTTTATATGTGTATAGCAAAAACTTAAAAAATCTTCTTTGAAAAAACCCAAATAGCTAGAGTTTAGATATTAAGCATGAAACATCTTCTAGTAGGCTCTACATTGTTTGTTCAAATAAAAGCCCTGGGGTCAAAACTGGCCCCGCCCCAGTGGTGTCATTGTTTTTAACTATATGTGTACAGTAAAAACTTAAAATATCTTCTTTTAAAAAAAAACCCAATGAGCTAGAGCTTAGATGTTTAGCATGAAACATCTTCTTATGGGTGTCTACCAAGTTTGTTCAAATAAAAGCCCTTGGGTAAAAATTAGCCCTGCCGGGGGGGGGAAGGAATGGGGGAGGGGGGTGAGGAGGGAGGGATTGGAAGGGGTGGGAGATCATAGTTTTCATTATATGTGTGTAGTAAAAACTTAACATCATGAAACATGTTCTAATGGGTGTCTTCCAAGTTTGTTCAAATAAAAGCCCTGGGGGTTTAAACTGGCCCCGCTTTTGCGGGGGGGGGGGGGGGGCTATATACAGGTGAGCGACCTCAGGGCCATCATGGCCCTCTTGTTTACTGGTAATTTTGCACAAAATGGTTTTCTTGGCATTTTACCATAGAAATCATTTATAACTTTACTTATGCTATGAAATAAACTAATGAAATTAAATTGTATGCCATTAAATCAACCAATGAAATTAAGATTCACAGCACAAAAGTTAATTATGTAATTAGTAGCAAGTAAAACATGTTATTGATTTGTTTTATTTCAGAGCTAGATAAAAAGCAATTAGATTTTGACACTTTAAAAAAGCAGTCTGAAGGAACAAATAAAGAATATGATAGACTCCTGAAGGAAGTGGTATGTTCAGTTACTTTTATTCCATATTTACAGTTTAAATCTGTTAACAAAGGCCACCCAAAGGCGGAATCAAACATGACCTTATTGACAAGTGGTCTTTATTTGAAGGATTCTTTGTTCTCTTTAACCAATGAATGAGCCGCGTCATGACAAAACCAATGTAATGCGTTTGCGACCAGCATGGATCCAGACCAGCCTGCGCATCCGCGCAGTCTGATCAGGATCCATGCTGTTCGCTATCAGTTTCTCTACTTGTAATAGGGTTTGTAAGCAAACAGCATGGATCCTGATCAGACTGCGCAGATGTGCAGGCTGGTCTGGATCCATGCTGGTCGAAAAACCCATTATGTTGGTTTATGATTCCAATCCTTATGTTTAGTTAAAACATAATTTGTTTACATTTTATTGTATAGACATGTTTTCGATAAGCAAAATTGTTTACATGTTAGAAAATGATGAGAGTAAAAGATAAATGTCATAGAATTTTTCTCCAAATGTGTTTAAAATAGTCTTGAACAGATTTAAACTGGAAATTTAATTGTTCAAAAGTTTGCTAGATTAATATTACTGCTGGATTTAAAGTTGTGGTTGATATTCAGACTTCCCCTTATAAAATAGATTTGTGTATTTACCTACAGGGCTTTTCCTAATATTTGGAAAAGAAGTTTTAACAATTTATTGTTGGCAACTATTTTATAATTACCTGTGTCTTGATCAATGGGACAATGATAATAGTCAGGAAATAGATATAAATTCTGAGAGTGTTGTTGTAGAAAAAATGTACAGGTCGGGTAGAAAAATGCCCGGGTTGATTTCAAATGCGCAGAAATATAATCAATCACCAATAGACCTGAGTGATTAATTACAAAGCATTTGAACAATAAACCGTGAATTATTATAAAACAAAAAAATTCTCATCTATTTTCATTCTAAAATGCTAGTAAAAAAAGGGCATTGTTAAAAATATGTTGAACAACATTTGAGCGTACAAGTAAATATCCTAACGTTATTTAATGTTATTGATGTCATATCTGGCATCAGATCTGATGTCAATAGTCATATCTGATGTCATATGATGTGTATGCATTTCTTTTTTACATGCATGGATCCTGATTAGACTGTGCGGATGCGCAGGCTGGTCTGGATTCATGCTGGTTGCAAACCCATTATGTTGGTTTTGTTATGACGCGGCTCATTTATATTCAAACTTATATTTACAGGAGAAGTTACAGACGGCAGTAGATGGAGGTTCTGATAGCAAGAAATCAAACTAAATAAGAAATTAATCGCAGCTCATGAAAGCATTAACTTTATGCCATTTGACATTTAGCTAAGTTTTACTTTTGTGAAGGTGTTTCTATTTATAGCACATTTTGGATTAGAGGTTATGAAAATTAGTTTGTATGTTTAAAGTATACCAGTCAATGATTGCAACCATTTCATTGGTCAATTTGAAATATTTGAATGAAAGTCAGCCAATCAGATCCTGACTTGTGTCTTAAAATTTATGATCTTCAGAATTACCATAAGTTAATGCTGTGTTAAATATGTTAATGTTGAAAAGTGTTACAGTTTGATGTTAAGAAAAATGAACTTTTCTAAACTGTTTGAAAGCCACTAAGGAATAGTTCAGTGTTTGAAATAAGGAAGCAGATTTTTTAAAAAAAAAACCTATGACAATAACTTCTATGAGAAAGTTACAAGATGTATTTATTTTTCAATTTACTACTTGTCATCGATATGAATTTTTCAATAGGACGTAATGACTGTAATTTAAACAATTTAAAGAAATGATAAAAAAGGAATATTTTTCTTATTACCATTATAGTGCAAATGTTGTTAATGGTTTGATAGATTATGTATATATATAAATTAATGAATTATTTATATAATATCCCCTTACCTTTCTACGTAAAAAAATAAATATTTAGTGACCTTGTAAGTTGTAAGATTTTTTTTAGAATCCTATTACATGACTTACTGTACCTATATATTTTTAATAGTATAAGATTTTTGGAATCAATTTTGTAAAAAATTTTAAAATTAATTTTTTTAAAATTTTTTTAATTTCGGGTAATTGAAACCCCAATTTTTTTGGTTTGGGTTGCGTTTTTTTTAAAATTTAAAAAAATAGCCACCCGGGAACGGAAAATTTTTGTTTGGGTTTTTTGGAATTGTGTCCAGTTCTGGCCCCTTTTTTAAAAAACCCACTGTACTGTTGTTTTGAAATTTTAAAAGGGTTTTTTCTTTGGGCTCTAGATTCACTTAAATTAATTTTTATTCTTTCATTCATTTCTAAGTTTTTACATTTTGTTTAAATTTTATGTTTTTCCTTGTGTTTTTTTTTTTGGCTTTCATTTTTTTTGCAGTTTTTTTTAAAATGGGAAATTTTATTTCTTTTCCCCATGTTGGTTCTTAAAAAAAACCAAGAAAGTATACTATTCTTGCATAAAGGGATATGCCTGATTTCGGTAATTCTGCATTTTCTTTTTGTTGTTCCTATAAAGAGTGCAATTTCATTTGACAGTTGAATTGATATCATATTACCTGGGCCATCATTGCAATCAGCTATTTTTACATGACCCCCCGTCATCTGTTTAACCATGTTTTCTTCACTGTTAGAGTACACCTGCTTGTGCATTTTTTATGCAAGAATGTTATACATTTTCCAAGTTTTTCTGATATTTGTAACTTGGCTGCTTTATATAGGAGTTATTAACTTTAAATTCTTATAAGGGTTATTGTATATATGTATGCAAGAAAATGTATGTTTGTGTATGAAATGTTGGATTTTACCAGATGGATTAAGTAAAAAAAAAATGTTCCAAAAGGGTCAATGGTCCAAATTCCCCTGGGCTATGGAAAGCTGAGAAGGTTAGGTGCAGTGATTTTCATTATGTATGGATGTACAATCATTTCCGAGCTAAGTTAAGCTAAATGCAAACTAGGGTAAGATAAAAAATTTGTTTGTTTATTTTTGTAGAGCAACTGGAAATAAGTGTGGGAAACGGGGAAAACTTAGTTATGTTAGCCAAACAAAATTTTATTCACTAAATACTACTGAACAAAGTAATATTCTGTGTAAATATCTTGAAAATGAAAAATCTTCCCCCAGTAGCTAGAAAATTAACCTGTCATCTGTGAATACTAAATAGTAAAACTCGAGTTACTAACAGGTCAATCTAGTTTACTAACTGGCAAAGTTATAATAAAGAGTTGAATTTAGCATGAAAATGTTGTTTAATAAATTGGTAGTTACACCATTCATGATATGTTGTTGTTGAAATCCACTTTGTCACTTGAGATTTTTTCTTATCAAATCTGTCACATAATTCACCTTTTTTCCCCTTCTATTTAGATATTTACATTACATACAAAAAAATGGGACTTTACCTTAATAACCCACACCTCAAGGGCTTTGCATACGAGGTCTTTCAGCTCTTTATGTCTGTTAAGTGTAGTTATCCTAATGCTTTGTGTTCAGTTGCTTTAAAACCTTATTTTCAAAAAAATAACAATAAAAATATATACATGTATATCAACATGTTGTTTTTTTCTCTCTTATGCCAAGTTAAGGCCACTTAATTTAATTTTGTCACGTCTCACCAACATGTGAAGTTGTACACTTCCCAGCTTAGGAAATTTGGGTCAGTGGTTCTGTTTCAGTGAAAGGTTGTTACTGAACAAATATATGTATGGAATGGTACATGGATCTTTCCCTCAAACTGATTTGATTTGAAATCCAAACAAAACAAATTTGTATTTTGCTACGCAAAAGTGGTAAAAGTATCATACCATGTTATTACCAATGCAGCATACTTAGGGTGGCAAATTTTGGACAACTTTCATGGCGAATAATTCTGATAAAAAAGCTTAAGTTCAGGTATTTTGTTATCATTTTTAAGACTGAAAAGATTTACTTCAAATAAAAGTGACTGTTACTGTGAAGTCTCTCATTTTCCATAACCTATTCCCCAACTGATTCAGCATACATGCAATAAAAAATCATTGTATTGACTGAATCAGTTACTGAAAAGATTTTAGAAAATCAGAGAAACTTCACAAAGCTTAGGAAATGGCTTTCTATGTAGGGCGCATGCACTTTATTTGAAGAAAATCCATGAAGTTTTATAGAAGATATTCATGAAGAAAATCTGAAACTGCTATTTTTCAAATATTCTGCTGTGCATTTGATCCAGTCACATTTAGCTACCCTGAAGACATTTGAGCTTATTGAACATTTGAAATCTGCCTCCAAAACCCCGTGCTGTGTTATATAAAAAACGGTTGTAACTTCAGTCAACTCACATCACCCCCCAAAATGAGAACATAAACATCTTAAAAACAAGTCTCCCATTTGATCTACATTCCTCTTAAAGATACATCTGCAAACCCAAACAAACCAATTTATATATAAAACAAATTAAAAAAGATTTTTTTTTTTAAAAATAAAAAATTTTTATATGAAAATTTATTTTGGAACTGGCCTTTTTATGTTGAGAACAACTGTTAAAATGACTTAAATATGCTCCTACAAGAAAAAAAAGAAGAAAATTTAGTCAGATTGCTTGCCCTAGCTAACATCAGTATTATAACATTACATATATTTTTTCTGTACAAAAAGCAACAACAATATAATAATGCCTATCTATATTCTGTTTTAAATAAATATAGTTACATTTCTAATAATAAAGGTTTCTACATAACTTGAGTTTTTACACAATAATATCTTATATATTAGAATGTTAAAACATTCAAAAAAAGACCAAGCATTTTATTTTATGCAACCTTCACATGTCACTATCTAGAATGGAATTAACATGTTACCATAAATATCCAAGCCATATTAATAGTATTACTCCGAAATCTGGCAAGTTTGGGATCTTCCCATCTTATCCCGTTTTAGAAGTTACAACTTGATAAAAAGTATCAATAATAACCGCAACAGGTTGAATAATTCTATTGTCAATGGTTAGTATAAGTGCACCATGAAAGTTTGTTTGTACCCTAAGGATAAGATGGGAAAAACCCACATTGCAAACAAACCCATAATCACAAAATTATAATATATATTAACAATATGAAGTATTTATTAATGGCATTAATATCATGTACAGAAGTGTATCAATTCCTGTGTCAACATCAATTTGTATAAAATGGACCTGCTCTAAATTAAATCTGTAACACAAATTGTTATTTTAGGGGGATTTTGATATCAGAAAGCTCAAATTTAACAACCAACCGTATAAGAGAAAGGGCGTACTAATGTTTCTTAACACTTGAAAATATAATTTTCAAAGAGATATATACATGTAGTATATATAAATATATACACAAGAAATAAATAACATTTATATATACACTGTACAAACTTTATTCTTTCTATATCTACCATATCTACAAACTATAAACATCTGTACAGCTAATAAACAATTTTTTCATGAAAAAGCTATCAAACCTACATTCATGTTCTTGTAGTCACACTCTGTAAAATTTATTGACGAAAGTTTCAAAATTCAATTTACATTACAGAAGTGTTACTTCTAGTATGTATGCTCAAAACTGCAAGTCCTTTTTACAATTTTGAATGGGAGATAAAGGGCAAAACTAGCTTATATAATTATGATCTTCCATGTAGCTGAGTTAACAGTTTATGAAGTCTAACCTTGTTCCTAAACTAAAATTTTCACCATTTTCTAAAATAAAATTTTCACAATTGAAAAAAATTATTAAAGTTGAATTCTGCTTAGGCCTGTGCTAGTTGGGATGGACAATGGCTTGCACTTGCCTCCACTTTTCATGGGCTGTCACAGTTGGACTGGTATTTTGAATTTTGTCCTTTAGGTCGTTCTTTAGGAAATTATATCAGAGTAAAATAAGCATTGTTTTAAAATTATAAATAAGACCGATCAGTTTGGATTGTACAAGTGTAAATAGTTAAAGTATAATATTTAACATCAGAGTACAGTTGAATTCTAACAAAACCTTTGACAATATTCCTTCTTATTTTCACAAAGACAAGAAATGTCCCCCGCCCATTTTTTAATACAAGATTTCACACATTTCATTACAGAAAAAAAGCCAACTCTGCCATAACCATCTTATAAAAAAAACTGTATTTTTTCCTTGTCTTTGTCAAAACAAGAAAGGGAGATATTGACATTCATATAAGTGTAGCACACATTAACTTAATATATCATCACTATGGTAATCAAACTTTGATTTCTGTATCCATTCTTTCTAAATCTGTTGGTGAAAACGTCTCCAATTCTCTCTGTCTCTGCATTAAACTCTAAAATACAAGTAAAAGATATTTTTACAAGTTAACACTTACCATGCTAAATATCTTGGCAACACCATACATCGTTTTAAGGGAAAAATTCAAAATATATACCCACTGAATAAGTGACTATTAGTGGGTTATTAAATTCGTTTTTTTTTAAGAAATAAAATCAAAATAAACTCAGAACAGAGAAAACATAATTTTGCTGGATCTTAAATTTGTGGATTCCACAAAATCCACAAATAATAATGATGATTCAAAAGCACATTCAAGCAAGATTTATATAAGTTATAAGAGCTGTTTACATACTCAAGCTCAAATATATATACCTAAAATGAATTGAGAAAAGAAAAAAAATATTGTACACCAAATGTATACTGGTATACCTGTTTAAGTGTTGAAAGTTGCACCAATATCTGATCTTGACGGGTAGTTGGGTGATCCAACACAAGACTAGGGTTCATCAGTGGATTCTATACAGAATAAAAAAAAAACAAACAACAAGTCTTTTATTCAAGCTGTTGATATTTACATATATGATTATAATACTTATTAGACATAATTTAATTTAAAAAAAAATTTTTGACAGAAAAGGTAAATGTTAGGAATCTACCTTAAACACCCACTAGCACCAGTGTTAGCAGTCCTGAACATTTAAACATGTACATGGTGTTTAGACATCAGCAAAGTTAACATGCATCTTAATAATTATTACTACAATTTTCTAATCAGTTCTCTGAATACGAAAAGATGAAATCAATACAAAATTCAAATCTCAAATACATAATAATTACATAAACCATAAAGAATGAACATATTAAAAGAAATCATCAATACCTTTCCTCCATTCTCTGTACCAGGTAGCACCCTGTGCTTATCTTGAAACACATATTGACGATTACCAAATTTTTCTGGATGCAGCCCTTCGTAATATGCTCTACGTGCATTTGCTACACGAGTTGCTTCCCTTGACAAAGGCACTGGTTCCTCAGCTTTTGTTGGGTCAAGAACATCTATTGTTCGTGTAAATGGGATAAAGTCTCCATCTGGAATAGGGGCTTCTAGGGGATCAGAATCCCAATATTTCCCGCCTTTTTTATTTTTAGAGTCTGTATCTGTGTTTTGATTATCAGATCTATGTCTAAGAGCAGGCACAGGGGGTGAGGTATTTCTTGTTTTACCTCTCTCCTGAGGCGGGGAGTCTGCCCTGCCTCTGGGTGTTGGAGATTTACTTTGATTTCGTCGCTTATCAGTTCTTCTATCACGCTGATCTCCTTGACCGTGATGATCTTCATGACCATAATAATTGTCAGTTTCACCTTGTAGCACCAATCTGTTTGGAGAATGAGACTTTGTCCTACGACCTGGGTGTACTTGACGCGGACTAGCCATTTCCACATCTGAGAACGGGGATTGATCCCGAGACCTTGAACGAGAGGATTTAGGTGGAGGCACATAATAATCGGGAATCACAGGTTTATTGGCTTCCACCATGGCAAGAAGTTTTTGCTCACGTTTTAACCTCCTCATTTCACTTTCCCGCTTTTTTTGCTCAAAAAATGGATCTCTCTCAGACTGTTTTTTCGGTTTCTTACTCTCTGGATTTTTGTAACCCCACATCGGACGGCTACCCGGTTTAACCGGACCTTTTCGGCGTTGAACCTCTAACCTCTTTTTTCTTCTATCCTCCTCCATATCCCTTTTATCTTTGACCTCATGATGGTGTTCATGTGGACTTGAATGCTCTCTGTAAGACGGGGGTGGATGTGGTTTCTTCTGTGGCCTTGACCTCCTTTCAATGGCTTCTTTCGGTGCACTTATTACCCTGACTTTCTTACCTTTCTCATAACGGTACTGGATATTCACTTCACTGTTATCACGTTGTAGGCGGGGATTCAACAGATTTGTTACATCATCTCCTATATAATTAAAAAAAATTTCAAACTTTAGAACATTTTATTTCAAAACATTTTAAAGATAAAATATTCTAAGTAAATTATATCTTTTTATATTTAACAATACTAGTAACTCATTCACCAACTATATTACTTTTAGTACCTCAAAAACAAGTTAGCAACTTCAAAAACTGAATGAGCAAGTTGATGGTATCACATTAACATCTTTTACAGTCAAATTAGAAGTTATCCAAACATACAAATTTCTCAAAAACCATTAAAATTACAATATTAAAATCAAATTTGAAGGATCCGCCTCATGCTAACACTAAGGAAAAATTATAATTATAAAGCCATGTTAAATCTTATCACACACAAATCTTAAAACAGAAATTTCTATAATTGTTATAGTTCACCACTATACTGCTGAAACTAAGTTAATTGAATGTAAATGTAAAAGTTTTGAGAGTGTTTTTTTAAAAAAAAACTATTATAAAGATTAATAACCATCACCATGTATGAAATGTTAATATCTTAACTGTCCTCCACAGACATTTTTGGCTTGCATCAAACCTCTGACCTCTGTTCTAACATTAAATATGCCTTTATAACCATGTATATATTTTTTTTTGTCTGTGAATTTAAACCAAAACACTTATCATCAAAATCATAAGAAAAAAACTTTTTTAAACTGGTTTGAAAAAGAAAAGTTTCAAATTCCACCCTGTAAAATTTAGTGGTTTTGGTTAAAGTTTGATCCCCAAATGTCTGTGACTTTCACCCTGCTGCATTGGTGTTAATGACTTGCCCAGGTTTGAATTTGGAAATGTCTGCTGTTAACTTAAGAAATTCTAGTTTCAACATTTTTCAAAAATTGACTTCAGCAATTATACTTAAAGTAATAGTCTACTCAAATTGCATGGGTAAGCAGCGTTCCCTGGCTTTATACTGGTAACACTGCCAATACAAGGTGGTCTTGGTAGTTTTCACTCCGGATCATGGCAGTAAGCCACATCGAATTTACCAGAGCATCATTCAGCCACCGCCAATACATAATTGGCCTGGTTTTATACCGGTGGCACAGGCAAAACATAATAAGCTGGGCTGGATTAATACTAGTGGCACATGCAAATCCATGCTTAATACTGGTGGCTCAGGCCAAATGAAATCAGTTGACCTGGTTTTTATATAGGGCCACAGGCAAGACAAATTTAACTGCCCTGATTTTATACTGATAGCATGAGCAAGTCATGGCCAATGCAAACAGATTTGTAGAGTTAAAGTAAAAGTAAGAAAAACAAGAGTTCTTTCTGTGAGTTAGGACAATTATTACAAAGAGGTAATTAATTTTCAGAATTATTATCAGAAAACTTCAAACAAAAAAACAAGAATTAATGCACACAAGATATCAATAAAATATATAAATCAACAATTCTGAAACACTGCCAATTAATTTTTGCTAAAAGCCCATATCTACCGTAACTATAAATTTCTATTTTTAGCTGAATTGAAGCAGATGTTCTAAAACTAGGCTAAGATATGAAGTACATTATACTATATATTTACTTTCCATACTTCTATTACGGTACATTTCTAAAATTAACATGCAACTAATGTAATAAAACCTTTAGTCCTAACCACCCTAAGTTTCTAAAATGGACTTTGTCTTGCTGTAAATTTTGGAACTATCCATTGTTAATGAGAGGCGATTTTAATACAAATATGCTGATATTAGATAAGCCAAAAGTTTAGAGTTGGGTCAGGCTGCATGATTACAACAGCTGACCCAGCCCTATATAATGGTAGCATTGACAGGTCAATATATTGCAGCTAGCTATCAAAATATTAAATATCATTTAATGCCGGCATCAACAAACAAAGGAAGAATGCCATAAAAAGTTTACACTGCAGACCATGCTCAATTGGCCTACCATGATAAGTTGGCACAAAGTATGCTGATGGATGAATTTAATTCATTAAAAATGACCTTATAATTATCATTAGAAAAGGTCATACTAAATCATATCTAATATACATGTACATCATAAAATCACTGGAATCCTATCCTTTCATCTCCACTGACTTACATCAAGTTTAACTCAAAATAGACAATATATCTGTTGGATAAACTAGTCTATATTTTATGCTAGAAATTAAAAGCTAATGTTCTGCACTATTTAAGGATCGTAGCTAGAAATACAAAACAACAAAACAGAAGCAACATTATAAACTGCCAATAGAAACATAAATAAAATAAAGCGCTGCTTTGTTGGCACCTATATTAACCCATTACCTGCTAAATATCTTAAATTGACCAGTCCATCTTTCATTTTAGACAAAGCCATTTATTATTTTTAGAAAATATTTCAAAATATGTACTGACTGAATAGTGGACAGTGCAGACCATGATCAAGATGGCATGAACATGCTGGCTGATCTTGGTCTGCACTGGTTGCATCGGTGATGCATTTGCCTCAAGTAGGCTATGAGTTAAACACAGTGCAGGACAATATGTGGTAATAGGCTATCATTTTATCTAGCATAATCTATATCTGTTCGGACCTTCTCCCCACAAATATCTGGTACCTTCCCCACATATAACATTTAAAGTGGCAGTAAAAATTTTATGATTCTATCCAACTTGTCCTTAACAAAATAACATCTTAAGAAAATAACATCTCTGATCTTAAATGCAATTAGTATAAACCAAGCATCAAATAATTATTTATTATGAAGAAACTATACTGTTGAACAAAATAGAATAATCTTTTTTTTTTTCTTTTTTTTTTTAATTCCCAGGTTTTCCCGTCATGTCAAAAAACCTCAGTGGAGTACTGAGGTTTTTTGACATGACGGGACTGGAACTAATTTTTTGAGTTTATTACTCCATTTGATGTAGATCTATACTAATAAGGTATGTGCAAAATTTCAGATCATTAGCTCCCTCCGTTTTTCCATAATAATTATTATTATAGTGAAAAATGACCCAAAATTGAAAAGCGTTTAAACGCTTTTCACTCAAATTGGACTGAGAAGAGCATAAACATATGATTTTCAATGTATTTATTGTATATTTCCTGGTTATATTTTATTTATATATCTGCTTTAAGCGCTCATGTCTATCTATGTGAAAAATTAAAATTTTATGATTTTAGGCTTATAAACCTCAGTGGAGTTCCTTTAAGCAAGATGTTGTAGGACGTTTAATAACCACAAGCAATACTTAGCTCACTAGGTGGCTTAAGAAAGTATAGGAAATAAAATATTAGTCCAGTAAGAGCACTAGTATAATACACACCATCTAAGTCTGAGGCAGAGTCATTCTGATTACCAGTTTGAGTCCCGAACTCCCGCCGTGGGGAGCCCGGATCACTCCAAGGTTTGGACGGGTGCCTGAATCGACTAGGCGTCAATACCCTATCCTCTGTGTACGGTTCATGCTGAGCATGACTGTAGTGACCCTGAGTTTGAGCTTGACTGTAATTCCCCTGGGCCTGATCCCGACGGGTTGTTTGCATCTGCGCTGGGTGATAATTCCTTGCCGTGCCGAGGTCGAGCCCTGGAATGTGCGAAGAGTCCAACGCAGACTGGTTTTCATCTCTAGGTGTGATCTTCGCTGAAAGTAAAATTCACCATATATCAAATCAAGTTCATTAGTCTCTAATCAACTAGATAACCCTCAACATTCCCAATGAATTTTGTGTTATCTTAAATTGATAACTTTTTTTTTTTTTATTTAAGTCTAGTACCTGACAATAAGAATAAATATATTTTTATAATATCACAATTACAAAAGTATGACGATAATTCTTCAATAAAAGTATATCCTTATAACTTTGTATGAAAATTTTTACAATAAATATATACTGTAGTAATACTACTTATGATACTGCATGCATAAAAACAAAAAACAAATATAAAAACTTTCTGCATAAAACAATGACTACCTAATTCTTTCTTAAAAGAACATTATCATAAAATAACTTTAACTCTGACAAATATAGAAAAAAAGTCTAAAAATTTGTTTTTACAAATATACATTTTTATCTACCAGTATTAACTGCTACAAGGTTACGGTTTCTCGTAATTGGGTAAAAGTTGCATGCCGCCAGATGAGTAAAAAGAAGTATCAAAAAATAATCTTATTAACAGAATTATATTAACTCTTAACTTGCTGGAACTGAGAGTGACCAGCCTTTGCCATCAGTATAGAGCCAGGCCAGCCTGCTCGTAACCGTATAGTCTGACCAGGCGCTATATTGTTTGTGGCTTGATTTTTATATTTTATAACTGAAAATCCCTTAAACTTTGAACGATTTCAAAGAAATATGGATCTGGAGGCAAGCTGCTTTAAATTTTAATAGTCTAATACCAATTGAAGACCAGTTAATGAAAATGAAATGACATGAACTCGTCCGTTACGACATGACATTTTTCATTCTCTTAAACAGGCAGGAACAATAAAATATTATCTGTAAATTCTGCAATTTTGATTCAATGTTTCAAATTATCTAAATTCTCTGGATGTTGTGGCAATATAAAACTTCAATTGTGTGAAATACTGGTAGTATTGTTGTATACATGTATATGATATTAATGAAAATAATGAAACTTTGAAAATAACTGTAACCTAGTTAAAGTATACCAAATATCCTCTTGTGAAAACGTGCTGTCCACAAATAAAAATACCAATCAAAAAAGTGATTTCTTTTTTCTAGTCTAGAATAAAGATACATGTATAACTAAACTGTTGGCATATCTAAATTTTTTTCCATCTGCTCCCTGGAGTAGCCAGTACTGTAACAATTTATGAAATGCATTCTTTACCACCAGTTGGGCTCATACTCAAAATTGCTAAGCTAAGCAAAAGGACCCTTACCATTAGGCCACTGCTCATACTAACTGTATCAATATCATGAAAGAATCATTAGCTACACAACTGCTCTCTTTATCAGAGATATATAAAAGGTTGTTTTTATATATAACCAAGGCCTAAAAATATTGCAAACAATCATTTACATACAGCCATATAACCTCTCAAGAATCTTTTATAACAAATTCATAATACAGCAAACTGCCTTTTTAGAAAAAAAAAAAAAAAACACGAAGTTTCTTCAAAAACTTACAGCAGTTGTGTATATAAAACTATATAAACATTACGATAAAACCAATGAAATGCAACATTACAAATGTGCCGTATTATGATATAAATTATACAAAGTAGAATACAATAGGTATAAACAGAAGAGTTAAATACCAGTATTATTTGATAATTCTAAGAACAATATGACCACCTAAAACAAAGAGCTGTCCGTAAGACAGGTCCTTTGATCTTCCTGTGTTTGAGTAAGAAAAGGGGCATAACTCTGTAAAAAGTAACTCAGAAAATGGGCATAACTCTGTAAAAAGGTAACCCAGAGTTATGAAACCTTTGCCCATCATGTAATTTAATCACAAAGAATATGTGTGTGAAGTTTCAACCCATTCCCTTCAGTAGTTTTGAAGAAACCAACTTGCACTCTCAAACCAAAGTGTGTTGCTGACATCGAGGTGATTACAATAGCTATCCCTATTCTTTGAATAAGTGAGCTAAAATTATGTTGAATAAAAATGTAATGTTTAATAAAAAAAAAATATATATAGCTAATCTGAGTGTGCAACCACAAAATTCTCTATTTAAAAAAAATTCTTAAAAAAACCCTTATTGTCTTTATTTTGCTATAAAAACAAATGCAACCTCTCAAAAACAAAGCCAGTGCTAGAAAGTTAAAATTTTCTAAAAAAAAAGAATATATCTTATCAAAATTACATTCATTCAATACTTTTTTTTCAAATCAATAAATAGTTTAATACTGCAAACCAAGGAAATGTGATTTAGAAGTTTTTCACCGATTTCATTCTCACAAAATGCTTGTTAGCTTTTAAAAAGTTTGTATGCTTTTTTGGGCCTTTTTTGTTAAGCTTACTAAAATAAACATGCTTAGATTTACAATGATATTCCTAAATTTTTTTATTTTACTGGGTTTACAGAATAATTTATAAGGTTTATAAATTAACATAGTTTGCAATAGAAAATTCTGATATACTAAGAAAATCCTGAAAAAAAGCTTAAAGAAATAGTTACCAATTTGTTCATGATTTACTATTATTAAACTTGTATTCTATGAAATTTACAATAATAAATCCTCTATTTTACTGAATATTCTACTACACAGTGAGTGTTTGCTCCACTCTAAATAAATAAAACTTTACAAAATTATTAATGTAACACAAAACATGTCTGTCCCAAATTTGACTGCCTACACAAGGTACAACCTGTTTTCTGAACCTTTTCTGAAGAAATAATTCTCCTAGAGTATGTGTACATTGTATATTAAAGTCAAGATTTTTCCAGAGGGAGTTGATGCAGATCAGGGGGTTGAGAATCACACCAATAATGTAAAGGTCATATCATAATATGGCAACCATCAAGCTTGGTAAATTGAGGGAAACCTCAGGTTTCCCACTTAACCTTGTTTCCAACAAGAATAGGTGCAAGAGTAGGACCATCAAGCTTGCTAGATACCCGTTTTCCTCACAAGAAAGAATTCAAAATACATGGCAAGATTTCAGCCAACAGTAGTGAGGGGCAAAAGAAAATGTGACAAGAAAATGTGACAAGTTAAAAAAATTAATGTCAATAGCGAAAAATAAATTCAAAAAGAAACATGGCAGATTTCAGAATCTGGAACAAACATGTTTTGTTTTTTTATGCAAGAAAATCATATTCTTTTTAAAAAATACACATAAAGTGATCCAAAAAAATTATAAAAAATTCCCATCACTCGAACAAACACGTTCTTTATGCAAGAAGATCATAACTATTCTTTTGAAAAAAATAAAATAAATAGAATAAGAAAGTGATCCAAATCAAAAAAAAATTCCCATCATCCTTTGTGTTAATACCATCGCTGGGTGGCTCAGAACGAGACTGATTCTGATCTTCCTCCTCCTCAATTGTAACGCCCCAGTGCCGCAACTCAAGAAGCTGACGGGCACGTTCAACGTCACGTTCACGTCGGGTGTGTAACTGCTCTATTCTACTTGTTATCTCCCCTTTAAATGTAATCTTTTTTGTTTGTAAGATGTGCCAATGGTAATATATTAAAATATCTTAATATAGATGACAAAAAAAAAAGATTTTATTAATAAGGAAAGAAAAGGAGACAACTACCCATGAGAGATAAACTTGTGTTACTTTTCCCTCATATTTCCTATAAATTGGAATTGTTTTATCATACCTACTAAATTTTTATACTCTTCTCCAGTCTTTATGTGATATTTTGGTTCCCACTAAAATACCTAAAATGAATTTTTTTTTCTCTGAAATTTTTCCAGACCCTCTTCAGTCTAAGAAAATGTTTTTAAACATTTAAAGACAGTAGTTATACACTGACAATTGTTGCTACATAAGCAAGCAAGAACATGTAAATATACTGGTCACAACACAGTTGCTGGTAACAATCAAATACCTGTGTCACAACTCCAGCTAAATGTTAAAGGCCAAATTCCAATTCCTTCATACAAGTTAAGTTAGCCATAAAAAGCATATGTTATGTATGATGGGACGTAAATCAGCTGATTTTATCACTCTTTTTTTCCAATTGGTGAAAAAAAAAAAATATTCACAGTCATGAACTTTACATGATAAAAAAAAACTGATATTCTAAAATCTTGGCTGATGAAACACTCAAATTTGGGGGGAGCAGGAAATAAATGAAAAATTGTAAAAATACCTTACATTGTAATGCTCTGTAACACATGATGGTTTGTTTTACAGTTTTGTTGAGATTTACAGACATTGTAATTTATATCATATGGCTACTTTCAAGCTTTTCCTGGTAGAGGAAGACTTCAGGTGCTCTCTCTTGTATTATTTCAGACATGAGTGGCCATCTGAGTAGAATCACCAACCTTCTTTTAGACAGCTGGAAAGCTTCATTACATGAAAAAAAAATCCAAAGCCTCTGACATGATTCGAACTCATGGTGATGAGGGGCAAATCTGAACTGAACAAAAATATTTCACCAGTCAAAAGTAGTTTTGTGCAGTTAGATCTGCTGACATGTACACTTAAGACTTATTTCAAACAAAATATTGATAGCCATAATTTTTTGAAACATGAGAGTCATGATAGCTCAGTATTGCTCTGCAGGGTTTACAAAAAGATCTGCAAAAAGCACAGTGTTAATGAAGATCGTTATCTTTCATAAAAAAACTCTTTTTTTTCATATTTGTTTCATTAATTGAGAGTTTTTTTTTCTCAATACAATTTTTCAAACTAATGGATTGATACATATGCCTTGGTAACACAGACTATACAAGTAATATAAAAGCCCTATTTATAAACAGTGCATGGTAAATACAAATATTTGACCATGTCATGTGACATAGGATAAACATTTATACAACCACTTGTCCTAAACATCTACCATGCATATATATGTCCTTTGTGCTTCTATTTCAAATAAACCATAGGAGTGGCATAATATTATCAAAGCATATTACACATACAACCTGTGCCATAACTGGTTAAATTATGCTACAAAGCATGCAATAAATAGTACAATACTATCTGGTAAAATGAAAACTTCATACATATAATTATATGGACTATGAACTATAACGAATACAGATAAATACGAGAGTATGGCCAACAAAACGATACATTATGATATCAAAACAAGTACATGGTAAATGATACATTGACACTAAGCTTTTGTTTTCATTTTTGATACAAACTTACATGATCCTCCCAAATGTACATCAAGAGCTAGAAAAAGTGTGAGATGAATAAAGCAAGTGGGAAAAATAGAAACAGTTCTAAAAGACTGTTTAGAAAAAAATGACATTTACTTGTAATGCTCTAATCAACTGTAAGCCTGCCCCTAACAACCTCCCTCGGACCAAACCCTAGGGAAGTACAGGGACTGACATGAGCATTGAGTATTATTCCCCCACTGCTGAGACACAAAAGCGGTTTTGATTTTGAGTAAAGATGGTTTCGTTTTTATGCCAAAGTAGTAGGAGACAATTCCCACTCACTTTACGTGGGCATATATGGGGGGGGGGGGTTGCTGTGACTGTCTCACTGTGACAGCATAGTGGCAGCCTTAAGCAAAGATTTTGGGACCCATGAGTCATAATTTATGCTTTTCCCCTGTAGTTCGAGGCAGCGGTTACAAATGACTAAAGCATTATGTCATATAGAATAATATCATATTATGAAAAAAGTCTAAAAATATTTAACACTGAAAATATCTGATGAGATAAGACTAATAATGGGTCTTGATCAAAATGGCCTTACTTTTCAGGTGGTCTCAAAAGTGAAAAATTGCTATCTAGGCTTAGATATCTTACTGCATTCACGTTAGCTTAATGATATTTGAAAAAAAAGGTGATCAAGAACTGAATAAAATAAAACAAAGTAAAAGCAAAATTCATGAAAATTAATCCTTTGAAAAAATTATTTGGTAATTATCCAAATCGGTGTGTAATCTAGTAGGCATCTGTCCATCTTAAAAAACAATGTATTTCTAAGAATTTCAGATATTACATATAATAATTGAGCCGTGTCATGACAAAACCAACATAATGTGTTTGCGACCAGCATGGATCCAGACCAGCCTGCTGTTCGCTTACAGACCCTATAACAAGTAAAGAAACTGATCGCGAACAGCATGGATCCTGATCAGACTGCGGGGATGTGCAGGCTGGTCTGGATCCATGCTGGTCGCAAACCCATTATGTAGGTTTTGTCATGACGCGGCTCATATGATGGTTGAATGTCTGGAAACTGGAACATTTATAAAGATGATCCTGCAGTGTAAACATATACCTTCAAGATGTTCCCGTAGTTTTTTGGTATCGTGACCACCAGCCTCTAGGTGTTGCATCCTACGTTGATATTTCTCCTGTAAGGCCTGGGCCTGTGCCTCATCCATGGCTGCTTTAAGCTGATTTACCTGTTGCTGTCGTTGTTGCTGTAATATAAATTTATAATTTACTGTTACAAGAGCTGACAAATGGACATTGTGCTTCTTTTTTCTCAACGATTTATGTAGTAACACAAATTTTCTAAGTTTGTAAAAGGAAAAAAATTACATAAATAATTTCTGTGTACAATTATTATACTTTAGACATGTGTGAAGTTTCAATTTAGCACCTGTAATAGTAAATAAGATATGTTCTAAGTTTCAAGTGTACATCTTTAATAGTTCATTAGAAATATTCTAAGTTTCAAGTGAACTTCTGTAATAGTTCATGAGAAACATGTTAACTTGTGAGATGATATGAGAAGTTTATACTGAACAATTTTAATGGTTCATGAGAAAAGTGTGAAGGTTTTGGCACACATAGAAATCAAATATGGGTTTGAAAACAGAAAACAGAATTTGTCATCATCAGAAAGTGCAAAAAAATGTTGTTTTTTTTAAAAATGCTTTCGTTAACAAATTCTGGCTATATCATTGTAAACAGAACGATCAAAATCACTTAAAATTCATACTGTATAACATCAGTTTTACAAAAAGGACCAGGCTTGCTCCAGTAAATCTTCATACCTCCCTACCTTCATTCTACTGAAGTTTGTGTATATATTGTTTACCTCTTTTTGTTTCTGTTTTTGTTGTTCATTATCAAACTGTTTCTGCAGAGCTTCTCTTTCCTGTTTGAGTTTCCTTTCCTCTTCCATATCTTCCTTCATTTTTCTTTCTCTCTCCATTCTCTTCAAATTCTCCTTCTCTTCTACCTGGGCTTTTACAGCAGCCTGTATAATACACACAACACTTCTTTTCAAATCATATACATTGTGTGTATTGATCATAGGAAATATATCTTAAAAAGTATTTACAGTTGAATTCTTGGTATTGCAAATGCTTTTATTTAATCATTCTAAACTTTAGAATGATTTTTAGAATATAAGGATCAGAAGCTGTTATCATAACTGTAAATTTTTGGTTTAATTTTGAGTCACAGTGGCCAAACACCCATTTTTCAGCTTTACTGGTGTTTACAAAGTTACTCAACAGTTACAGTTGTTTCCTTAAGCAAAAAACTGAACACTTATTGCTTAATACTGGTTGCTTCTAAGAACATATTCAAGAGTGTATCTTTAAGCTAAACTAAACAAATTCATTACAAAGTAAGTTCATGTATTGTATGTAACTCCTGAATTACAACTCCTGAAGTTTTTGTGTTACACACCTGATGTTCTAAATATCTTCTACGCTTATCCTCTAGTTCCTTCTTTGTGACAGGGTCAATGGGTGCATTCTGGCCTCGGATATGGGAGGCACTGTAAACCCAAGGAAAAGTATTTTAATGAAAGTCATTTTGATAGTTTTATTAATTTACAATGATACCCATATTTGGTCATGTATAATCAGTGATCATCATTTGGTAGTGAAATGATCTTTAACAATAAAATCTCTGCATATCTCATTCTACTGAAAATCTAATGATTCTTAAGTATTTTGTATGCATTAGCTTAAGCATTTGGTTTTTATACACCATTTTGTTTCTTTCCTTCAGAAATATATGAAAATTTGGAAACTGATGTATGAAATACTAGTACTGTCCTTATCCTTAGAATAATTTACGTTTGTACAGCACTGCAAGTGGAGAAATACCTCAGATGTCCCTCCATGCATTATTTCAGGCACTGGAGAGATCTGAACCCATAGCAGTTATTTATTCTATAAGCCCCATTTAGTCTAGCAACTGGTAACTGAATATTATCATTTTATTATAAGTTATCATTCATCTATGATGTCAATATGGCCAAACAATACAATCCTAAAATTGCCTTTCATATCAGACAAAATTATCTACTGTTTCTCAATTGCTAGAAAACCTCTCAGTGTAAGACAAGTCTAATGCTTTAAATGTCATCATTCCCTGTGCCTTTTATAAATAAATAAGCTTTGTAGAGTGATGTCATTTTGCCATTATGAGTGAAGTAAATTTGTAAGCTTCTATAAGAAAAATGTACTAAATGAAAATATTAATTTCATAATTTGTTAAGGACACCGACTGTCATCACAGACAGGAATATCCAGCTCTCGGGTAACTGTTTAGCGGAAACTTGGCAGAGTCTCATTACTGCAGTAAACAGTTACCTTTGAGCTTTACATTCCGGCCTATACACACAGCTGGTGTAAGATCGTTATTTTCTACCAATTAAATTTATTATAATATATATGAAAATAAAATTATATATACTGCTCATCGGGATCTCCTTCCGGGGCACTATGTACACGACCAGTATCCAGTAACCCAGTTACATGATCTATACTTGTGTTTAACTTATCTCCCTGTCCAATCTCCCTTGGTTGCTCCGGGAAAGGTGCGGGCTGGTGCTGACTAAATTTATCCGCCCACGTTGACTCGTCTTTGTGATTATTTTGTCTTAACTCCTGTTGTTTCTTCTCCTCAATCTGTTTCTCTGGAATATAACAATAAAACCATCAGCTTGGCAACTGAATATACCCATGCGACCAGTGCAGACCAAAATCAGCTGGAATGTCTGTGCAGTCCATGGTCTGCACTTTATTTTGAAATTTTCTCTCTTAAAAACGATAGTACTGTTATGTAATTGCACCCAAAACAAAATGTTCCTTTGACACATCTTCATGCAAGTACCTTCTGTAGTGGCCAATCAGATCCTTGTATTTATAAGCCCCCCTTTGTGTACTGGTTAGCCTCTGCATGTATATTTATATATCAGTCACTGTTGAGTCTGTGATTGTGAGCGTATTTTTTATGAATGCGATAAAGCTATATTGAACCATCCTGTTTTGTGTCTGATATACGATACAGACAACATTACACCTTCATGCAAGTCTAAGAATAATAGCCCCATTAGTCAAGAAGTCAAGTTTTACCTAGGTCTGCAAGCCATTGTTTTCTCTCCCTTTCTTTAGCACTTGTCAGTTTATCAAAATCAGGAGCTGCTTGCTGTAATACAAGACATAAATTATATTAATATTTTAACCTACTGAATATATTAACTGAACTTGTCCAGCTTCCATTTTTGAAACTGTGCATTATCAGTTTTGGTGATATCAAGTCTTTTTTTTTTTTTTTTTAGTTTGGTTTACGTCACACCAACGTAGTGTAGGCCGTATTGTGACTTTCAAACTTTGTTGGTGGAGGAAGACCTCAGGTGCTTACCATGCATTTAGCAGGCACTTGAGTAGAGCATAAGCAAGATGGATAACTTTCTCACATGAGACTCTGAAGATGCCAGCGTGGCTTGAACCTACAGCAGTAAGAGGCAAGTCGTTTGAGGTCAACAGATCTTAAGTCAGATAACAGTATAGAGCCTGGTCAAATTACTAGATATTCTGGCTGGCCGGGCTCTATACTGGTGAGAAAATGTAATCTTTTTGGTTTCATCAGGGTGTGGGTTTATGTAGCTAAAGCCGAACATTGATTAATTAGTCAAGGTAATGAGAGGCCAATATGACTTGATACTGTTAGAAACATGACTGGATGCTGTTTTAGCAAACATGACTGGAACCTGAAGCAACAAATGTGATTGAATGTTTCATAAACTAACATGATTGGATACTGTATCAGCCAACATGACTTAACACTGTTCTAAAAACGTGACTTGATGCTGGTTTAGCAAACGTGACTGGGAGCTGAAGCAGCAAATGTGATTTGTTACTAAATTAGCCAACATGATAGGAGAATGCAATGTCCTATGCACTAGCACATGTAACAGCAAGATTAATTTAAACAGTGTTGACCATATATGGGCTAAAATCTATTGTCTTATATACTTACCCCTAAAACAAAAGAACTCCTCATAGTTATAGGAACGTTTTTATCTAGCCCTGGCTGCTGGGTGTGCGAAGGTGGAGACCTTCCTCTAGGTGGTTTTCGTGTCTCTGGGGGTCTCGAGCTTGGCTCGGCTGGTTTCTTGGTCTCTGATGATGTTTCTTCCTCAGGGATAGCCTCATTGTGTATGTGATCCTACAGATTGAGAATTAAAACCATAATATTATCAATTTATTAGTTGTAACCTAATATCACCCAAGGTCACTTGTTTTCAATGCAATATAACATTAACATATCTCTTTTATAAAACTCACAATTTTAAAGTAAAATATCACAGAATCATTCACCCTACACAATAATAATGGGTGTTTTTTGCTGGCTTTTAAATATCATGTGATAAAGAAAATCTTACATTTGATGTCAAAACAAAAGAACGTCCTTATTGATAAAAGAGCATAACTGAGAGAATTATGTACTCATGCATACATGTAGATGTCTCCTCATAAACTGGCATGATTTAACATTTGTTGGCATGACTTCCAGGATAAATTAGCATGACCTTACACTTTTAATGTGACTTCCCTTAAATGATTTATCATTTATGTGCTAGCATTAATAAATAATTTTTCATGAGATTGATGTTGGCATGAATTCCATAATATTGGCATGACATGACATTCCTTGGCATGACTTATCCTATTTTGGTATGACTTAACTGACACTATCAGTTTCTCTACTTGTTAAAGGGTTTGCCTGATCAGGATCCATGCTGGTTGCAAACCCACTATGTTGGTTTTGTCGTGACGCAGCTCATTTGTTTGTATGACTTCCAATGTGTTGTCATTAATTAACATTTGTTGGCATGCTGACCTTATATTACCCTTATATTTGAGTGTATTAACATGCATTGGGATCACTTTCTTCCATCAGCATATTTAAGCTTGCATAAGCATAATTTACTTTCACTTCCAACAGCATGGTATACTTTAATAAGCATAGCTTAGCTTTCATTAATACAGCCTAGCTTTTATCAGCATAGTTTAGCTTGCACCAAAAAAACTTAGTTTTCATCAGCATTCCTTAGTTTGCAACAGCATTATTTTAAGTTCCTAAAAAATAACTCAGATTGCATCAGTGCATACCTTAGCTTTCACTAGCATAACTTAACTTTTGTTGGCAAAGCTTAGCTTTCATGAACATAGATTAACATTCATCAGCATTACTTAATTTGCATCAGCCTAACATAGCTTTCACCAGTATAACTTTTTTGCATCAGCACGACTTTCTTCCAAAAGAATAACCTAGCGTTTATTTGCATAGTTAAGCATGCATTTGCAAAGCTTAAATTTAATCAGCTTGACTTATTTCCAAAAGAATAACACAGCTTTCACAAGCAAAACTTTACTTTTGTAAGCATATCTTAAGTTTTCATCAGCATAATTTAACTTCTGTTAGCATAGCTTAGCTTTCATGAACATAGATTAACATTCATCAGCATTACTCAACTTACATCAGCCTAACATAGCTTTCACCAGCATAACTTTTTTGCATCAGCACGACTTTCTTCCAAAAGAATAACCTAGCGTTTATCTGCATAGCTAAGCATGCATTTGCAAAGCTTAAATTTAATCAGCTTGACTTATTTCCAAAAGAAAAACACAGCATTCACCAGCATAACTTAGCTTCCATCAGCAAAACTTAGCTTTTGTCACCATACCTTAGCTTTCATCAGCAGAGCTTGGCTCTAATCAGCAATGCTTAGCTCAAATCATCAAAGCTTAGCTCAAATAAGCATAGCTTAGCTTACATAAGCATGGCATAGCTCAAATCAGCATAGCTTAGCTCAAATCAGCTTGGCTTAGCTTACATCAGCATAGCTTGACTGCATCAGCATAGCTTAGCTCAAATCAGTATAGCTTGGCTTACATCAGCATAGCTTTGCTTACATCAGCAAAGCTTAGCTCAAATCAGCATAGCTTAGCTCAAATCAGCATAGCTTAGCTTACATCAGCATAGCTTAGCTTGCATCAGCATAGCTTGGCTTGCATCAGCATAGCTTAGCTCAAATCAACATAGCTTAGCTTACATCAGCATAACTTGGCTTGCATCAGCATAGCTTTGCTCAAATCAGCATAGCTTGGCTTGCATCAGAATAGCTCAGCTCAAATCAGCATAGCTTAGCTTACATCAGCATAGCTTGGCTTGCATAAGCAGAGCTTGGCTTACATCAGCATAGCTTAGCTCGAATCAGCATAGCTTGGCTTGCATCAGCATAGCTTGGCATGCATAAGCATAGCTTAGCTTTCATCAGCATAGCTTAGCTTTTATCAGAGTAGCTTAGCTTTCATTATTATAACTTAATTTTGTCAGCATAACTTAGCTTTCATTTGGCATAGTTAAGCTTGCATCAGCATAGCTTAACTTTCATCATCATAGCTTAGCTTTCATCAGCATAAATTTGCTTGCATCAGTATAGCTTTGCTTTAATATCAGCATAGCTTAGCTTGTATCACCATAACCTAGTTTTCATCAGCATAACGTTCCTTTTGTCAGCATAGCTTAGCTTTCAACACCCTTACTTAGCTTACATAAGCATATTATAGCTTAGCTACAACCAAGTTAGCATAGCTTTCATTAACATTGTTTAGCCTGCATCAGCATAACTTAGCTTTAATTAGCATAGCTTATCTTTCACCAGCATAACATAGCTGTTATCAAGTTGCCTTGTTTCCAACAGGATACTTAGCTTCCATCAGCATAATTTAACATGTTAGCATCAAGTTGAATAGTGGAGATGTGATAACAATTTTTGTTGTTCCTGTTCAAATTTTTTATGGACATAAGATTGTGACAAAATATGTCAAAATACATGCACCTTGAGTAACTCTGGTAGGCTATAAAATGAAGGCATGACTTTACCATGCTGTCATGATTCTAGTCAAATTTTACATCAAACTCAAAATTAAAAAAAAAAAATCTGCACATAATCTTTTCAAATACATTTATCATTTTTCAGCTTTCTTGTTCGATTTTCCAAGTGAAGTTTAGAGGTTAACCTGGGTTAGCCTAGCGGGATATATCCAAACATTTATCCAAAGCATTAAACTGACTCTCGTTGTAAAATTCACTCTGTAACAAATGAGCTAATCAGATACTGGATTTGTAGGTAGAACCTGTAACATATGCCTATAAAAAAGGTTTATTTTTAGGAACAGTGGCTAGAGTATTGAATTACAAGACATTGTGTGTTCAAATGCAAAGGCAGCCATTGCATATTAAACCTAAAAATTGCCTTTTGATGAAGAATTATACTGTAAGACAGGTTCGAATCACATTGCTGGCTTATATTTTGATGTAACTAATACTGCTATGGACAGAGTTTCATAGGAAATGTTTATTTTCATATAAGTATATTCCATTGAATCTTGGAAAACTATTCCTATGCTGAAATCTAGTTAATTATTCATTAACAAAATAGCCAGAAAAACATAATTTCATAAAATCATGTTCTTGATAAAAGTGATCCATACCCTAACCTTTACTCTGAGGATAAGGGTAAGTATACCTTCAGACTTACACAATTTCTAGCATCATAACAAACATGGTGTTGCTTCTCATTGTAATTTAATCTTTTCCAAAAAAATTTCTATGACGCTTGTATAACTTCAAGTAAAATATCATCAAACGAAAAGTTAATGTGAAACTTTTTAAAATAACAGAAAAATTTTGAAACTAAGCAAACCATGTTTATGTTCAGCCAGACTGTGTTTAAATCATAGTAAATATCCTAACTGGACAAGAAGGAAAAACACAAAACCAGTCAACTTTTTATTTTAATGTTTTTTTTTTAAATCTCTTTAACAGAGCTAACATATACAGTTAATAAAACATCTAACAAGCTAAAAAATACCTTTTAATGCGTAATCTGAGACCATCTGAGTAATGGAGCATTTCATGATATGATTTAAAAATATGGACGGAAATAAATAATTTTCATGTACAAAAAAAAAAAAAAAACTGCCAAAAAAAATTTCAGCAGTACACTCCTTGAAGTGACAAATAACTTAAGTTTTGCGGAAAATCTATTGTCTTTTCATTAATTTCAGTTAATTTACAATTTAAGTGCCCAAAATCTGATTGAGAATTTTTTTAACAACTGGCTTCACATAAAAATAGGAATGCAATAAAGTCAAAGAAACAACACCATGTTTATATAATTATGTATTGTCTATATATAGTTTCTTTTATTACTAACTAAACAAAAAAAACTATCTAGCATTCAAAATATATTCATCTGTTCTGAAATATTGATTTTTATCTAAGAATAATTATATTGGAACGTAAAAAACAATCTCCTTCAAATGAACATCTGTATATCATAATGCAAACAATACATTGCCTACGTGTTCTGAATTTTGGCAATATTTTCACTTGTTATTAGTTAAACAACATTTATTACATCCCCATACCCCAACATTATATTAAAATTCAAGTTACCTAGGTTAAATAAAATAACATTGTATGTAGAAATCATTAAAATCAATCAATGTTAACAAAACAATGCATGGCCTTGGTGCCAAACCTTGCATCACTCTAACCCCAATTGATGTAAGACCATCAATTTGCATCAGGTCCTCTAAAACAATAACATTTTGGCATAAAAGAAATGCTGCCACGTATAAAATTAGTAAAAAAATATCCCACTTCCAAGAAGTTCAGCAAGAACACAATACATGTACATAATAAAGACATAAAACCATAAAATTCTTATAAAATCTTACTGAGAACAAATACCTCTTTGAAATAAACAGCTGTTTAAATATAAAACATTTCTATGACGGAAAATGAGGCAAAATTAAAAAAAATCTTGCACAATATCAAAACTCAAAAAATAGATGCTGTTTAATATATCAATTCTATGAGTAAAATTAGTAAAAACAGATGCTTTGATGAAATAAATGTCTTTGACCATCAAATTTTCAACTATTCCATGCCTTCAAATCCAATCAAACAAAAATCTCAACGTTGCTTTATAAATTACATAAACTATTCTTTGATACATACATGTGCATGAATTATTTTACAAATTCAAAATAGACAGATTCACAAATTTATTTGACAAAAAGGGAAACTCAAAAGTCTACATTATATTGATTCTTAGCACTTGTTACATAGTGTTTAACCACATATACATACTATGATTTGAGTTATGAAGAAATGACTTTGATGCCATGACATTATAAATGAGCACCCCAAATTTCACAACCGCATGTGTTAAATGAAAATATGGTAAATTATAATCATGACTTTTGCAAAATAAGCTCTTGATGAATCTGAACAAAAGAATAAATAACAAATCTGTTTTCAAGAAATAATGACAAACATTATGCTTACACCTCCCATTTTTTTCTAAAATATTACAGTAATGTTCGTAACATGGCGAAATTATTTTCACATTTAAATAATCTTACACAATTATAACTTAAAATCAGTTAAATTGAATAGCTTATCTCTCCATCTATTATTATGCTAAATAACCCATGCAATTCTCATTGTGTAATCCTCTATAAAGGCAACAATACACATGAGAACACTAATACACATATGGAGTACATGTTCTAAAATGACTTAAAATCTCATGTTTTGAACTAAAAAATATAAACATAGCAAGAAAATTAGAATGTTTAGCAGTAATACACATAAAACATTAATATTATTTCTGCAATAACTAGTCATTGCATTGAATAAAACTTCATTATCTCCAGGCTTTAAGAAATAGCATCATGCATAGAGCAGAGCTCACTCTGTAAGTAATAATATATCACAAAACACAGTCTGACTACTGCGTAAATTACTTTTGCCTTCTCTTGCAAAACTATGGTAATTGGTAATCACTTAAAGATGCTTTAAGATTAGCTACCCTCAAATATCCAATGATCAGTGACACTTAAAAATTTACAGAATGAACAGATAGAATGGTGCAAACTGCCGCAAAAATGTATAAATCATTATCTGATTGCCTGAAATCGACATTCCTTTCATTTATGAATTGATTAAGTGCCAATAATTAAAAATATAACTCCTAATTTAGAATCCCTGAATAATGTATTACATGGTGTAGAAAAACTCGCCTACTTGAATGTTGATGTAAAATATATTCACATGAAGAAAAAATGCATAGTCTTCATTAAAGGCACATGTTTTGATCTCGAACAGTCAGAGCATATTCATTACATTTGGAATTATCAACTATGATAATCAGAACTTTAAAAGGACATTGTATGTGGTTAGAAAAAAAATTCCATTAACATTGACCATGTGACTCTTTAATTTATGATCAATTCATTCCTTCATCTTTTACATTGTTTGTTTCACAGACCTGTCAGTATTGAATTTTTTGGCGATTACATAGCTATCATGAAACTTTCTAAGAATATATTTCCCCTATTTAAATACCCGCCCACTAATACATCATCATAACTTTGCCCGCATACGAGGCTTTGCGCACCTGTCTTCCTTTGTAATCAGCCACCACATGCCCGGACCGCGTACGAATTGGAGCTCCTGCTCCTGGGCGACCCCAAGGATCATTATTAGCTGCTGCACGTTCAAGTTGCACAGACTCCACTGAAATATTAGAAAATAAATTCATCTTTTTAATCTAAGAAATCTCATGACCAATTCAATCATAAAAATGTCAAATACGGATTCCAAGCTTTAAAGACAACATGAACTTTATACCAAGAGTAAATTCATTGAACTTAGCTGTCTAAACATGAAAATTGTTCCCTTAAAATAACATACAATCTAATCAAAATCACCTGAATGATTTTGAAGAATAATCAAATCTCAAAATAAATTTAAGAACCTACAAATCATATCAATATCATACCTCGATCTTTCTCCCACTCGAGTCGTTTTTTCTCTGCCAGAGTCATATGACGTCTAGGTATACCAACGGGTGCTTTTGGACTGGTATCCGGGGTTGTATAGGAAGGCAGGTCGGGTGACCTATCAGGTGACCTTTGGTCTGAAGGTGACCTTGATCTTCGACCACGTCGGTTACCATCTGTGTAGTTACTGTTCTCCGTGTCCCGACCCCGGTCATATCTAGTCTGACGAGTTGCTGGTGGATCTGAGCGGGTTGGCTGATGACGCTGCGGTGGTTTTTTGAAAGATTCCTCAGGGTCATATTGCGAGTTAAGTTTTTTAATTCTGTCTTCTTCTTTTCTGTAACATAGATGAAGAATATGTAACACTAGCCAAAAGAACCTGATTAACACTATCAACAACCAAAGAAATTTGCTTGCAAATGATAAATCCTCACACTCCTTTTCCTGTAAATTTCATTATCATATCCATTATATTTCAGTGTCCAAAAAGAGAACCAAGACAATATTACATTTTTTTAGATAAGCAACATGTAAAATTTCATAGAAACCCTGATCAAAAATAAACTAAATTCTGAGTAATAAAGTACATGTATATCAGTCCAAACCAGTCAAAACTTTCGAAAGATGAATTAAGATCAACAACAAATATATTTTATAATTTTTTACCTTTCCTCTTCATCAAGTACTTTTTGTCTCGCCATTTCAAGTCTTCGTCTTTCAGCTTTTGTCATATGTCTCCATGATAAATCAATAGGGAGACCGATTTTATCCCTCGGAGACGGAAATAATCCTTCCTCCTCTTTATTATTACTAGTATTATGAATGTCTAAATCCCTTTCTTCACTTTTATTCCGAGATCTTTTTCCTTTCCTATCCTTGGAATTATCACGTTTTCTTGAATTATCTTTCCGTTCGTAACTTCTGTCAGCCTCTTCATCATCCGAGTCACGATGTTTTGAGCGGTTCCGTCTACGTCTATTCTCTTTTTCATAGTCACTATCATTATCAATGTCTTTAACCTTGGACTTATTTGCCCGTCTTAGTTCAGCAATTTCTCTATCAATTGCATCTTGTAAAGTGTCACCGCGAGACCGTCGGTTTCTTTTCTCTCGCAAATTATCGTCATCATCTATATCAATGTCTTTATTTCTGCGATTTTTATCAGAAACTCGACGATCATCCTCCTCTTCTTCTTCCTGTCTCCGAGACCTTCGTTCCTTTCTGAAACACAGATTAAAAAGATTATTATAACATTCTCTTCAACAGTTGTTAAATTGATCAAAACTAATTTATCATTATTTTCATATCCTTAAACAAGAGTGGAAAAATAAAACAAAATTTCTTCCATATTCCTCAACTCAGGATAATAAAACTTTTTCCTGAGTTCTGTTTTGAATATTAAGATTTTCATTGGTCAGCATAGTATCTGTGTTGGTTTTTGACCAAGTTAATACCTGAGATCAACGTCTGAGCTTGGAAAATCTATTCTGAACATCAGACCCAGATTTACAAAAGAAGTTAATTTTAAATCATCAAAGTATGTGATCAAATGTATATTTTCTGTTATTTTATGGGGGAAAAAAAAGACAAGAAAAAGTTAATTTTCCAATATACAATTCTGCATCAGTAATATAATACTAGTAAATAAGTTGGAATTCAATTCAAAGTTAGTTATAGTAAAACTTAAAGCTATTGTTTAGTTATAGTAAAACATAAAGCTATCTTATTATCTAGCAGAATAATACATGCATAGCAGCAACACACAATTATGGTGTAACTCTAAGTTATAATAACAAAATAAGTGTCAAATTGGAAACGCTATGACCACTTACTAACTACATTTATATGAACTATAAATGTCCATGAGAACTGTTTAACACAAATGTATAAAATGAAATCATATCATAGGGGTATTGTAATGGTTAAAGAGAACTAATAATATATTTGTTGTATTCTTAACATTAGTAATTTCAATTCATCTCTTGGACTAGATACACATCAAAAATAATAGATACACTAGCAAGCCCTGTCACTACCTGCTCTTCTTATCAGTTTTTGGTGAGAAAATATAAATAATGTCAATTACATCAACCACAGCAAATTGATATAGTAACAGTATGTATAAAACAGAAAGTAGCAAAATTAGTTTGGCAAGTATCAAAATTGTGTAATTCTATAAAAAGCAAGGCTTTAATAAAATTTGTTAATCATGTATTTTTGTTGGGTCTTTGGTTGTAATTTTGTGTCCAATCAACATTGTAAAGCATTTTCCCAGTTTAATTGGTGGTCGAAAACTACAAGTGCCCCTTTAAGCATTATTAGCAGTAAAACAAAGGGTGGGTGGCACTGGAGTAAGGCAATTATTTTTCTGCTAGCGAGCTAGCTAACAAGGGGCTATTCATTGAGCTAGGGTTCATACAGATATTCAATGTGAAAATTCAAGCTTTTTTTTCAACGATAGACACTTTTTGTCACACTACCAATACTTCAATAACTTACAAGAGCACCGCTAGGCGGAGCATTATATGCCCGAAAGTGTTTTTTTTTAGTAAGGATGAAGCATTTGTAAGACATGGGAATGAGCTGTTCATCCTATAAAATTTTACAGCTGAAGGTTGATTAATACTTAAGTTATTAATAATGACCTTAACCTTTGACCTTGTGACCCCAAAATCAATAGGGGTCTTCTACCTTATATGAACAATCATCCTAAGAAGTTTGAACATTGTGGGCCAAATGGAACTTAAGTTATGCTCAAGAAACTGTTTTGGTTTTTAAGGTAATTGTGACCTTGACCTTTGACCTAGTGACCCCAAAATCAATAGGGGTCTTTTGCCCAATATGGACAATCATCCTATGAAGTTTGAATATCGTGGGCCAAATGGAACTTAAGTTATGCTCCGGAAACTTTTTTCAGTTTTAAGGATATAGTGACCTTGACCCTTGACCTTTTGACCCCAAAATCAATAGGGGTCTTCTACCCAATATGGGCAATCATCCTATGAAGTTTGAACACTGTGGGCCAAATGGAACTTAAGTTATGCTCCGGAAACTGTTTTCAGTATCAAGGTAATACTGACCTTGACCTTTGACCTTGTGACCTAAAAATCAATAGGGGTCTTTTACCCAATATGGACAATCATCCTATGAAGTTTGAATATTGTGGGACAAATGGAACTTAAGTTATGCTCCGGAAACTGTTTTCAGTTTTTAGGTCATAGTGACCTTGACCTTTGGACCCCAAAATCAATAGGGGTCTTCTACCCAATATGGACAATCATCCTATGAAATTTGAACATTGTGGGCCAAATGGAACTTAAGTTATGCTCTGGAAACCAAATTGCTAACGGACGGACGGACGGAAGTTCTCAAAGGACAGTAATTATGTGGCTACTCTATTGCTCTCTCTATTGTTCTTTTTAGCCACACAAAAGAAAATAACCACATAAAAGCATTACGGAATGAATGACATCAAAGAGAAAGAACAGTTACCTATTGTCCCTCTAGCCACATAATTACTCTCCTGTGAGTGCGGACGGACGGACGTCCGGACAGACAGACGGTTGCCAGAAGGTATAACATAATATGCCCTTTTGGGCATATAAAAATAGTCACATCTCATAAAACTATATTTTGACTGCTATATCACTTTTAATAAAATTCATTACCTTATATGTAACATGTTACAATATGGCTATGGTGTTAACTTCACCAAATGCTTTATTTAATTTTTTTCACTCATTAAAATTTTTGTTGTCAACTATCAACCCTCAACCATGCACTCTGTCTAATTTTTAAATTTTAAGCATATTTTCAGACAAATTTAAGCACCTTTCAAGCACTTTTAAATTTAAGAGAGAAATCAAATAAAAGAACATTAAAGTACTTTTTTTCATTATAAGCACTTTTTAGAAAAGACTAAAATTACTAAAATAAGGACTAAAATTTAACCCTGTCAGCTTTAAATATAAATTATATTTAAGCAAAATAAACTGAAGCTGCCAAAAAGAAATTCAAAGCAAGCATAATACATTAAAAGCAAGCAAAAAAAGAAATGGTAAAAAAGGGGTAAATACAATATGCAAGTTGCTATGGTTATAGTTTAGGATGTTACCTCTTCTTATATTTCTTTGTTAATCTCCGCAGTTCTAAACTGTCATCACTATTTATACTCTCATTATCTCTATGACAACAACAGAAATATAAATATATATAATCTTTACATGTATACTTCATGTATATACTGGTATAGTATACATAGCTATGTATTTGTGAAATAAGAATAAAGGGACACAACTCTCAATTTTTGTATATACATATACAAAAAAAAAAAATTATAAAAAGAAATTCTTTTTTACTACATATAAACAGTGCGTGCAAATAAATAGAAATTCTCTTTTTTACAAAAAAGCTCTTTATTCAATTTAAAGAAAATTGAATAAAATAAACTACACGTGCTGATCTAATTTGAAATTCTTAAAAGAAACATCTAATTTCAAGGTCTGTGTCACGGCTATAAGAGGTAACAAACTCGTAATGGCTTCACAAATTTTTTGGTATTTTTAACATTTTGGATGTGCAGTTTTAAACTTTTTGCTTGCATTTTCTACAAATTCCAACCATTTTCAATATCTTATGATTGTAAGTCTTTTTTTGTATGTAGATAGTCGAAGGCTGTTATTGCTCTACAATTTGGAAATAATTTTGATAGCATTACAAGTTTATTACCTTTCATCAATGTGCAACAAAATGACGCTTTGGCAAACAAAGCAATATTTTTTTCTCCATATTTAATAATATAAAATGTATTCAATATTTCCATCAACTAAGCACAGTCACAACAAAAAAATTAAGAAAAACAAATAATGAATTTTTACTCTTAATTAAGAGTGTAATATTCGATAGTATCTAAATTTTCCATATTTAAAAAAAAGAAAAAGCAAAAAAGATCTTTTATCAAAGATACTTACGAAGTGGCCTTTGGTTTACTTTTGCCTTCCATGAGTGAATAAATGCTATGAGACTGATCCTCCTGCTTTTTATCTGACTTCTTTTTCCGCCTTCTTTCTTTACGATCATCGTAATCATCATCGTTATCATCTTGGTTGTCCCGATCATGTCGCCGTGGTGATTCTACTGTTATCTCTTTTGTATCATTGTGTTTATCTGTGATTAAAGTAAATTATAAAGAAATATGTATCAACAACAGATATTAAAGAATTTAGAAATGAGTCCAATGAAACCAACCTCGCCCCCCCCCCCCCTCCCCACACATGCACATTCTATCTACGGTTTTGTCTATGGAGGATTGACAAGAGCAAATTAGTACCCCCCTCCCCCCTAACTTGTGGGGGCATAAAAAATCTATATCTTGTATCTTAATTTCTCAATTTTTGAACTGTACCACATACATTAGCACAAAGTAACAATTTTTTTTATTATTTATTTATTTGGCACAGCAATTATTTAGTTTTATTCTTTGCATAACTTTGGCAATTCTAGCTTCCAAGCTCACAGCATGACAAAACCTTTAAAAAACCAGTTTTCTACAAATGGGAATTTTTTTTTAAATTTTTGTCATATTGACATCAAATCTGTCCATCCAGCATTTTCAACAAAGGACTTTTTTTTTGTACATAATGTAATATTGTGAAATATTCTCTCTGACACACAGCTGTGTAAATTAGCTATGACCTTTCAATAAACTTGCTATGTAGGTCTATTTAAGATGACAAAAATGTTAAGATTCCTTTATAACATGGTACACTTGATTAAAGAAAGACACCAGAATACCTCTTAAAACTGGAAAAAGTTTTGTCTGACAGACCATTTCTATATTAATGCTTGTAACATAAAGAAGCTATGTCAATTTGACAAACAAGCATTGCAATGTGATAAAAACATTTTAACATTATCATACCAACAGTTATTTTGACAGCATTTTCACTCCCTCCGGCAACTTTACCCACAGATCGTAGTATAGCATTCAACTGCTCCTGAGTTAATGTGACAGTACTGGGTGGCTCTTTCTGAGCAGTCACTTTCTTTTTGTTTCGCATGATGAAATTCTTAGCAGGTTTCGGCGGGGGCGGTGGTTCATCTGGGGTCAAGGTCACCAAATCAGATTCAACATGATGCTTGTCATTGGGAAATCTTCGTATTGGAAATCTTTGATCATTTTTCTTGTAACCAAACTGAAATAATTAAAGTTTCAGACATGAAAAATCTTATTTCATTTCCGGAGTCACTGAATTCAAATAACTTTTGTTCTTATGTGTGTGGCTTTGAATCTTGCAAAGAACTGTTCACTGAGCTTGTTGAAAAAATATTAGTGGTTGACAGTGTTCTACTAAGGTGTCAGCTTATGCCTGAAATAATGCATGGAGGGGCACCTGAGGTAGTCTCAAAAATATAAACTTTAAAGCTACCATTAATACAGTAATTCAATAAGTATACACTTACTATACATGTACCAAGTTTTTGTTTACTTTGCTGATAATATGGCAATTTTTTACTGGTACTAATAATATTATTATGGTATGACCATAATACAAGCACAGGCAAATCTTAACAAATGTGTGACACCGACCCTAGGGTAAGTACAACACATGTATGTCTCCCTACTCCTTGAATAGCCTAGCTAAAAACAATTACACTATAAATAGAACTGAATAATCGAAATTAAAATTCAGTGTATCAGGAAATTTTTTTCAAATTTTTACACACCTTTCTGTCCTTCTTTGGAACTGTTTCTGTAATATAAAAGAAAAGAAAATAATTAATTTCATTTAAATTTTATCTTTGTTTACTTAAATTATACTTGTATTCTATGACAAGCAGTAGGCAAAATTACGATATAACATCTTTACAGCATATATCAATATAACAGTGCTCTTTTTTTCTATAAAATAGGCAATTTAAAGCACTTTATATTAATATTCCAGCTGATATTAGATAGTAACAAAAAAGCTTCTGCAAACAAAGTTCCTTAAGTCCATGCCAATAACAAAAGTGTTTTGTGTTTTTTTTTAATATTATTGTACAAGATTAGCATGTCTTAATCCAGATTAAACTTTGCATGTTTTTTCAATCTACTTAATCTTGATTCAACCTCTTAAATTTATGTAATGAACTTGCTTTTTTTACTGAATTTTTATCTATTAACTTAATTCTAAGAGATTTCAGTATCAAAATGTGAAAACAATTAACAGAAGACAGTATAAAGGTCTGCTTAGCTGTACATGTAAAATGGTGGTGTTGGCAGGTCAACATCTTTACAAATTTTTACACTATTATTTGAAATTTGAGGTCAGAAACAGTGTTAATTTATTTTTTACATGAATTTATATTTGTTTACATGAATTTTTTACATGAATTTTTATCTTCTCATGACTTGGGATATTGTATATATAACTGATGGAAATAAGCCCCTACATTTGGGACATGGGGGTCCATGTAGCTGTAATACATCTTTAAACGAATACAGTCACAGGTGAAAACATTCATAAAATGAACACAAAATCATTTCTTTTTTGGCAATATGCCAAAAATAATAAAAAATAACAGATATAATTGCACATTGTCCATGTTATTATCTTAATTGTTACACATGAACCTATATAGCTATATGACCATTATACATGTACATGTCAATTAAGACCCAAGTAGTTTTCAATGTGCATCAATCCAAAATAAAATACAAGAGAAATAAGTTTAAGTATACATGTTGCATCTAATGCCTTGTTAATATTGCAGAATTCTGTTTTTCTTTTAAAACAAATAACACTTTGAAATCTCTGAAAATGTCAGTGATCTAAATTTTAAATTGGAACATATTCTTTCAACATCCTCACAAAGTTGATCTTCTTTTTGTCAAGTTGTTTGAAAATCAAAGAAAAATGCGAAGTAGAAATTTATTCTAAGTATAGCAGCATTAGAATCAAACAGTGTACACTTAAATCTCTGTGAAATCCCAAAAGAAAAAAATTACCATTAGTAACATAGTTTATGGTTGTAAGTTTCTAGGACAACAAAACATACATCAAGACCATTACATTTAAAGGAACTCCATTGAGGTCCAAAAGCCCAAAAGCATAACATCTACCCTTGTATGTGGGTGGTGGTAATACACAACAAATTTCTATCCATCAACTAGGAGTGTATTATTTCAGAAGCCTGTTTACATAGTGGGTGGAGAGCTTTGACCCAAAAATGAGACCCCAATGTATTTCCTTAAAGCTTGTAACATTTAAAGCAAACCATAGCAAAAACTAATTGACATTTCTACATATGCTGCAACTGATCCATCAAGCACTTCATGGAAATGAAACATTAAAAACTGATTAAAGAAAATAAATTCAAATAACAAAAGTAAAAGCTTTGTTAAATAAAATGCTATAGCAGTTACTGTTATGTTTATCAGAAACAATATATATGGTGCTAAATCCCCTGCATTCAACAGTAACTGTAATTGTCACCTGATGTCAATACACAGGATGACATACTGAGAATATGCACATAGCAAAATAAAATAAACCTTGTCTATGGCATTTCTATTTTATTAACATGACCTACACTCTTCAGTCTTGTGGTTGAAAATTTAAGTGAAGTTTTGATCAAATTTGAGAATTTTCAAAACAAATGGCTTGGGTCGCCCAGATAAGTGTAACCAAGTGTGAAAACATTGTCTAAATGTGTTGATGAAACAGCTCGCACATTTCGAGGATTGACTGCAAAACTGTTGTAAGTCCATCTTAATTTCAAATAAGTTACGAAGTTACTGCAATTTTCCATTCAAACTTTGATTTGTCAACAGCAATCACCTTTAGCACAACTGTTTTGATTGCAGTCTTTTGGATAAAAAGATATCATTTTTTCCGGTGGAAATTAGCTCATTATAGGCAAAACATGGACACTTTACCTAGTACATTCATCAAACTTATTACCAGTCTGCTCTATGATCAATAACTCCAATAATAGTGATAATGATCTGAAGCCAACACTGTCACTATTGGCCAATCAAGCAGTAATATTTGTACATGAATCATTTTTCTCTTGCTACCAATAATCAACATGACACTATATCACCATTGTTGAATACCCACAGCCCAACCATTAACATTTATCATTTATTGATGACATTCTTCATGTTTATCAACCTTGGGTATCTGTTGATGCTGTACTGTATAAATTGTATGAAATATCTATTGCTCTTCAACAAAACTGCCACAATATATAAACCTCGCAGGTCTGATGTAAAAATTGTATTAAAAATTTACAATTTCAAAAAGATTGAGCTATATTAATTTTGTACCATGCATTTGATTTCAGTCAACCTATTATTTTTTATTTTCATATTTTCACAGATTTTACAAGTAATGATTTAAAAAAACAAAGCTCCAAATATCTAATGAATACTCTCATTAACTTAAACCCTAAAACAAAATCAAAAGTTGAATAAACTTTCAAAGAGGGTGCACAATTGTGAGCATATAAATGAATCCCATTTAAATGCTGCTGCTAAAACTTCATCAAATCAAATGGACAGTTACTTTAAATAGAAAACACACACCATATGAATGACAGAAAGAAAATGGAGCCTAAGTTGCCTTTTTTTTAAAATCATTTCTTGAGCTAAAGTTATCATCGACTGTGCACCCAAGCTGTGCACCCAAGCTTGGGACTAAATTCTAAAAAAATCTATTGTGACCTAGGTGTCAGTAAGAACATGCAAATTATGTATTTTAAAAGACAATATTTAATTTTGTGGAACCCAAAAAGAAACACTAACTAAATGCGCTCATGCATGATTTTAAATATAAAATATTATAAAATAATAGCCATAAATGCTGGATGACAGTATAAGGTTATAACAATAGCTCCATACAGCAAACCCGTGTAAATCTGTCACCATAATAGAAACACAAGCATATTATGGTAATGCACCAAAATACTGTAACCACAGCCCTTATCCACTGGCCTGTATGGGGGATAGCTGGGGGAGGATGGGCCAATGTTTACATTTCATTGACCCTTGCATTATCAGATCAATGGGGTGCTTTTGTTTTAGACCTTGCGATTATGCAATATTTCCATCTGGCTGTGCTGGGGCATTTGACCATCTGACTGTCCATGAAGGATGGGGCTTTGCAGGTGGTTTGGTAAATTATAGTTAAAAGTCCCAACTATTCCCCACCGGCCGAGGCGGGGTTACAATAACACTGATGCATGTAGACACACCTACCTATATTAGGGAGAAGACGAGGCACAGTTGGAAAACCCAATAAATCTAGCCAAATATAAAGTCATCAAAATCTATGTGAAATACCTCTAACATTACTTTATGTAATAAATATACTCTTTACAAGCCAAATATTTACACCAAATACAGTTAATATAAGTTTTTGTATTAAAATTTATCGATTCAATTGATACTCATTAGATATTACCATAGTGGCACTTAATGTTTTCTTTCATAAATCATTCTTCATTACAAAACCATACCACTATGTCAATTAACTCAAATTAATTTTCAATAAACATAACTATTTAATAATTTTCTTTACCAACTTCACAGTTTCTGTTGCAATGTTCATATCCCCAGTATTAGCTGAAAAGTTTAAATTCAAATGGTGACCATATGAAAATAATAATAAAGAAAAATACTTGCCCTTTTCCCAAAATATGGCAGGTCTACCAGCTTGATTCTGTAGTTTAAACACACTGAAAATACAGAAAGAAAAGTAATGTATAGTTATATTATTTTAATATGTAACTATATCTACAACTAAAATCACAAATTAATCAATAATTTCTTCATGATATAGACAAAATAAGGACAACACTGTATAAACAAAAGAAGTTGACAATGGAGAAATGCTTACCTAATAAATAAGGTATAAGCAAATTCATGTTATTAATTAACTGTTATTAATTAACCAATCAATCAAATTCATTGCTGTTAATTGTTTTAAAATGAAAGACATTTCTAATGCAACACTTTTCAAAATTGGTTTTCATAGAAATGGTTTGAGGTATCACTTTAAAAATCTATATAGAAAAATGTAGGTGTTATATACGGAGTGTGTTTTTCAGTGTGTAAACACCGTAAAATGTTTGTTTTGAATGTAAAAAACCTAGTAATTAGTTCAAAGATTCTTCCTGTAATATAGAACCATTTGTTTTCATAATAAAGGTGACCACTGAAACAAAGCCCTGTTATTTTTACCTCTACGACTTTAGGACATGTTTTACATATGGAAAAACATCAAAATTTATTTGCATAAGTCGCAAAATCTAGTTCAAAGTTGGATGATTCAAAGCTGCATAGATTCATGTGCCTATTGTTTAACAAAAAAAAAGCAGTTTAACAATAAGCACGGACACATATTTCTTACAATGAATTTAGACATAAATTTTGCCATAAATTCTCTTTCTTGAAAGTTTAGATTTGCCAGTTCATACATTACTTGGTCAAGAAAGATAATTTAAGTTTTGTAAAATTAGACTCCCTTTGCAGTACTTTCCAGCTCCCCTTGAAATTATGAGTAATACTAGCAGCTTAAAGCATCTGATTGGGAACCAGCAATTCAAATGGCAGAAGTATAAAATGACTTATTTGAATAACAGTAGATTTTCCAGGATTAATCAGCAATTCTAGTCTGAGATCATCAGAACACAATGTAAAAGATTTGTAAGTATGTTTTAAATGTTACCCACAAATTGCAACTTCCGCCTTCATATAGGAATCTTTAGACGCGAAAAGTAACATATTTTCATGTAATTTTTCTATCTATCTTCCATTAATGTCAAACCCCTCGATGAGACATATATATAATAAAGAATTTGTGGTATAATTAGGCAAATACATGACATCAGGTATTTGCCTTATAAACTAAAGCAGACCAGATAGTGATAATGGTTTACAAGAATTTCAAGAAACATTTCTTGGCCTGCCATAATTTGATTACTAATCTTTAATGTTAAATTTAAGAAATAACATCGGCCTGAGAGGTGTATATCGGCTATTTAACACCGGTTTGGAGTTTTGATGTGTATGAATTGACCACGAAGGCCGTAGGCCTGAGTGGTTAATTTTGTCGCATCAAAACGACAAAACCGGTGTTAAATAGCCGATATACACCTCTCAGGCCGATGTTATTTCGATTCTAACACGATGAAATAAGGAAAATCACTAATGTTATTTTTCAACCGGTGCCGATTTTCGTATAACGCTGTTCGATTTCCGCACCCTACTGTTGCGAAGTTATAGAAATTATTAAACAAAAGAAATAATAAGAAAAAAAACGTAATTTATCAAGTTTTCAACAATAAAAACTTACGTCGTATTGTGTTTACATCAGTGCCCCATTTATCATTCTTGTATGTATGAAATAACGTCAGCTTGTTTATAAATGAGTTGTTTACTTAGGATGACGTCATTACGCTGCTTACGGTTGGCGCCGTTTTGTCAAAATATTTATAAACTGACATGGATCTAATAGGTGGCGTTAGTGTATGTGAGATATTATTTCGGTATGGTTTGAAAAGAAAACATTTTAAGAACTGAAAATATAAATAAAAATGCTTTTTATTGTTGCTTTAAAATGCTTTGTAAACTATACAATCGAGGGTGAAAACATAACAGCGCATATTCAAGTAGTCCCTAACCGGTGTTTATTGTCCGTTTAACACCAGTTTTTGTCCTTCTTTGTCTATAGTGACAAAATCACGTGAGTGTTAGAATTATCAACATAGCTGATATCTAAATTCCACTGTGGTAATAAACAAAACGGTTTCAATTCCAAGTGAAATTACCAATAGTTAGAGAAGACAAAATAAATCAGTTGTCAGTGTTGATGGGTGGGGTAAACAATTTATCGCACCTGTCCTGCAAAGTGTCAACTGGTTAAACATTATTGAATTCAAATAAATAACTGTTAAAGAAACATTTCAAAAGATTGTTAACAAATAAAAAACCTGTAATTCATTTTAAGTTCCTTCTAAAAGCATGGTCTTCTCATGTAAACAAATTTATTGGTCTGAACTTGTTATTTTGGTCGCCAGGAATTTCATGTCACACATGCGCAAACTTGCTTCCTGTTTTCAGCGGGTAGGAAGGGGAGTAACTCTCATGTGATATCTGTCAAAAATATTAACTGATCAGTTGTGTTTTTAAATAACTTTTTAAAGAAGACAATAATGTCGATTGTGAAAAGAATTATTTCTATTGCAACACTTATAATTGCTGCAATTTTTGCGGTGGTTGTCATTCGTACATTTACTTTACAAACCAGACAACTTGATATCAAAGAGTGCAAAAAATCTGATTTAGATTTTATTGAAATTAGCCATGATTCAAAACCCATTGAAAGATTCCAGAAAGCTCTTAGGTTTCAAACTATTTCAAGACAAGCGTTTGATTACAACCGTGACGAATTGAAAAGTCTTGTTGACTATATTTTGTCAGGTATTATATTTTTCATAATGGACAAATGCATTATTTGAAATATTAATGGCCATGGCTCAACAGTTTGTTAACTTATGATGCTGTTTCATCTATCCAGTTATCAATATCTCTATCAACATGAAAATTACAGGCATTTAACATCTTGTTTACTTGATGGACTCTTGATGCCAATGCTGAAGTTGACAGAAAGGCTGTTTGAAATGACCTGAACTCAATCAGACTACACTTAATTTAATCACTCAAATGCATTTGTTTATATAGTGAAATGAGATTATATATCCCGGGACAACCAATATTCAATCAGTTAAGCTGTTTTTAGCCAATGCTCAATGGAAGGGGAAATTATACTTTAAATTTATTTTAGCTATTAATGCATCTATTAACACTTATTCATTTTCAGGTTGGTACATTTTCAACAAGTCTTGATCTTTCTTAGAAATTCAATAAAAACAATATGACCCACTCTGGTTACTCCCAGGAATATTTTAACCTAAATTCAAACAGCAGGGTAATCACCATGGAAAATTTGTTAAAGATAAATCAGGGCCACTAAAAATTGTAGAAAACTTCACAATAGTCTATTCAACGATTTTCAACAGTTTTTTCAAGATTTTAAAAAACTTACACTAAATGTTATAACATATGTACAGCACAATGCATTGGTATGACTACTGTTAATGTGTATAAAAAGGCAGTTAAAGGTGTCACTTCTTAGTATGCTATTTGGGGTGCAAAATGATAAATGCATCCAATCTTTACAGCCATTTTACCTTCCCCACTTTATAATATTAGCAAATATGGAAACTTGTCTAGATCTGCCAGCTGGTATCGCTTACAAAACAATTATTCTACAATCATCACATGAAAAAATTTGATAACAATATAAGATTTTGTTAATAAGGACCCCCGTGTAAAGTCTGATGAATATTTTGTGGTACATCATATAAATAAAATGTTTTAAATACACCTAGGACTGAGGTTAATGGTAAAACTCTTTAGCCATTACTTTATAAAAAAAAATTAACTTGCTTAGAAAAATTTTACCACTATTTTAAACAAGTGACTATTTTGATATAGTGAAAGTTGGACAATTTATATTGTGTCACTTAAAACAAACAGTTTCTTATTGTTTTCCTAAAAACATCTGACAATTAATCAAGTGTGGCATTTCTGCAAGTTTTGAAGTTAATACAACATGTGACTTTATGCAATTTAGTCAGGCCTGACATCAATGCCACAGAATTAAGAATGTGTTTGAATTTAGGTTGTGATTGAAAATTGGTTGTTTCGGGATACATGTATACAGGAATTAATTGCTATTTTGTTGATTAAATTATATGTTGCATTAATATATTTAAGAATTAATCTTTCCATCTGAAAATGACCAACATTTCTATTCTAACTGTATCATCTAAATGATCAATAATTTTTGTTGTTGTTTTTTAGCCTTCCCAGACTTACACAAGTCTAATCTCGTTCAACATGAAGTAGTGGCAAATTATAGCTTATTGTATACAATCAAGGGCAGTAACTCTTCTCTTACCCCTTACCTGCTAATGGCGCATCTTGATGTGGTGCCAGCAGACCCTTCTAAATGGGAAGCTGATCCGTTTGGAGCTGAGATTATTAACAACTTTATTTACGCTAGAGGGACTATAGATTTTAAACATGGTGTCATGGTATTTGTTATATCATTTATAAAAGTATATTTGTGTGTAAGAAATAACAACATATATCTTACCAAGTGTAATGGTTTAGAACTGTTCACTAATTAGAGGTGAGATGTGTAATCAAATGGATAGCTTAGTTGGTAGAGCCCATGGTACAGGGTTCAGACAGTCCTGGATTCAAGTCTCAGTAAGACTGGACATTTTTCTCACCCTGTTACACATTTGACAAAGTATAGGGCTTGTTTGGATTACAAAGATGTAAACTCACATGTGCATTGTTTTAACAACAAGTCTGTAATTTAATCACTGAAAAGAAATTTTATTATTTTGTCTCTAATAAAAGATGAAATAATTTTTTGTAGGTATATATTCAAATGAAAAAAACATGGAAGTTAATTGTATTGATATTATTATATTTTATACAGTGGTACAAAATTTTATGTACAACACTTTGTTACATGTCCATTGCCCAGTAACAAATTTCTGTATTAATGTGCTCTGTAGTGGCAAAAAGTAACAATGATGGTACAGTGGATTTTGTATGGACTAATTTATGTTTATTTTAAGAATGTTAAAAAATTGTAAAAATAATCAATAATGTTTTTTTGTTTTTATTCATAAAGTGCAGTATAATTTGATTTTGATTTTTTTTCTTATCACGTATTTTTTTTTTTACACCTTCAATCATTTTTTCTGGCTTTCACATTTTACATTTTAGAATCTTCAGTAACAAAATACATTTTATAGCAGTAAACTCATTTTAACTGTGACTCTAACACATAGATCTTGGAAATTATGGAATATTCACTTATCCTTTTAAGCCTAATCATTGGCTTCTAATATGAAAATACATTTTTTTTAATTTGTAACTTTATTTTCAGATTTTACATAAATGCATTATAACAAATCTTGAAATTGACAAAGACATACAATATAGTTTTCTATAAATTTGTATAAGTTCACAAAAACATACAATATAATATTTTCTAAATTCATATTAACAAGCCATTTGACATAAATATTTGAGCTTTTAACTTTTTTAACATATAGAAATATAGTAATGCTGTTTTTTTTTAGTTTATTTAATCAAAAGAAAATTAATTTTCATGTAAACAAACTATTTTCTGAAATTGTTACAACCCAAGTCTAAATTCACATGAATATTCAATATAAAATTTTCTGAACACATGTATATAGATAATTTAACATGTTCTGAGAGCTTGTGACAAGTTCAAATGTACATACAATATATTTTAATCATAATATAGAATCCTTAGTCATTATAAAAAGACATTAAAGCAAAAGTTGATACTAGGATATATGTATAACTTGTACAAAACTAAAAATACAAAAATAGCAAAAGGGAATTTTACCTCCATTTACAGGAAAAGAAAAAAAAGTATCAATAGTATGTCTTCTGAACAGTCATGGATAATGTCTTTGTTAAAATTATTGTAGTATATATACCTTATTATAATGATTTGCCTGTTATTCCAGATCATCTAATTTTATACTGAATTTTTTTAATCTCTTGAATTCATGCAATTGGGTACATTAAACATTGAGTTTTGACATTAATTTATAGAAAGTCAATGATGTTATGATATATTTGGTAAAATGTATCAACTAACAATATAATGAACATGTTTTACTACTAAGGTTGGGATTCAGAATGTTAAACATTAGATATTATATAGAAGTTTTGTTAGCTAATATATAGCTATATTAACTTTCATTCAAATTGAATGCAACCTAGCAAATATGTTTTTATTCTTGAAGGTATTCTATTATAGGGTATCTTAGAAGCTTTAAACTTTTATGCAGCACAGGGGAGACAACCAGAAAGAGGATTCTATGTTGCCTTTGGTCATGATGAAGAGGTAATGATGTAGCTATATTCACTTCATTAAAAATCTTGTGGGCTTTCTTAAGCTGCACTTCAGTGTTATTTTTTTAGCTCAACTGAGAGCTTTAGTACTTACCTAGGCGTCATCGTCACACTTTGGACAAGTTTCTATATGCAAGTTGGTATCTCCAAAACTACTAAAGGGAAACTTCACACATGTATTTGAGAGCATAGTAGGAGGTCACTGTCCAAGGTCTATAACTATAACATGGATTTTGACAGAATTATGACCCTTTTTGAACTTGGAATATTCTACATAATCTAGGTTCTTGTAATTACTATCATGAACCTAGAATAGTCAAGCATGCTGTCCTTCTGACAGCTCTTCTTAATATTAAAATCCTCCAAAGTAATATAGGGCTGATCCAAATTCACATTTTGTCATATCTATAACTGCAGAATTCAGGGAGGTAAGGTATAAAGTTGCATAATTTGTAGCCAGGCAGTTTGAACAAAGATTATTCTTAGGGAGGTTTTAAGTAGGTATATAATCAAGGATTTCAGGGCCATGAGCCTTTCTTTAAAAGTATCAATTAATGTTATTACTCTCTTTATTGGTGTCAAAGATTAATTTAAAAATTCTTGGTACTTTTGTACATGTATCTTTAAAATATCTGGTTTTGATGTGACATTTATTATAGGTAAAGCATTAATGATATATATATTGATGATGTTTTTATATAATTTCATTTAGGTTGGTGGTCAAGATGGAGCAAAATCTATCAGTGACCTACTTTGGGAACGTGGCGTGAGAAAGCTTGAATTTATCGTTGATGAGGGACTTACACTCCTGAACGGTATCATACCTGGAATGAAGGATCAAGTCGGCCTGTATGCATACATTATTTGTCAATTTACTGTATTATACAATAAAGACCATTGCAAAACCAAAATTATTCAGTGGCTTATACAATTTAGTAGATAGACTACTTGACCAATTTAGAACAGTTGTAACACACATCATGCATTTATTTAAGATTGATTGTGAAACAACTAATTACAACTTATATTAATCGCATTTGAGTCTGCTTCATGAAACTAACAAGTAATGGTGTCATTTGAGGAAAGATTGTCCTGATCCGAGTGGAGGCAATTTAATAAGGTTGTTAACTCTTGCATCATAATAATGATAGAAATAAGACGTTTGATGATTTTGTATATCAGTATAGGAACATCAGAGAAAGGTCAGGCATATGTGGAGCTGAAGGTTGAAGGGACGCCAGGTCACTCGTCCATGCCACCACCTGAATCAACTATTGGAATTTTAGCAGCGGCAGTACATAGGTAAAAGTTTTTTGTTAATTGTATAAAATATTACTTCTTTACATTTTATTTCCTTAAATATATATGGTAATTTTATGTGGTAAAATATAATTCAGTATCTAGCCAAATACTGAATTATATTTTACCACTTACTGCAAATGGTATAGACCTTGGTCATACTGCACTGATGTGTAGGCTGTTCTGGCTGTATATTGATGGCAATGGGGATATTAGTTTAAAAATTTAAAGTTAAAGGGTAAAAAGGTATATATTTCTTTATCTTCTGATTTTTCTTTTCAGATTGGAAAGAAACCCGCCACCAAGCATGCTTGGATATGGTCCTGAGACACAAACTTTTGAACAACTCGCACCCTATGTAAGTATTTTTGATTTCCTCATAGCCGTATAATATATATATTGCTAAAAAAGGATGAAGATAATTGCTAGCTAAGTAGGGTGCCAGTCTATCGTAGGGTGCCAGTCTATCCACCCAGGGATTGCAGGTTTGAGTCCAACTGAGAAATAATATAGGTATGTTTTGTTAGGGCCAAGGGGTAATATTTTTTACCCTTAATTGTAGGAATTGCAAGTTTTGTTCCATATCAGTTAAAAACCGACTTGATAGCCTTAAGGTTGTGATTTCAACAGCTAAACCTTGGACTTTAGGGTTAGATTCATATTGGAAAATATCACAGTTCATTGTCATAGGGGATATGTTTTCTACTTTTTACAAAAGGACAGTTGGTTGAACCTGTCTTTTTTATCCTTATGACACTAGTACATGGAAAGTTTAAGTTATTTAAGTATATAGTAGTTGAAATAAGCTTAAAGCTATCATTCTATTTTGAATTAACATTTACTTTGCTAAATATCTTTAATGGATTTGCATATCTTTCAATCTGGACAAATCCATTCATAATTACATGTTTACCTTTTCAGATGTCATTGCCTTTTAGAATGGTGATGAGTAACCTGTGGCTGTTTAAACCTGTGGTATCATGGTAGGTTACTACGGTAACTTGTGAATTAGTCACACTTAAATTGATAAATGAGCCGTGTCACGACAAAACCAACATAATGGGTTTGCGACCAGCATGGATCCAGACCAGCCTGCGCATCTGTGCAGTCTGATCAGAATCCATGCTGTTCGCTTTCAGACCCTATAACAAGTAAAGAAACTGATAGGGAACAGCATGGATCCTGATCAGACAGCGCGGATACACAGGCTGGTCTGGATCCATGCTGGTCGCAAACACATTATGTTAGTTTTGTCGTGACGCGGCTCAAATAGACTTGTATTATATATCATACAGTTTACAAAAGAAAACATTCATAATCATACTTAGGGAAAGGTTTCAAAAAAGGTACTCCCTGAATACAGATTACAAAACAAGATGGCTGCCAATTATGACATAAATATAAGCTATTTTAGTCAATGAGAGTTGAGGTAAGTAACGCTTGCTGCTTTGTATGTTCTTTTCCAAATAGACTAACTGGAATTAAGAATATCTTTTTTTTCCAGCACTAATCCTGGGGTACAAACAAGCTTTTACAGTTACAGCTTCGAAAATGAGTGCAACAAGTGTACCGTGAAGCTATAATGGTAAAAGTTTGTGTGTACCTACAGATTAGCTTGGAAATACAATACCCACATTTGCCGAGTTCAGGGTAACATCTATACTAATAGGCTTTTTTATCACATAAACCGCGGCCCAGGAGTGTAATAAAACCATGGAATAAAAACAATATTACACTAGTGTAATAATACTTTGACGTGACACCATTTGGGCTATATATAAACATAGCGTTACAGCTCTAATGTTAGCGTTACACTACAGGCGCGTCAATGAAAAATGACTCCTTTTAACTGTAAACTGTTCTCTTTTTGATAAATAGAATATTATATTCGTGTAGATTCAATACTAAATTTATTGAACTCGTTGAATAAAACAATATTATGCATGCCAGAGGCTCGCATAGTATGATTTTATTCAACTTGTTCAATAAATTTAGTATTAAACCTACACTCATTCAATATCCTCTATATAAAAATAGATATTTTGGTAAGGCAGTATATCAAAAGAAGATTCTAGAAGCTTAGAAAAAGCTTCAGATATACATGAACAGGTATAATGTACTTTTAATGTGACAACTTTCATAAATTAACTTATAACCCGCTAAATTCCTTTAATCTCCATTATCAATTTTGGGGATATCAAGATGAAAATTTATAGTTGGTCAGCCAACAGTATACAGCCTGGGCAGACTCCAGGGAAGTTCAGGCTGGCCTGGCTCTATACTGAGGGCAAAGGTTAATCACTTTCTGTTCCAGAAGGTTGTTATGGATTAATTTTTTATTAAAATGTGCTTTTAACACTTGATGGGTCTTTAGCAGGGTAGATTTAATAGTGATTAATACAAATTTGACAAGTCTATGATTTCATCATTTAAAAGGTCTATGTACTGTTACTAGTAAAGTTATTTTGTATATTTACATGTAATTTTTTGTGTTTTTAACATAGGGTGATGTCCCAGAAGCCAAGTATAAATGCTGTAATAAGAACAGTTTCAGCTGTGACCATGTTTAATGCTGGTATAAAGGTATGATGATTAATGTTATACCATCAACTATTTACCTGCTGGAACTGTAAGTGACAGATCTTAAAGGAACTCCACTGAGGTCCAAAAATCTATAAACATAAAATTTGAGTTTCTAACTTAACTGAGGCACTCACTTAAAACAGAAAGATATACTAGTAAAGATAATTAAGAAATATACTCAGAAATAAATTGAAAGTCATATTTTTGTGCTATTTACATTTGCAACACTTTACGATTTTGGATCATTTTGCACAATTAGAAGAAATATTCTGCAACAAGAGGGCCATCATGGCCCCGAATCGCTCACCTGTATATAGGCCCCTGGAGCAGGGCTAATTTTAACACCAGGGCTTTTATTTAAACAAACTTAGTAGACACCCATTAGAAGATGTTTCATGATAAATACTGAAGCTCTACCTCTTTGGGGTTTTAAAAGAATGTTTTTTAAGTTTTTACTATACACATATAGGGAAAAACAAAGACCCCCCCTAGGGCGGGACCACTTTTGACCCCAGGGCTTTTATTTGAACAAACTTGGTAGACACCCACTAGAAGATGTTTCATGCTTAATATCTAAGCTCTAACTATTTGGTTTTTTTTATACAGAAGAATTTTTAAGTTTTTACTATGTACAAAAAAGGAAACTCAAGGACCCCCCCCCCCCCATGGCATTAAATTCTATGAACAATTTTTAAAGTTGACTACCAAAGGAACATTCCTATAAAGTTTTGATGAAATTGGCTTAGCAGTTTGGGAGGAGATGTTGTTTAAAGTAAAATTTTACGGCCGAACAGACGCCAGACAAAAAGCGATCACAAAAGCTCACCATGTCACTTTGTGACAGTTGAGCTAAAAATGGAGTGGACGAATGATCTGAAATTTTACACACAAGTTATTGGTTCTACGCCTTCATCCAAGGAAACATTTATCTTGAAAAATTATTTCCTGACCCATCATGTCAAAATACGTTTAAAATGGAAGCTTCATAAGTCTGTTTAATTGAAGACTGAGTGCTCATTTTTCTCACTCTAAATCATGGGCATACACAAAACAGGAAGATAAAATTGAAAACTAATAAAATGATTAAATTTTGACAATTTTTATTCAAGAACTTCCACTGTCATAGCAAATTAAGTACTTTATGCACACCAATCATTTTTAAAATTTAAGGGCAATTATTCAAATATTATGCGAAAGAGTTAAGGTTCAAGTACACTGCACTGTTTCTCAATTTGATCTGTCGTGAGTAGATACCTCCTTTTGTCTTATGGAAATGCTCAGAATAAAGTTTTGCATAAAAAATTGCAAAAAACTCTAAAAAACTCTAAAAATTTTCAAAATAAAATTATAGCTCTTGGATGCTGCACTTGTCCTAAATGAAATCCATCCATTTATTAAGTTTCACACTAATTCTGCCTATATTTTAGGTTACTCTTTATATAAAATAAAACAAATTAATCATGTGAGAGATGAAAAGATGTGTGTACAAATTTGTTATATTTTCAGATAAATGTTAATGCACCTGAAGCTATAGCTTATGTCAATCATAGAATCCATCCAGCACAAACAGTTCAAGAGGTGATACTGATTTTTATTATTTTTTGCATATACTAGTATTTAATACAAAGTAGAAAAAATATCCCACAATAAGTTTAAACATATTTATTTTTCGTTTAATTGTGAAGAAAGCTTGAAGCTCATTTGAACCACTTTCAAGTCTGCTACTTGGAATTAACCAGTACTTGTGTCATATGAGGGAACATTGATGTGAGAATTGTAGGGCTTAAACCCATGACAACTACAACTCCCTTTAGAGAATTATTTAAACCATCAAATACTCATAGTAAGTAGTAACTGTATATTGCAGGAAAATGGTTAAATCAGCAAATACTTCTTTTATATTTCATTATTAATATTGCAAAAAGTTAGCTTAAGGTCTTCAGCGTACCGGTTTATATACTATTACATGCATGCAGCATCAGTGTTAAAAAGTGGCTAATAAAGTTTTGGAAGCCAGAACTAGCAAAAAGTATGTTTTTATTTCAGATTATAGATTATGATAGGAGTATAATAAATGATGACAGAGTAAAGATACGTGTAATAGGCTCGATGGAGCCACACCCTATAGCTGCCAGTGGGGACACAGATTTTGGTTACCAGACAGTTAAAAATAGCATTAGACAAGTGTGGAATAATACATATGTTGCCCCAGGTAATGTTTTGTATGACTAAAAGATACAGACAATTGCTTTATCTCTCTTGCATAGTTTTATGATAGTAATATTTTATGGATATTGTGTTTTGGAGAGACGTGGATCCAATTTGGATTGTGATATAAGCCCATTATGTAAAGCATGAATACAAAGAATACATGCCTAAAATTGGCCTTGTGTTGGTTTTTGTTTGTTCAAAAGAACCCAAGGGCCGTCAGTAGCCGAGTGGTTAGGGTCATTGATATCAAACGACTTGCCCCTCCCCACTGTGGCTCCAAATCCCGAGAAGTGCTATGTATTTTTTTCATGTGAGTAAGCCATCCAGATAGCTTACAATACGTCAGTGGTTCTACTCAGGTGCCCATTTGTGCCTGAAATAATGCATGGAAGGGCACCTAAGGTCTTCCTCCACCAGGAAAACTGGAAAGTCGCCATGTGACCTACTATTTTTGTGTGCTGTAAAACCCAACTAAAAAAGCAAAAACAGTACCCAAAAACAGTTTAAGTAGTTGCAATACAGAAAGGGGAAAAAATTGTCTTTGTCTCTTTTAACAATGCTCTCTCAACAGTCTGTCAAATTTTACAGAGTGAACAAAATATTGAAGTACTTTATGAAAAAAAAAAATATTTCTGCAAGTTTTGAATTTTATAAAATTTGACAATTATTGAAATTCCAGTTTTGGTAACAATTTATTTTTTACCTCATTACATGTACAATTAAATTCTTTAGTACAAGTATTTATAACATGTACCGATCAATTTTGTAAGGTTCATTGCAGGTTCCATGTAATTCTTTACTTTCTAATAACAGCTACCAATCAATTTCTTTAATTTCATTAAAGGAATAAATAGCTTTATATATTTATTTTATTCAAGAACGCAATTTTCCATCACAGGTACTATGATAGGGAACACAGATACGAAACATTACCTACGTATGTCCCACAATGTTTACAGATTTAGTCCGACAGTCATGTTTCCTGATGACCCTCAACGTTTCCATGGCGACAATGAAAGAATTTCTGTGAAAAATTATGAACAAGCTGTAAACTTTTACTATCATCTTATGGTGAATTCAAACAAGGCCAGCATAGAACCTATACATAACCACGGTGAATTGTAACCATAATTGTTCAGAGTTATTTGTTTTATCAAAAAAGTGCTAAAAATTAAGTATCATTATTTTGCCAAAAAGTTAGAAGGCACTATTGAGTTAAGTCGTAGTTTTACAAAAAAACCCATATATTTAGTAATTGACTTTCATTTGTACCCTCGTTGTCCTTTTTGTTTCAAGGACGTAACTCCCAAAGGTCAAGGACAATGTAGCTTTAAAATAATTGAAGATTACTATACATTATTCATGCCCTGCTACCTTAAATAGGTCACCATGAGGGTACAAATTTTATATTCAAACTTTTACTAAAATTACAACTTAAGGAATAAGTTTATGTTAGCAATAATTATCACAGTCTTGTTTGTTTAACTATACAGACATGGAAAAACAATATTTGTCATTTGCCATATCCCTGATTACCACTATTGATATAAGATTTTAATTATCTAAAATGCTTAAATCTATACATGTTTGTTGTCGTTATTATCTAAAATTGTGAATGTTTCACATAAGTCGGTGACTTTTCTTGATTATTGATTTTCATTGTGTTACAATATTTTTAGTTCCACTTTGGTCCAAGATAATTAGGAGCCATTAATATGACCCACATGTTGACATCGACGTAGGTTTACCTTCTAGGTTAAGTTTTTCTTTTAATGGTCATGAACTTCAATACTAACAATGCTATTGCATTGAAACTATAAACATGTATGTGAATACACCTTGATGTCTGTTACTTTCCACACCCATTTGCAGGTCAAAAGGTCAAGGTCACTGAGAACTAATAACAAAATGTTAAACTGACCATTAAATCAATGTGCTATGACCTAGGAAATTCAAGCTCAGCATGTGGATGCCCTTTGATGAGTTTTACCTGCCACACCAATTTTCAGGTCAAAAGGTCACTGAAAACTGTATTTACAATATATAAAAAGCGGCCTTTAAATCAAAGTGCATTGACCTAGGAACATCAAACTTTGTATGTAGGTGTATCTTAATGCTTTCTACCTGCCACATACATTGACAGATCAAAAAGTTAATGTGATCTGTCATTGAAATAATCTTTATATGAAGAAACTGCTCATTTTACTTTCCATCACTGAGCAAAGTGGAGTGTGATGCTCCTTGAACTGATCTCGTTTTATCATAATCTTAGATTTACCATAAATTTTCATATAAACTTTGATGTTCCATTATTTACCTTTCTTATGAAATTGTCCTTGTGTTCCTCTTTACCAAAGACTGGTTAGGTGTTCCTTTTTACATGAAATTGTCCTTGTGTTCTTCAATGTCAGGATTGATTAGGTGTTCCTTTTACCATAAAATTGTCCTTGTGTTCCTCATCATCAAAGCTTGGTTAGGTGTTCATTTTTACATGACATTGTCCTGTGTTCTTCAATATCAGGATTGATTACAATGTAGATTAGGTGTTCCTTTTTACCATAAAATTGTCCTTGTTTTACTCATCATCAAAGATTGGTTAGGTGTTCCTTTTACCACGAACCTGTCCTTGTGTTCCTCCTACACAGTGTTTCTCATTATCAAATATGATCCTTTTGCTGTGAAATTGTTCACATGGCCATATAAAAAAAAAAATTTCTTTTGTGTTCCTAATGGCCTCTCTAATATGGTTGAAGAAACTTTTATATTTTTCTTGTATTGTTCTATCATAATACCATGAACACACACATTTATTTTTCCAGGAAAACATTGATAGAGAAAGTTTCGAATTTCACAATGTCATTGATAATAATTACATGCTTAGCAATTTTATTACATTCCAACAAAAAGACATTGCAATTTTGAAAAGTTTATTCAGCCATTTTGTAAACTAACATCGTATTATATGATTGTCTCAGTGTATTTTATTGTATCTTTTATTAATCTTGTGTTAATAAGGTGAAAATTCCATCGTTTTCGGCTGCACAATTTACTATATAGTACAGGCTAACCTGTCTATAGTGGTCAGCAATGGGGCTGAGCTACAACAGGTGACCACTATATCCAGGTAACTATACCATTGTTAACCTAGATGGATATTATATACGCTGATAAAATATGTGTGCTTTTAATGTCATTACCGGTATATACTTTTTTCATGTCAAATGTAGTACTTTGTAGATGTAAATGTAGATTTCATGTATAACATATATACATGTATATGATGAAATTGTTAATGTTTGAGAAATTAGTCACGAAAGTGAATGCATACAAAAATAAGTTTATTTTTGTATCAAACTGGTGAACTATTTTCCATGAACTGTCTTATATTCAAGAGAATTTGCAACAACAACTAGTTTTTCCATGAACATACTTGCCAAGAGGCTGACTAAAACGAAAAGAAAAAAAATGCAACATCTTTTGAATTAATTTATGCAAAACCACATAAGAAATTTGTAACAAAAAAACAACACACAAGATTACTTTTAATTTATAAATCAATGCAAACTAACTTGACTGTTTGCTCTAACTGCTTGAATTTCAATTTTTATTCATTGTAGTATTTGTAATTAGAATTTATCAGCTATTTGAGGCTTCCTAGCCATAATATTTAAATGTTTTACATTTTTATTGTTTTTATACTTTTTCCTGTTGACCATTTTATTATCAATATCAGTCTGTATTACACTGGTGGTTGACCGCATTGAACAGGTCTGCATTTTAAGTTCATATAGGTACATGTAGCGTATTTTTTCCCTAAGACTTGAAGTTAACCTTGATAGACAGGATCATGTTTTATAGAGGTGACCACTTGTGCAGTTTTCTTGCAGTTCACAAGTTTGCAGCAGCTGTACTTTACACTTATTTCCATTTAAATTATGTCATATAAGTTGTGATTTGATTTGTACCCCATGGTAATCGTGTAAGCCCATGGTAACAGTGTAAGAACAACACTTTTTGCTTTCGTTTTCATATTGTTGTGATAAAAAAGGAACATATTTGCAATAAGTTTGTGCCAATTTTTATGTAGTTGTTTTAATTATATGATAAATTTGTTCTTGTGTTGTAATTACATTCACCATAAATTGTACATAATTATGAATATATATATTATATACAGTAGAACTTCTATGAGTCGAACTTCGATTAGTCGATTTTCACGATGTGTCGAAGTAAAATGAAAGTCCCGATTTTTTTCCTTATATATTCCTTATAAAAACCTACTTATGAGTCGAGATTTTATGTGTCAAATTTTTCGATGTGTCGAAGTTTTTTTGTGGTCCGTATAGAATAAATCTAGAACAATTTACCACAAATAAGCCGAAGTACTTCGATCATTTCGACACCTTCAATCTCGAGACATTTTTCACACCTTTTCTGGCTGCGAAGACGATTTCCGATCAACTTTAGTGACAGGTGTTAATTACACAGCCGAGTGTTCAAACAGCCTCTATATGCGTTTAAATGTGTGAAAAAAATGCTTAATTAAATCGTTACTATTTTAATTGCATTAGCGGTATTTAACAGTAAGAACAATCATTTGAGTACTTCCGTGACCCGGTGTCGTGTTATAATCACTCGCGAAATAATTACTATAAGCTGGTTAAGTTATTGCCCTTTCGTATTGTTACGCCTTTTGTAACTTTATTGTATACGTAAATCAATTTAGCCATGAAAAATTACTTAACGTGTCATATTTATCATTGTATAATGTAAAATATCAGATTAATGAATGAAAGAAAAACATGAAATAGGTTGCGTTATAGATCTTATAAATAGGGCTAGTCACGGGTTGAAATTTGGTCATGAAATTCAGACCGATTCATGAGTCGAAGTCCCGATGTGTCGAAGTTTTTACACAAGTCCCTCCAACTTCGACTTACCGAAGTTCTACTGTATATATCATAAAATAAATTTCAAAAGTTGCACAGCAATATGGAGAGGAGCTCCTTTAAAATTTGAAAGTGAAATCAATGTTGTACCTTAACAAGTACAAATGGGTAGTAATAATTAATGGATATAGCTGATGATTTTGTTTTATCATTATGATAAAGATGATTTTAAAGAATGTAATAAACAATGTAACCTTGCCCATTATAATCATACATGTAACCTACTTCTTGATTCATTTGTTACCAATGTTACCAATGTCAGATATGTAAAACTTCTGTAACTTTTATGAAAAAACAAAGGAGGACTTTTACAGTTTTGTGGTCAACCCTCGATTACATTACACAATAAATGATGCCCATCAGTAGCATTTTACAGATATTTACATTCATACTAAAGTCTGAAATCCATACCTAGTATTTTTGAAATCCACAAATGCATTTTTTTTGTTATATGATATGAATGATTGCATAACAGAGAAATTGTGCCATTTTTTTGTTAAACTTGTTACATAATAATATGTTTGTTTTTGTATCTTTATAAATGTCTATTTAAAAATGTTAAATTATAAATACAGAAGTTGGCAGTATGATTTATTCATTTTGATATATTAAAATATATGTAAATGAACAGAATAAGTGATTTATTAAAGTGGGCAATGTTGTTGTACTTGATAACTAATGGCAGCATGCCAGGTGTCAAATACATAAAAAGATCGAACTGTGTAATACACGGGATGGATCCCCATATGTATCTCAAAAATGAGCATTGGTTAAAAGTATATTTGAATTTCCGCTGCTCCAGATGTGAAGCATAACACCAGAAGTGACTGTGAAATAAGGTCAATTTCAACTTTTTAAAGGAACTCCACTGAGGTTTATAAGCCTAAAAACATAAAATTTTCATTTTTCACTTAGATAAACAGGAGCACTTAAAACAGAAATATAAATAAAATATAACCAAGAAATACATTGAAAATCATTTGTTTGTGCTATTCTCAGTCTGATTTGAGTGAAAAGCGTTTAAACGCTTTTCAATTTTGGGTCATTTTTTCACTATTATAATAATTATTCTGGAAAAATGGAGCAAGCTAATGATCTGAAATTTTGCACATAAGTTATTAGCATAGATTTACATCAAATGGAGTAATAATCTCAAAAAATTATTTCCAGTCCCGTCATGTCAAAAAACCTCAGTGGAGTCCCTTTAAACAGTTATATAAAATTCAGTCCTTTTTTTAAGAAAATCGAAATGTGATTTTACCCTCCTCACTCTCCTCTATATTACCCATTTTTGTTTTGGATTTCTATGCAGTCTTCATTGAGATACTCTTTCCGTCGTGGGTTCTGATGTGTGTGTATGAAGAAAATGTCACTAAACAGACTCAAAAAAACCAGATTTTTACGAAATCTCACTACAGAACGATGCTTAACATTCTTTTTACCGGTGCTCATTTTCAAGATACATATGGGGTTCCAACCCCGTGTTATAAGTTGAAATCCACTTATTATTGATAAACCCTTTAACCTCCGAGTATGACCATGACCTACTTATATGAATCTGCTTCAAGAGATTCAAAATATATCAAAAAGTTTTTTCTGGCTTATATACTGCTTTAACCAAAAAAAATATAAATAAATAAATTTGATCTTAAATAGACAAATCTGGTTATAAATAACGCAAAACACTGCCATTTGTGTAATGCATATGTCAATATATACCAGTAGCATGCCTGTATCATTCAGAGGAGTAGCAAAAACTGCACCAAGTACTAATATGTTATATATGTTTTTTATGCGAGTTGGGGTTCAACATAGACACTGCAACAGTTACAATTGGCGAGTTTTTCAGCATTTCCCGTACAAGCCAGCACTATAGTAGAATTACCATTCTCCTTCAAGCGGACTGGATATAGCTTACCATGTTGAATATCTTGCATGGATTGGTCCATCTGTCAATCTGGACAAAACCAATCATTTTTCAAAATAAATACCTAGTATTAACAGATGTACTGGATTATCTTGGTATTTGCTGGTCTCTTGTGAAAGTTCTGTCACAACCAGCAGGGGAATTTAAAGGTTTATCCCATACAAGAGGGGCAAATTACATGTATTTGATGTTATTCACCTTCACCATCTGAACATAGACAACATACACTGTTAATAATAAAGTCCAGCTTTGACGAGTACAATCCTAAATATTTTGAAAATTGCCAAAAAATGACAAGAAACCATAAATGCAGTTAGGTAAACAAATGTAAGAAAAGAGAAAAACAAGAATGTAGTATAATTTTCATTTATTTTTCAATAGGTTAGTTATTAGTACAGTACATAGTGTTTTATGTATCTGTCTTCAAACCAATGAGCTATACAGTACAATATATAGAGCTGTTCACAAAGCTACCATACAACAACTATACACCTCGGTCTGTCAGTGATTTTTAATGTAGGAACAATCAAGTGTTGTATTCAAATGTTATATTACCAGAAAGAAAGAAACAAAAACCTACAAACAACTGGATCATAATTATTTCCCTTATAAATGCATAAATGATTTCTTTTCTTGTTTTGTATTAAAGATGTATATTAAACATATCAAAGTCCAATTTTCAGGACACAGTTTATTAATTCATTAACAATATTTCGGCTGGAACTTTAACTGATTAGCATTTACCAACAGTATAGAGCCAGGTCAACATAGATTTAAAATCTTTGGTAGTTCAATTATAGCCTGAAATCTCTTCCAATGAACTGTTTCAAAAAAATAAATAAATTCAGAGTTATAATGTTAATAAATCATCCAAGTACGTTCATGTCATAGAGATGTAATTTATAAATACTATGTAATCTACATTTATAAGGGAAAATATATATGTCCACCAAATGAAAGGACTTTAGAAAATATAGAAAATAAACTATCAGGGGTATGTATTTCACTTTCAAAAATCAAGTATTCTTATATTGAAAATAGATAAAAAAGACATTTATTTTTCATTTTTTAAACATATTTCCAATATTCATACTTAAAACTTTGAAGTTAATGACAATTCCTGTATTAAATTTATTATATTTCTATTTTTAGCATCAAAAACTTGAACTGGTAAAAAAATGTGGTTATCTAAATAGTCATTTATTTTAATTAATATAACTGAAACTAATCATGAATATTTCAAAACATGAAAAATTTCACCAATACTACATACATCTTGTACCATCAATATTACGTTCAATAATTTATTGTACAAAAGTATTTAAACAAGTCATGTAATTATTATAATGACCTTCAACTTTGTATACTCATCTATAGCACTAATACTGCTGAAAAACTTTAATACAATATTTCTTTCTAATTCTGTAGCAATATATCAATACTTTTTCTTAAATTCTTTTGCAAAGTATTAAGTCTATCAATTTATAATTTCACAAATCTTCAAAGAATATTAACTCGAGTGAGAAAAAACACCAAACAAGAAGAACAAAAATTGACCAATGCATCAAAATTGTAAACATTATTTATGATTTTCTTTGTGATAATTATTTTGGAGGTAAAGTTAAACATATGTAATATATTGTTATAACTGAATGTAAAACAGACACTAAAAATTGAGAAATAAAATAATAGCTGCAAGGCTTTCTTGTAAAAACAAATACAACAGAATATGGTATTTTATGCCCCCCTACAGCAAAGTTGTGTCTAATGCACCGTCACTGGTAAAAGTGTGTTGTCAGATAACATAATGATGAGTAAGTTACAGGTCACCAAGTGTAAAGAGAGGTTGCTACGCCCGTTACGAGATCACATAAACTAATCTCAAAACTGATGTATACATGAAATAATGATGAGAATTAGACACACTATCTTCTTTTCTTTTTTGACAGAATTTCTATAAAGAACCTAATCATCAAATTTTGACACTGCAGCAAACTATAGTATTTCAATAACATCAGAGCTTTGGATATATGTTAACAAATAATAGAATATCGAGACCTGATACATGTAAAAACTGAAGAATTCATTTATTTTGACATCTGTAAAATTTTGTGTAAAACTTGAGGTACATTTGACTTTTGACATTTCTAGTTAAACTGTTTATCAATTAAGATGTTTTTAAGTTTTCTTCACATCACATTTACATTTTAAATTATGTTATCTCTTCTGAAAAACTTGTGTAAACATAAATGACGTAGCAACCTCTCAAACACAAATTTTCTATAGTACAACCAAGATTGTTGAACAACACGACAGAAGAAGGTTAAATATATCCAACGAAAATATACAAAAACAAATGCCCTACTTAACACATCGCTCGTCAAACAAAATGATCTATCTCGATAATAATATGTACATGTACAAAAATAGACATTTCTCTATATGTTAAAGTTTATTTTTCTTCTTTGCTCATTATATACAGATATTTTCCAACAAAGTTGATTCAAACTTGACACACTGTTAAAAAGTCAAAGCAACTTTGGACAGAAAAAGAAAAAGGGACGAAATATTTAAACAAAATAAAAATTGCACAAATTTAGCATCAATGTAAAATATAGATTATAAATTTTTAATTATATATTTTCTTTGTAGAATAAATAGAATAAATATTTCAGATTCTTACAATTTTTTTTTACATTTTAATTAATTACAAAATTGGTTATCAAAAACAAGAGAGACCACAGGTGGGTAAATTACTAGACAGACATACAGATGGATAGATATACCGACAGATATAATGGGAGGAAAGTGTTGGTATCAAATGAATCAGCTTTGTTGTTTTTAGAAGCTATTATTTACATAAACTGTGTAACACACATTGTGAGGTCTTGATACAAATATCTCTACAAACATTGCATCAAGTCCTAAAAGATATATATAATTACTATCAGTTTTTGCTATACTAATGGATTATTTCCCCTTGGCATTTTCACAAAAGCAATCTGTGGAATTTTTTTCTTCTCGGTAAACAACCACTCTTTGAAAGTAAATTTTAAAACCCATTTCTAAATCCAACAATAAAAACAAAGTATCTACTTAATTCCAAATTTCACAATGTGTTCCACCTTAATAACAAGAAAGTGTTTCCATAACCCTGTGCACTTTAATTCCCCATAAAAACACTACTTTATTAATGACAACAATAAATACTTTTGTAATGCGATTATTTACAAGTTGAAATGAAATACACATAAAACACTGTATAAAAACCTGTTTTTTCTCCGTCACATTTTATGAGACATGTAGAAATGTTACCTCAATAGTACATAAACTGACAAAAAGCAAATATCTTATACTGTTCAGTGAAGTAAAGTTTGTAAAGCATCTTTCTTAGAAAAAAAAGAATGAAGCATTTAATGTGATAGCTATTACAACATAAATGAGCAATTATAACAACAATACGAAATAACAAGTTTTGAAACTGGCTTTACTTTACAAACTATTAACAAATTGTAAACATTGCTGCCTTTAATTCTCTACCTATCCCTCTACAGTGCTGAGTCTGAACTATTCCCCATATTACACACAGAAAAAAAAACATGTATATAAAAAGACATGAAAATAAAATCATCTACAAAGCTTTATCATTTTTACATGATAAAAAAAGCACATCTAAGACTCCTTAACATTTATACAGTCTTTAACCACTAACAAATGTTTGAACAATTTAATTGATCTATCCACTAAAGTATAAATAAGCAAAAACTCCTCTGAATCAGTACTTATGTGATGTTTGTTTAGAAAACGGTTTCCTGCTAACTGAATGATTATTAGAAGATGTAGCACGTTTCTGGTTCCATGATGATGGTGACAAGTCTCTATGATTATTATATGACTGGTTCCCGGGTCCATTTTGTGAATGACTGTTCGAGTTATTGAATGAATGATTTAACAATGTTGGTGACACCTTCATCCGTGGCGAGACTTTACCAAAGCTCGCTGACGGTGACGACTTCTTGTAGCTTTGAAAGTTTTTACTTGAACTACTACTACTCGGATGAGAATTTTGCCTGAGGAAGTTTGTGCCCGACTGATGCCCATAGTCAAACACTTGTGGTTTGGAACCAGATGATGAAATCCCATTTGCACTTGTGCTGGTACCCAGCTGATCTACACTTGAAGATAAGCTCGCAGATGATGATGGATTTGGCAGTGATTTCTGAACTTTGCTTATCTGAGCTGAAATTTAGAAATTACTTGTTAGGGTAAATTAAAAATTTACAAATATTTGGATTATCATATAGTCTCAGAGAAAGTATCCCAAAAGCAATCTTTTAAACTCGAATGGGAAGCAATGATTTTTAATTTTATTGCAACAAAAAAACTGAACCTTTCAATGATAAAAAAATCTAGATACCTTCTTTTTATGCAGTTATTAACTCATTTACAATCTTGCTTTGAAAGTTTACATGTCCTCACAAGATTTTGATCATGGCAAGATTGATCTTTAGATTATTGAAGTAAAATTCCATTAGTTACTCATTTAGGAATAAAATTATAATTTACTTGTGCCAAGTAGGAACATATATTTATTTATTTTACCCTTACTCTGCTGGAACTAAAAGAGATTATACCTTTGCCACCTGTATAGAGCCAGGCCAGTTTGCACATCCAGTCTGACCAACTTTTATTCAGTTGCATGACCAATTTCTAATTTCAATCTCCTGATATTCCTAAATATTGATAAACCGTAATTCGTAAAGATGGAACCTAGACAAGTCCATTTCAGGAACTCAGAAGCTTAAGAGTCAATGACTTATGTCCTTATGTAAGTACATACCTTTTATAGCAGCCAATTGTGCTGTGAGATCATTTTGAAGTTTCTGCGGATTTTTCACATTTGACAGCAGATTAGAGAGAGGTGCCTGCAGGGTAGAAGTGAGATGGGGTTTACTGTTTGGAGGCGGCACCATACTAGGTACAGCCACGCCCATGTTATTTTTCAGGCCTCCAGGTGGAGGTGGAACCATCTTTGGTACAGCACTAGATGGTCCACCCATTGCAGCCGATGCTGATTCTACACCAGCTTTTAATGAAGAACTTGGGTACGTCTTTATGTTGAGAAGAGACTGGACGCCACCTCCGTTTGTCATTCTTGATGACCTTGAACTCTGTGGAGGCGGAGGAGGTGGGGGCGGCACATCACCTCCATTACCATTAGTTGTTCCCTTCACAGTCTGGTCTAAAATGATTTACGTATATACATGTTAACTATATTAACTATATAAACTTTCAATAAAAACTTTGGAGTTATTCTTCTATTGCTAATCTATAACTTTCTTTCATCTGAAGCATTAAGTATTTACTATATTTAGTCTATCTTAACAAATTACTTATTCAGATACATAGAAGAAGCTATCATGAATTATTTTAACAAAATAGCAGTCATAAAAATTAGAATCAGAAGTCCAGCTAGTATGTTTTCATTGTAAATTTAGGAAATTTAAACTAGCTGAAGAGAAAATCTACCAATTTTTTTTTTCTACTGTTTGGCTCGCGTTAATTTCGATAACAAAATGAATAATTTTAGAATTACCAGTAGTTTGTTCGGCATCAGTATCGTCAGTACTGTCATCTAGCCCAAACTCCTGTCGCAGTCTCTCAGAAAGACTCATCGGTTTTCTCACTTCCTCCTGTTTCTTCTCACGGTTAAATATCGGAGACAGCAAATCAGATGAACCTTTTACAATACAATACAAAATACATTTGATATTGAATAATCATTTTTAAGTAATGAGAATGCAAACTTTAGAAATCTTTTGTAAGGTAACAATACCCTGTCTCTATATCTAGGCTTTTCATTATTTGCTACTGAAACCTTGCACTAAAATAATGTATGATATATAATAGTTTGGAGAAATTGGCATTACTGGCTTTCATTTTTTTTTTAAATTTTGGTTAGCTTTTTAAACCAACCACTTAGCTTTCCCGGTGAAGGTACACCACTGTTGACATTTTCTGGGTTATTTCAGGAACAAACTAGCTTCTCTCACCTGGTAGGATAGCACATCTTTCAACGAGCAAGGATACGAGAGGTGGGGGACAACTCTCCACGAGTTCAAAGGAAAATTTAGAAATTGCTCTCTGTTCACTGATGTTTAATACCCAAACAGAGTTAGTATTAGAAATGTCAGGAATCTCTTATCTTAATAAAAAAATAAATATTTAGCATAAAAACATGAAATTTATCTTGGATAATCACTTACTTTTAAACTCCTTTCGTTCAGTTTTCTCAAACATGGGTAATGATGGAAGTGAAGGAAGTGGGGGGAGTTTCTCGTCAAGTTTTTTCAAAGTAATAGGATTAGCAAGTTTCAGTGGCGATGTTGTTGTTGTACTGGACACTGTCGACACTTTACTAGGTCCAGCAACTGGTGCTGAATTTGACGAAGACATTGACGGTGACACAGGAGTGCCAGATGTACAGGTTTTTTCCTTCTTTCTCTTCAAATATTCCTGTAAGCTAACCTGTAAGCAAAATGACATAATCACATAAACAATGTTTATAAACACAATTACATGTAAGATTAAATATTTACGTCCAGCTTAAAAATAGTTTCAGAGATCAGATTAAAATTGAGCACCCAATAGAACTAGAACTGCCACTATCATGGCGTGAATACCCCCGCATACCACTTTGTCAGAATCAACAGTGGCCATTTAGAGCTCAAGGACAACCTCCCTGCCAAATCTGAGGTTACTAAGCCAGTGCATTGCTAAGTTATGTATTCTACATGCTTCAAATGTGAAAATGTCAAAATCAATACATTGCGGACAGGACATTCTTTAGCAATTGAGAAGAAAAGCTTTTTTTTGTCAAGGTCCCTGTGACCTTGACCTTTGACCCAGTGACCTCAAAATCAATAGGGGTCACCTTATAGTCATGATCAACATCCATACCAAATATGAAGACTGTGGGTCAAAGGAATCTTAAGTTAATGGATGGACAAACTTTTTGAAGTCAAAGTCCCTATGACCTTGACCTTTGATCCAGTGACCTCAAAATCAATAGGGGTCATCTACTAATCATGACTAACCTCCATGCCAAATATGACGACTGTAGGTCAAAGGAATCTTAAGTTATTGGGCGGACAAGCTTTTTGAAGTCAAGGCCCCTGTGACCTTGACCTTTGACCTAGTGACCTCAAAATCAATAGGGGGCATCTACTAATCATGACTAACCTCCATGCCAAATATGAAGACTAAGGGTCAAAGGAATCTTAAGTTATTGGGCGGACAAGCTTTTTGAAGTCAAGGCCCCTGTGACCTTGACCTTTGACCTGGTGACCTCACAATCAATAGGGGTCATCTACTAATTATGACTAACCTCCATGCCAAATATGAAGACTAAGGGTCAAAGGAATCTTAAGTTATTGGGCGGACAAGAAAAAACCGACGGACAGCCGGACAGACGGCCAGACGGACGGCCGGACGGACAAGCTGATTCCAGTATACCCCCCTTACAACTTTATTGTGCGGGGGTATAATAACTTTTTAAACTGGGCAAGTATGAAGGCTTGCTCAACTTGGCTAATGGTTTAAGTCTATTAGTATTATTATTGCTAATCAACACTGGAACAGATTAAAATGATTTGCAAGGCTTTTTTTTTCAAAGGTACAGGAAGATGCATGTAAACAGCATGTCAAAGCAGGAAAATAAGGGCCAATCTGTCTAAAGTCATGTATTACATTTATCCTTCTCTATAAAACTTACTAGTTTTATTCCATGGCACAATCATACATTTCAATTTACATTTTGATAGAGAAGTTTTTTTTTCACAAAGATTTAGCAAATTGATTTTGCTCTAGTATTCAAATTTGAAAGAAAATATGCTTCTTATCAATAACAGATGGACATTTCTATTAATTTGTTAAAGATATTACCACATAATCATAGATTACCTTTTTCTTCTCTTTAGGCAATTGTGAAGAATCGTTACTCGTACTTGACATGGGCTCAAGAAACCCAGTGAGAGAATCCTCACTACCTCGTCTTGACTCGTCATACCCAGCACCGATTCCGGTCTCTGAAGCCGATGTTACATCCATAGAATCTGAATCGTACCCCACCATTCCTGGCAAAACTGATGAATTTAATAAGTTACTTGTTCCAACATTTGATACAAACTGTGTTGTAGAATCCACAGTCATATCAGCACTGTAACTGCTATCGCTCAAGAATTTTAGATGGCGATTTGGCATTGGTGCAATGTCAGAAGAACTATTGGATGTAACTGAAAATGGGTCTGTAAAATTAACACTTCCTACAAGATTTCTGTTTGCGTTAGATCCAACATTGTCAATGGCGAAGCTATTGGAAACTTCATTTTCTAAAGATTCATGTGTGTTGTGTACCGTTGGGTGGAGAATGTTGTGATCTGTTGACAAAATATTTGATGAATTTGATGTAACAGCAGATTCTAATAAAAGTGATCCAGAAACACTATTCCTCCTAATTCTAGGTTGATCTGTGCTAGAATCAACTTGTGTCAATCTATCCAATATAGTTCTATTTGTAAAACTACTACTGTCTATTACATTATTAAGTACTAATGGTGGTGATGACAAGGATAAAGATGAAGATGCACATGCTTTATTATCTGAAACACTTGTTACACTAGATGGTCCAGGTAAATTACTCGAGACATTAGACTGTCCAAGTAAATTACTTCTATCCAATGATGCACACACTTTACTATCTGAAACACTAGATGGTCCTGGTACAGTACTTGTGTCTAACACTGTCGAGTTTGTTCGTTCACTATTACAACTATCACACTGAGTGGTGTTCTCAGACATACTTTCCACTTCACTGAGTCGAACATTTGTTTCGGTACTATCTACTTCACTACCTGTTTCTACAGCAACAGTTTGAGATCCACTAGTACCACTGTCACACTCAACATCCTCCTGAACAGATTCTGAACCTTGGCACACGCTGTCACTACTGTCAGGTTCAGAATTAGCACTTTTATCTCTGCGATCACAGACATTCATTTGTTCACTATCAACTGTTCGAGACTCTTCCACTTCCGATGTCACATTTGAGATCTGATTATCCATCACAGAATTACCATGACAGACGTCCGTACCCGTGTCACACTGAACAGAGCAGTCCATTTCTGCACAAGAACTCACGTTCTCCTTACCGTCAACTATTTCACTTTCTACAATGTTTTTATCTGCTGAATTGTCCGGAATTACCTCCATATTGTCATTACTACAGTGAGAAGGTCCTGCTACTTCATTATGCACATCTTCACCACTAGAAACCTCCACCTGACTACATCCAGGCATCGCACTTACTTCACATTTCTGTAAAAATGATTTTTAGGCATTTATTATCATGTTAACATGTACGAGGGTTGATCAATATATTCATGGACACTATTAATAATTTAATAATTGATCAAGATATTATAAAGATTTTTTGCTATTTAAGAGAAGAATGTAATACTATTTATATATATTGTGATTTTTTAAAAACAAATCTCATTTTGTTCATTATATGTATCGCCATAGCAACCCTATACCGTACAACCGCCGCAGCTCAAAAAAAAAGTTATATTTGCCATTTTGAAACACTTAAAACTTGTTCTTATTTTGGCTTTATTCTGTGTTGCCTTCATTTGATACTTCATTGCATAAGAACATTTTCAGTCGGTGGGTACACAGGCATGAATGATGTGTAGAAGTTGGTGAGAAGATGTTACGCAGACGTCACGACGTAACGTAAGTTGCGAATGAGCTGCGGCGATCAGCTTTACATGTATTTCTGAAAACTGTCATTTCGGATAAAATATATGGATTATTTATCTGAAACTTACACATCAAATTGATAAATAATTGAATAAATGTCAAATATAATTATATTAACTTTCCTTCCCCCAAAAAACAATTTATGGAGTGTGTCCACGAATTTATTGATCAACCCTCGTAGATTAAAATTTCTACAGAATATAAATTCATAATGATGAAATCATGAATTACTACTAAAAGCATGTTGTATAAATTAACATAAAAGTTCTATGAACCATAAGCAGGACACAAGAGAAAAAGAAAACCCTTGTTTATACAGAATATACAAGGATGAAGGTAGATCTTGTACTCACAACATATGCAAGCACAACAAAAAAAATATCATTCACAATATATTCCCAACAAAACTTGAATACTTAAATCATGTATAGAGGTATCATTAAGTGATAAGGATAAAACACATCTCAATAACATTACATTAGAAAAACAAGATTTTCATTCTAATTTGTTAAACATCCAACTCATTTTGTACTAAAATATATTTTTCATAATATCAAATTCACAGCTGTTTATTTACCTGCACAGATTTGACCTCTGTGTCAATGTCAGAGGATTTCAGTGGAGAAAACAAGGAGTTGAAACCATTTTTATTCTTAAAGTTCTCAAATGTTTCGCTTAAACTTGCAAAATAACTGGTAGCTGCTTGTGTAACTGGTGTTGGAGTTTGGGCAGGGGAATCGTTTGATTCCCGCGACAATGATTCTCTAGCCAGACGTCGCTTCTTTAAAGGAGTTACAAAATCTGGAATAATATCAAAATATGTATTATAATGACTTCACAAAGTATACAAAACATACTCAAACAAACTCATCAAAATTGATATAAATATGGACAAAATTTAGATTAAAATATTAAAGTAAATGTAAATATGGCACTACTAGAGTTTAAAATGTAATTTTTACTTACCAATAGGTGGAGAACCTCCCGGACTTGGCATTGTCGCTTGCGGATTTGGGCTCATGCCCCCAGATGCTGGGACCGGGGATGACATACCACTACTTTCGTTTGACCCTTCTCCCATTGCTTGTCTCAACCAACGCTGAAAGAATAATTTCATTATTTCAATTTAACCTAAAAGGAACTGAAAACTTATTCTCAGATTTCAAATATATTTTCACAAATGTATAAGTGTGCAATATAGCAAGTCCAATAGTGGCCTTACATGCTTGTCTGTACATCTCATTCAGTATCAGACTTAACTTCTCACAATAATTCTGTTTACTTTTCTCTGAACCCAAGTGTACAATCTATAAAATAAAACTTTCATTACCTTCTTAGCAGATCCAGCACTTGTCTCCACAAGAAGAGAAGATGATCTTTCCCTCACTCCAGCAGAAGCACTGTTTCGTCTAAACCTGTCCATGGAATTGCGTGGACTTGGCAGACATGTAACAAACATATTGTCCTCTTCTACAGCCACCTCTAAAGGTTCAGATTTGGTTGTCTCAAAACTCTTCTCAGTTAACCATTCATTCATTAAATGCTGAAATAAATATTTTAATTTGATAATGATCGATATGCAGAACAAAGGAAGACTAAAGCAAACATAGTACGGGTCACTAACTCATATTTAAAATAGCTGAATGCATAGTTTTCTAGAAATCAAAGAAAAAGCTTGTAGTTTTTAACCATATCAATATCATGAAATCATTTAAATTCATCAAGTAAAAAATATTCATGAAACTCAATCTTAAACATTTGTGCAATATCTTAAGGTAAACAGAGACAAGGTGCCCATGTCACTTTTTTTGCAAAGATAAAAATGTTGTTAAGACTATAGAAAAAGACTTTAAAAAAGCAACAAACAAAAACTAAGATAACTAATTCATTAGCAGTGGAACTCACTCTTTTTGTTTTACGTAAGAGGAAAGATGGAGGTGCTGTAGTGGACTCTAACTGTACCGCTGGTGTGACAGGACAGCTAGCAGCTTGAGGTGGAGCGCTGTTACTGTTCTCCTCATTGGACTCTGATGGTGTTTCTGTACTCAAACTTCCTGCTCCACTCGTGTTTCTAACTCTCCTATAAATGAGATCAGAAGCATGAAATAGTAATTTGCTAGCCATCATAGAGCTGAAATTGTACAGTCAATAGTGCAGTATAGTATCTAATTATGCAAGAATGAGCATTTTCTAAAGTGATGCATTTTCTACAAATGAAACTACCCTGAAAAAAATTTTTATTACAAAAAATATATATGTTCAACATTAATTCCTTTATAATTTGTAATTCCCATTCACATTCGAAGAGAAATAACACTTGAAAAAAGCAAAGAGAAATAAACTCTACATGTATCCTCAAACACAAACACAGATTTAATACAATCAGTGAACACTGATGTAGACTGAAACCACAAGAAATCCAATTATTCAAATACACAAAGAAAAAGAGAAATTCAACACCAATGTTTTTGAAATATTACTTGAAATTATTCCTAACAATAAAGCAAAGGAAATTATTTTGTATACTTAATTAGCATATGATTATTAAAGCTTGGTAACACCTGCATTCCTATTATCAGTTTGTTAATGAAAATTTTCTCAATTTCCTATACATATGTTTTTTCCATAAGCTATGACAACCATACATTTATGTGTATAATTTTGTTTGAAAATAATACACAAGTTAAATGGCCAATAAATATTTTTTATTCATCTTCACACCACCTTGTGCATCTTCACACCACCTAGTGTGCAAAATCCTACACATTTTTCTTTATCACATTGAAAATACACCTAACCATGTTCAAGAACATGAGACATATACAGTGTGCGTCTAATTTACGTCACCATAAAAAAATTATAGTAAATGCAAGAAACCAAAAGAATAAAGTATGCTGCATTTCAGCATGTTTTATTATTTCCAGAATGAACTGCACCAAGATCAACAAGAGCTGTCACAGGAGACAGCGAAGCTCGACTAATAAAATACTGGACGCAGTAAGGAGGACAAAACACTATGAAAGAAAAATCAATTATGTATAATTATGTATTAAGTTATAGTAAAAAAATAACATTTGTTAACATAAATTCCAAGATCAAGGGGAATAATTCTAGAAATAGTCATGCTAGAGTTATGGACCTTGCCACACAACATTTGTGTAATGATAAGAAATATATATTTGAAGTTTGAAGTAGATACCTTAAAAAGTAAAGAAGTTATAATATTTCTTAAAGAAAATCCTAAGTTCAAAGAGAGATAAATCTGTAAATATTGCTTCAAGAGTTATGAACATTGTCACATAAAATGTAATTGATGATAAGGAATAATTATTTGAAGTTAGAGGTAGATACCTTTAAAAATAAAAAAGTTATAATAAAAAATAACATTTTTCTAGTAAAAAAAAACTAAGTTTATGGGGAGATAATTCTTGCAATACTGGTGCTAGAGTTATGAACCTTGTCACATAAGATGTGGATGATGATAACGTAAATATATTTGAAGTATGAAGTTGATCCCTTTAGAAATAAATAAGTAACAGTAAAATATAGTATTTTTTGAGGAAAATTCTAAGTTCAAGGGGAGATCAATCTGAAAATATTGGTGCTAGAGTTATGAACCTTGTCACATAAGATGTGGATGATGATAACGTAAATATATTTGAAGTATGAAGTTGATCCCTTTAGAAATAAATAAGTAACAGTAAAAAATAATATTTTTTATGGAAAATTCTAAGTTCAAAGGGAGATAAATCTGAAAATATTGGTGCTAGAGTTATGAACCTTGTCACATAAGATGGGGATGATGATAACGTAAATATATTTGAAGTATTAGGTTGATCCCTTAAGAAATAAAGAAGAAACAGTAAGAAATAGTATTTTTTGAGGAAAATTCTAAGTTCAAGGGGAGATAAATCTGAAAATATTGGTGCTAGAGTTATGAACCTTGTCACATAAGATGTGGTTGATGATAAGGAACATATATTTGAAGTTTGAAGTTGATACCTTAAGAAATGACAAAGTTATAGTGAAAAATATTTTACTGCACCAAAACTTTAATCTAAAATCTGGACGCGGACGCCGGGGCGAGTAGGACAGCTCTCCATATACTTCGTATAGTCGAGCTAAAAACCATGCAAGAATGTACAATAGTGAAATGAACAACAGATAGGACTGAATGTATATAGGGACAGCTTTTATTACCTTTTCTTAGTAGAATAAGACATAACCCACCTTCTGCCACCTGTTTTCTTTGCCTTCTTCCTGTAATAAACAGAACAAAGACATAATTATTATACAATAATAATATAGCAACAAAATTTATGTATAGTATTACAGACCGATATATTACAATAATTATAATATCACATCATCCAATTCTGTTTTCTCTAAATAATATAAACAACATTTAACATGAAATCTGCACAAAACAAAATCATGCATGAGGGTAACTTTTGTCCTTCAACCAAGGTCCAGTAAATTAACCCATTCCAAATCAATAGTTATCTCCTTATTTCCCCATGGGTAACAAAATTCATTTTATGGCTGTTACAACTTAATTTTTCCTAAATCACTTAATTTCAGAACCATACAATTCCCAAATGCACAGACTCAAACCTATTCCCAAAATGGGTAAATATAACTAATTGTATGCAATTTGACCATCAAAACAGTATGTTCAAATAACTTACGTTTTAGGTGGTGGTGGGGGTCTCTCTCGGAGATTTGGCCTTGTCCTCTCTTCTTCTTTAACTTCCTCAGGTTCCTGTTTTACACCAGTATCCACATCTACTTCCATGTTCTCATGACTTGCCTCAACCTTACACTGGGGCACAGTTACCTTCTCTGGAGTGGCAACACTCACTTCCAGTTCACTGCAGGCCTTTGGTTCTTCCTTCACAACAACTTGTGGCTCCACCTATAACCAGACAAGTAATGAAACAATAGAGACACTGTACTAAGGTAAAAATAACTTTCAAAGTAGCCCTTAGACATACTCAGAACACATAAAGGGATATAATTCCCTGTCTGGATCAATAGTTTTATTAAATGAAATTATAACTCAATGATGATGCCATCACTCAACCTTACAACCTTTATATCTTAACTGCCAATCTGCACTAAAAAACAGACAATATAAAATTGTATTCAACCAAACTGACATGTAAAACATTTGCCATATCAGTGAAACTCATTCTCCCAAATCTGTTGATGAAATGATTCTCATGTAGGATCGCCAATATCACTACACTACCACATACATGTTAAACAGTAACAATGTCATTACTTTTTTTACCACTTTCTCTTTCTTCTTTGGGTTCATTTTTGGTCCTTGTTCTTCTTTCTCTTTCTCCTTGAATGGCTGCTCGGGATCTTTTACCTTTACCGGATCTTGAGGTGTCTTCACTTTACAATGATCCTGACTTGCCTTCCTTGCATTTCTTTTCTCCATTTTCTCAAAAGCTTTCATAATTGCCTCCATCTTTCGCTCTTCCCGAGTCTACAAAACAATGAAACTATTGACCCTGACCATTCTCAAATGGACTTGTCCATCTTTCAATATGGACTAAACCATTCATCAGTTGAAAAGAAAATGTTCATCTTTCAATATAGGGAAAATGTTCATTTTTCAATATGAACAAAACCATTCAACATTTATAGTGAAAATTTCAAACATGTACTGATGAATGTGCTGGCTGATCTTGGTCTGCAATGGTTGGTCACGTGGGTTTTTATTTAATGTTGCCAGCAGGCTAAGATTTGAATGCCATAGCATTGAATTAAATGTTTTGAAAGTTTTAATTTAAACAATGCACCTATTGCTATTATTACACAAGAGTTACTTAATGTCTGAACAATGACAATTTTATATTTTATCTGATTTGAAAGGTATACTTTAAGTATATCAAATATACCAAATATATTGTTATTTTATGTGTAAGACAATTTTTTCATTGTGATTCAGGAAACATTCTATAATAGTAATATAAACTTAATAACATTTCATAGCTTTCAACCTGTACATATTAAGTACCATTGACATAGACTTTAATTTATAAATCAAAACCCCAAAACTCCACTTACAAGCTTTCTTTTTTCTTCTGGTTTCGGTGTATCCGAGTTGTTGACACTGTCCTTATTTGAGTCACTGACAGCTTCTGGTGATGTTAGATGATCAGTCTCAGAAAAACGCATGGACGATGGTTCTGGTACAGTGAGAGACTCATTAACACTGTTGTCATCCGAATTCTGCAGAATTACAATCAATGGAAAATATAATATAAACACACTGTATTACCAAGGTATGACAATTTATAGAAGAAAATAAAGATATTCAAAATACAATTTTCTATCAATTACTTTATACTGACCTGTAGCTATTTCTAATACAGACAATCTGTAAAGTTTGTTTTTGTTATTTCACAATTAAGTAAGAATATATTAAATACTAAATTTTTTATCCTTTAAGCAAGATATTAAATACTAAATATTTTTTTATATCTATATATACTAAGAATTAACAGAAATTTTCATTCAGCATTATGTTAAATACAAAAGAACACTACTCATTAATATTACTTACTTAATTTTCTTTGTAATATTTTTTTTTTTGCAATAATACATAACTTTTTCATACCACAACTGTAAATTTATGTTATTGTTTTTATTAAAGGTAAGGTATAAATGACAATTTCTGTCTTTAACAGAGGTTCAATCTAGAATAAATAATCAAATTCTAAGAATTCTTCAAAAACACACACCTGTGAGGGAACTCTCAGTGATCGTACCCTTCCACTAGAAGCTTGCGTACTTGCATTGCTAGAGTTCTGTCGGGACACCTGCGATCGCCGTACCATCTTTGTGGGGCTTGGCATCTGGGGGCTTACATGAATGGTCTCAGGGGTAGGCGTTGGTGTGGGCGAGCTCACTTCTACCTTCTCCGGAGTCTGTACTGGAGTTTTTACAGGGGACTTTGTAGGAGATTTCACTGGCGTCTTGATAGTTAACTTTGGTATCTTATCATGCTTGTGGAATTTCTTGCTAGGTGAGCTAAAACGAAGAAAATGGTGATTATGTATTGTGTCTTACATCCTATACTAGTCTTGTATCATCATGCAAACATTTAACCATCTATATATGAGCCGTGTCATGACAAAACCAACATAGTTGGTTTGCGACCAGCATGGATCCAGACCAGCCTGTGCATCCCAGTCTGATCAGGATCCATGCTGTTCGCTTACAGACCCTATAACAAGTAAAGAAACTGATAGCGAACAGCATGGATCCTGATCAGACTGCGCAGGCTGGTCTGGATCCATGCTGGTCGCAAACGCAAGTTATGTTGGTTTTGTCATGACACGCCTCATATATAATCATTGTTAACAGCTTTATGTCTTTCAACAATATGACTACAGTCATAATCTGTAACAATAAATCTGCTTTAAGCATCAAATACAATTCTAACATTTCATCATTCTATAAAATGTATCCTTAATTAAATTCAAACATCATTTTAAATCATTATATTATTCTGAAAATAATTAAACACATTTAGATTTCAAGACACATATCAAACTCTTCATGCCAAATTATATTGCAATGAACTTTATAGCTCGAGTGTTGATAACAAAACAGAAAGTGGAGAGCACAGTCTGTCAGCACATCTGTTTTTTTATTCAGAAATAGAGATCTTACCTCCCATTTTGTTGTTGTAACTTCTGGAATCGGAGTCTTCTCTTCTGAAACCTCGAGACCGGACAGTTGTTACGTAAACATGCACATTCTACGCAGTAATTCCTTAAAAGAGAACATTAAAGTGAACAATTTTAACAAGTTTTGTCCTTTTTTTATCTCCCAATATTCTAATACACATACACCTTTTTAATTGGACAAAAAATCCCAATTTCATGATTCAAAATAAAAGATAAATGTTGGAATTAAATTGTGTTCAGTTCAATTTGATTGAATGGCAACGTTTTCCCTAATCATTTGTTCAAAATTGTATTTTTTTGTTTGTTAATTTATTAGAAACTTCTCATCATTTGCTCAAAAAAGGTTGTTTTCCATTCAAACTTTGTTGCATGTTGTAATGTGAAGTCAAGAATATACAACAAGGATAATGTTAATTATGTATGGAGAAATAAGAACATAATAGCATACCATTTTTTATAATCATAATCAAATGGTATAGTGATTTCACACCCCTCAGTTATCTCCTTTGATGCTACAGCAATAAAATGGGCTTGACCTCCTGCTACTACATGGTGAACCTGTAACATATTTACATTTGTTTCATGTAATATACATGTACATCAATGCAACAAATCTAGCTATTTTTCCTTATCGGTCATATTCCCAATAATACAAACAAACTGTTTAGGAAAAAGATACTCTAAAAAAGTTCAATTAAGTTGTTTACAGTGATTTTCTTCTTTTTTTTAGATTTAGTAATTTACAACATTCTTTTGATATGCCTGTCAATCAATGCTTGGCTTTGTTTCAGAGCCGTCAAAACAATGATTAACTAAATGGCAATGCACATAATGGTAGTAACATAAAGCAGATGTTCTTATGGTCACAATCAATGGGTAAATTCACAGTTTCATGCAACAAATCTATCCCTTTATCAATAACAGATTCTACAATTTGTAAACTTGAGAAGCAACTCTTACAAATATGACAAAAACCTACAGAAAATCTATAGATAACAAACAAGAATTATATTAGTTCTTTCACAGCCAGTTTTCAACAGCTCTAAAGTAAATAATTTCCTCATAACTGTTCACAATAAGAGAGGCAACAGGACATCAGAACACTTTGCTTTGAAATTATTCAGAATTATTCAAACACAAACAATTAGTCAGAACTGTTCAAACACAAACAATTGAAACACAAATACTCCAACTAATTCATTCCAATAATCACTATACAGAATACCACCCAATTTTAATGACCCTTATTTTTTTCCGTTTTTTTTTTTCTCCATGATTTAATACTGCAGTCAGTTTAATGAGCTTTTTTTCTTTAGAACATGATCTGATATGAGTAAATGTTCCTTTTTTACACTTCTTCAAACAGACAATGCTGTTTTGCTCAACCTTGACCCCACTTCCCCTAAATTAAAGTTTAAGAAATGAAATTCCCCTAAATTCCCCCTTTTCTCCCAATATTATATTTTAATAATATAATTTCAGCAGTTACAATACCAAATACTAATATTGAACTGCAATCAGTAAAGCCTGGTCAGACTATAGATGTAGATGTGCAGGTGGAGTCCTAGCTCTATACTTCAACTTGTGACACAGGCAGGCCATTACAGTGACTTCATCAAAACAAGAGAGATGACACAACAATAAATATTACTCACAGCAGCATTTGGCTGACATGACCTTCTAATGAACCTTGCATCATTACCATAGTCACTAGCATCTATTACCAGGTCAAGGTCAAACACAGTGCCATAGAAGAACACAAAAGGACTCAATCTGTAAATAGAATTACAATTTATCATTGTCATATTAATAGCACGGTACTTAGTTTAAAAGTCAATGTCATATGAACTAAATGGCTTTTTACGTGCATTATCAATTATATTGCACACTACATGAAATCAATATGTGCTAATATTAAATGGGAATGTTTTTCTTTCTTCTCTTCAAAAGATGAGCCAGGTCAACTGGCAGAATATACTTTTTTTCTTTTTTTTAATGGAGCACCCTAAGCCTAATTATTTAATAAGTCATCATTTGACTGTTGTTGTCACTTCATTTACATTATTACAAAATTTACAAATATTTAGAGTGTATATGTTTAATTGTAGACTTGTTTTGCTTTAACATCACACCACCACTGTAAATGTCATCTATGGCAACTTTCCAGTTTAACTGGTAACACAGAAGACCAAATTTACTCAACACTTCATAAAGAATATGTCAAACAATCAAATCTTGACTTATGTTTCATATCTACCATTTTACATAACAAGTATTTAAATGTCAAGAACTTACTGTCTCTGTCCGAAGTTGTCTTTATCATACTGTTGCCTAGTCATAATCTTACCAATCACTTCTATTACAGGCTGACCATTAGGTATGGAGCAAGATGATTCTAATCCCTGTAATAATATTGTAGTTAATAATATAATGAAACCAAGACAATTTCAACTTTGAAACTTCTTTTTTCTTAACTTTTAAATTCTTAAAAAAACTTTGAAATTCTTTTAAAACATCATCAAATCTATTAATGGATTCAACTTTTGGAGGGCTTTTGTATTAGGTCACAAGGACACTGTCACAGTCAGTGATTTTGTAAATAAATGGATGCCAATGGGAGAATATCCCAGGATGGTGCAGGCCCTGTAAAATAAGAACAATATTCCACAAGCCATTTTCTAAAAATTACATCTTTCATTGCTCCAAAACTGACGACAAATAATGTTTACTCTTTCACCTTTGTCAGACATTTACAAATTCTAGATTGTGGCAGTAAATCTACATAAACGAAAAGTAGATTAACATGTTTTACATGTATTCTTCACTTCTAAGCTAAGATAGCTTGTTAAAACTATTGCCATGACCATCTATAAATACTTTTGCATTATGTAGTCAACTAACCTTTCTCTTGTTTTTCAAGGCCTTGACCCGACAGCGCTGTACCCGCAGCCCGTCAGTCACAAGGTCGGCTATATCATTCTGAAAAACATAAGCATATTTAGAAATAAGTAAAGCACATAATATAAATGGTTGTACCTCCTTTCTGTCGCATGACCTACATTTATAACAAAATAGTTAACATAGGCAACTTAAAATGTGCCCCCCCCCCAAACATTCTTCAGCATTTCATCTTAGCATAAAAATTAATGCAAATATATTAAATCTAAAGCAGTTACCATGAATGCAATATTTTTTTTCATTTATTAACTAATCATCAAAAAATTTACATTGATTTCACTTCAAGCAATACTGAATATTTAACAACATTAAATTTTCATGTAAGAATGTCAAAGGTTTAAAGCTACAATCCCACACACACAGGTTTGACCTTTTTAGAAAACACAAAACAATTAATTAATATCCCAGAAGGATGAAACTTATGATGAATTTATGTTTCATGCTCTAGGAAATAACAGCCCATTAAAATTTTGTCACTTATTATCTTTTCGTTTTAAACTATTGCAGCTATATATATTTTGTACATGTAATAGTTACATTAAGAAAACATATTAAATAACTTACATGGTGACCATTAATACATGTTGAGTTGAGATATTCCTGAACGTACGTAGTATACTGGTTGTAACGAGCAACTTCGTAACTTTGTTCCCATTCACTGAAAATAAAAATCTTATATGAATAACTTTTTAAAGTTTACTTCAAATCTAAAATAATGATAAGGATGCTTAAAAAAGTTTCTCATGCAAGTTTCCACACAGATTTAAAATGTTAACGAAAAAACAACAACAAAAAAACAACACAGCACCTTACACTGTCCTATAATAACATGGCACAAGCTACCTGCCATTTTTACAAACAAGCGTAGAAGTATTGCTTTATTTCTGTATGATAGTTGTTTTTTTCTTAACCTTCATTATTGCCATTTATAGCTTTTTTAACATCACTTTTTTAAAGACTTTTCAATGATTTCCTTAAATGGTGATAACACAAAGTACACATATCATGACATTCAAATATTTCACAATTTTTCTAAGCACATTTATAAATACATACAAATATATAACTTACTTAAATGTGTTCATATCCCATGGGTTCTGTGCATTTTCATCCTGTATTAGTGGTGCCGGGATGGTATTTATTGTGTTTATGATTTTCTCATCCTCCCTAAGGTCGTCACTACTGAACTTGTCTTCTTTCATTTCCTTACTTAACCGCTCAGCTCGCATCTTCTCTATTTTTTTACTCAACTGAAACAAAATTTTGAAATTTACAGTTTTTGTGGTTTCATTTAGATCTGTATAAGCTATCTTCACTAAGGAAGTCCCTATTTTATCATTAAAGAGCCGTAATCTATACTTGTGACTGCTCAATTTTAGGAGTTTCATGTTGAAATCCCTCAACCTTTTAATGAACAGTTTGACAGTCGAGAAAAAGTTCATTTCATTAATTCAGTACAATGAAGCATCTGCTTGTTTCATGTTTGCGTTTTATGACGGTTAGTCCAACTGTTAACAGTTATTTTGTTCACTTTATATAACAAAGGCCGATAAAAGGCCTCTTCCCAACCAAATTTTCTTTAAAATTATGCTGTTTTCCCAAAATATCTTAACTTACACCAGCTCTTTTTCTCCCTATATTAGCAATTTTAGTGATCATTTTTCCCAAAGTATAAAAAGCTATGGCCTCTTCTCAATTGAGAAAAATCAATGGCTGAAGCACAAAAAGCAGCTTTCAGTGTTGAATATGGGCCCTGAACATGTCACTAGTTATGCCCTTATAGGATTAAAACAATATAGTGATAATTTACCTTCATGAAATTTTCACAGAGTATTAACTAAGAGATTAATTTTGAGCCAAAATAAGGTTACTGTACAGCAGTCAATGAGCACCTAAATGTACCAGATCATAGTTTATACCCCCTTTCAACTTACAGAACAATTAAGGCATACAAACCTTTTCTCTTTTTACTTGAGCTGTTCTTGATGAGAAATCTTTCACAAGCAGTTTATTTCTTCTGTTCATTTCACAGCTGGTGTTCTCTTTCTCTGTTTTCATTTCTTTAATTTTAAGCCTCTTTCCAGTTTTAGAGTTACTTCGCTCTTTCCTCTTTTTCAGTTTCATTTTTTGCTTGTTTTTGGATCCAGGCGGGTCAAGGCCATACGCCTTCAACCTATTATTAACTTCTTCCGGATCTGTGTCTGTACTTGAATCATGTGACTTGACTGAAATAGAAACAAATTTTTTAAATATTTATAAACATTTAAATTTCATTTAATTTGTAAAATTAATGCGGTCATGAAGAAGTAACAGAGATTGAAAACTATTACACTCATCTCAAAACTATGAAAAATACTTGTATTTCCTTCTACATAATATGATATATGCTTCAGTTAGAAAAGATGCCAACTAATTTTAATGCAATAATATAAGATAGAAAATCTTTTGTAGATGGGTCCTGTGAAAAAACAAAACTAAAATGCTTATTTTCTATTCAATGGAATTCAAAATGAAACTAAAATTCATCAATCTGACAGGAAAAAGAAATTCATTTTTTTTTTGCAGTTTTACGTCACATCGCCACAGTATTGGTCATATCGTGACGTTCCAGCTTTACTGGTGGAGGAAGACCTCAGGTGTGCCCTTCCGTGCATTATTTCAGGCACGAATGGGCACCTCAGTAGAACCACCGACGTTCCGTAAGCAAGCTGGATAGCTTCCTCACATGAAAGAATCCAAAGTCCCTGTCGGGATTCATACACACAGCGGTGAGGGGCAATAAGTGGTGAAGAAATTAATTCAGGTATACTTACTGACAAGTGATTTAAGGAATTCTCGTTTCCTGATCTGGAATTCTCTAGCCCTGACCCGATCCACAGATCTAGGTCGACAAACCTCACAGAAGTAAACATCCGGTATACTATCTCGGTCCAATCCCATACACACTATATGCTGCCACACACTTCAATGAGAGAAAATATCTATGGTAGCCTATGCTTAATATTATTAAATTATCATTGATAATACATGGTGTATAATCATATAATATAAGTTATTTATATATTATTACCAAAAAAAAAAAAAAAAAAATTTGTCTGGTTAATTTGGTTAATTAAGCCTCAAGTGCAAGGCCTTACATCTGTATTCTTAAACCAAATCTTTACATGTGCATAAAAAAATTATTGTATTAACATTGAAATATGCATGATGTACAGTTGAAGGGCACACTATTCTTTAACCATGACTTCATGAAATTAATCATAGTATTCTTAACTAATGACAACTCTTTATTAAAATAACACAACAAATAAAAACTATGCTGGAAAAAGTGAACATGAAAACCAGAGGACCAATTCAATAACGTTATCTCAGAGGAGGGTATTCATGAAAACATTGTGAAATCAATTGTTTCAGATAAATAAAGAGTTTTTGTTTTTTTTGTTATGAAATATTTCAGCATATAGCCATTCATTAGCACCTGTGATTGCAGGATGATGTATTGATTAGCAAAAGACAAGCCTGTGTTCGCAGTAGGTTTCAGAGCTAATAATAACTTACATAAACATCCAGTAATGTACAGCAAACAAGTGATAGAAATAACATCGGAACAAGAGGCTGACTTGTACAAGGGGACATAACTAATACATAAACGTTTATGTGTATACAATTTAACTTTAGACACAGAAAATGTCTCCAAATTATGTTACAATGTATGGTATTTGAAACATTTCTATTTTTACATTTAATACCTTCAACATTTTTTTGGTTCAATACTATAGTAATAGCAAAGATTCTAAACACTGTCCTCTCTTTCTATATACATGTACATGTTGGTAATATGTGTGAAAAGTGTACTGTTTTCTTTTTTTTTATTCAATTTGTAATGAAAGTTAAGTAGAATTCTGAAACACACTTGACATCAAAAACTGTGCCCAAATGACCTTAATCTGATTTTTGTACAGAAAAAAAGTTTGAATTTCAGGCGTTATTAATATTTTGGTCAAAAGTATTTATTGAAAATACCAGTATGCAATACTTACAAATTGTTACAAATTTTCATTAAGTTTAAATTCTCACAGACTCTTGTCAACCTAGTTAACTCTCACGATAATTCTAGTTGTTGACAATTTCAAAGGCCCAATTAAAATCTGCATAATGCTAGTTGGCAAAATGGAATTTCAGCAACTGGTCAAACAACTCACATAAAATACAATTGGAAATAAAACTGAAGAAAGTTTACCTGCACTTATCACACTGAATCATGTAACCATCATCATGTACAAAGTCACATATACACCGAGTAGGATCATCAACATCTTCATCCTGTAATGGTTCCGGTGTCATTGGAGACACTGTTGGCACAGTGGGAATATCAGACGTGACTACTATCTCCTCCTTAACCTCAACGCTCTCTTTTACCGTTGGTGTGACTATTGGAGGTGTCTGAGGCGGTGTGGGAGGTGGTGGTGCCCCGTAGTTGTGATCCTAAAATAAGTCAAGTCATACTGATCATTCAAACATACAGAGGGAACCATATTTGATTATATCTAACTTGCTTTTCACTTTCATAAATAGATCTTGCCCTCTCCCCATCTGAAACATAACAGCCCACATGTCAACTTGACCCATTTCTAATGATATTAGCATTCATAACTTTCATTCTTGTTATTATCTATCTAAATAATATGACATTACTGAATTATATTCAGTACTAATATTCAGTACAAATTTATACGCATAAAGCGCAATTATTTCTATTGAAAGAATGGACATGTATTATAGTTATAAGAATTTGCAATTTCAATGTCATTTCTGCCTATTTTATACATTTCAGAATTTCTTTTTTTTTCCAGTAAACACCATGAAGAAATTATAAAGACAAAAGGAAGCCTTGAAACAAATATATATTGTATATAATCATTAATGTCCATCAATGTGATAAGTTATTTAAAAATATCCAACCCCAGTGATAGACAATAACAATCAGAACATCACCTTGGCTATTATTTATAATAACCTTGGACTCAATACGGATTGAAAGTAGTACTACCATGTAGTTTTAAATGCAAACAGAAGATGTAATCTTTGAAAATGAATAACGAGGCACTGTTGTTCTGTGTTTTCTTACTATTGTGTTCTAGGTTCTTATCCAAAGTTTGACAGAAAAGGCTGAGCAGTTGCAATTGCATGCATAACTTAAAAAGTATTTCAGGAAAATGTTTAGATAACTTGTGCCAAATTGGAATATTGTTGAATGAACCCTTCTCGATGATGATCACGAATTCACAGGCTAAAATCAATCCAATTATAAGAGAGACAAGGTGGGAAAACCCTAATGCCCTCCCCATTTACTGAAAGTTTACTTTATATCATATTTTGCTGAATAGTTCAAATCAAATTTAGACATTCCCAGTCTTTTTTTTTTCAGCCATTCAAAATCATATTTTCCAAAGTAAAGTCAGCCAATATAGAAGGAAAGCACTGAAAAAGATTGAATAAAATGTATGTACACTGGAGCCTGGTTTGCAAATTTCCAAGTTTCTTCACTTGTTTAACTTGGCATACTGCCCTTGCTTTGCAGATTTTCTTCAAAGATAGAATCGACAACATACTTAGTTCATTTAGCAATCAGTCTTCTCTTAAGCATAATCATAACTCAATTACAGTAGAAAACTCTATAGACTATTAACACCTTGTGAAAACAGTCCATGATTTTCTTTCTAAATTCTTTCAATAGAGAAACTTCTCATTCCAACCAATCTAATTCAATATTTCAGACACCTATAATGCATTTAAGAAAATCCATTGAAACATAACCTTAACGAAATGTCTTTCATTCTATATTAATTCAGCTACATACAAAAATGTGCATTAAAATTCAACAAATGCCGAATACAAACATTGATACCTACTTTTTTTTTCATTAACTCCAGAATTGTCATAATAACATACAAGTTATTTTTCCCAAAATTTAATCCATGTCAGATACACAGATAATCCTTAGGATAAATCCAAATTCCAACACAAAACTAGTTTCCTTGCCTAACAAATAAAAATTAACACTCATCCAAACATTCGCTATATATTATGACCAAAACACAAAATTCTTTTACTTGAACTGTATAACATATAGCCGTAGATCCCGGATTAAAACCATAAGTCTAATCTGTGTATATACTAGTATTGAAAAAACAAGATCTCAATGCTAAATACATATACACAGTTCTTTTCAAATGTCATTTTGTTTTGTATTGATCCGACATATTAGACGTTTCAAAGGTGACCTGTAGCTAGAGCCTCGAGGCGCGAACAACTTGCCAATAACTGATTCATTCATGATAAAGAATTATATTTTGCTTATACAGTATGTTCAGTAAGCGTGAAAACACACAATACAATATAGGATTATACCTATTGTCCACTTAATAACATAAAAGTATTTTGGAACCAACAGTTACATAGAAAAGCATTCCCTATTGAATTTTTTATAGCAAGATACATTGACATTATAGATAACTATGTTATTATAGATTACACAGAAGTCAATATTTAGAGATCTTGCCCCCTGAGGTAACGCTACTACACAAACAGCCACTCAACTTAACCGACATTAAACAGGAAGTTACAAGTAGCAAAATATCCGCTCAGGTTGTGCTCGTCTAAACTTGAGCATGTTTACGAAAATAGCGTAACAGAATACAGTGGGATATATTACAAAGGTTTGTTCATGAGTTAAAGGTGCATCTTATAAGAAAATACTTTTACAAAAAAATTATTTTACTGGGAGCTGTCTAAAAATTAAACAAATCTAACAGCATAATGCAATTTATCAAGTAGCAAAAAAAAACCTGCTTGAGTTTTCATTGCCTGGTAGGAAAACAAAGCCTAGATAATATAGAACTTCAAAAAGGGACATAATTCTATCAAAATTCATGTTACAGTTATGGGCCTTTGACAGTGACCCACTATTATGCTCTCAAATAAGTGTGTAAAGTTTTAATCTGTTTCCTTCAGTAGTTTCAGAGAAACCAACTTGCACACAAAAACTTAACTAAAGTGTGATGCATGGTTATAGTCAAGCTAAAAACCAACAAAAAACTAGACCTATCACTGAAGGTGATTAATACCCCCACCAGCAACTTTGACTTTTTGAAAAAAACGTAGTCTGAAGAAAAATTTGAACACAAACTATCAACTGTGTACAAAGAAATATTTCAATTAATTGTAATCGCAACTGGGGTCTCAAAATAAGCTTGCTATACACCAAGTTTGATAACAATATTTCATTCCTAACTCTAGTTAGTGTCTGGAAACCATTTTTCTATTTTTAGTAACACTGTTAACGGTGACCTTGACCCTAGGGGGTCCAACTGCAATACCAACCCAGGTCTTCATATAAGCTTCCTTTACACCAAATTAGATTACAATATCTCATTCCTAACTCTAGTTATTGTCCGAAAACCATTTTTCTATTTTTCCTTACAGTGACCTTGACCTTGACCCCAGGGGCCCAAATGCAATACCAACCCAGGTTTTCATGTAAGCTTGATATACGCCAAGTTTGATAACAATATCTCATTTCTAACTCTAGTTATTGTCCGGAAACCATTTTTCTATTTTTAGTAACAGTGACCTTGACCTTGACCCTAGAGGGTCCAAATGCAATACCAACCCAGGTCTTCATATAAGCTTGCTATACACCAAGTTTGATTACAGTACCTCATTCCTAAGTCAAGTTATTGTCCGGAAACCATTTTTATATTTTTAGTAATGGTGACCTTGACCTTGACCCCAGGGGGCCCAAATGCAATACCAACCCAGGTCTTCATATAAGCTAGCTATACACCAAGTTTGATAACAATATCTCATTCCTAACTCTAGTTATTGTCCGGAAACCATTTTTCTATTTTTAGTAACGGTGACCTTGACCTTGACCCCAGGGGTTCCAAATGCAATACCAACCGGAGTTTCCAGTTGCTATATACCAAGTTTGATTACAATACCTCATTCCAAACTCTAGTTATCGTCCGGAAACCATGATGTGGACCGACCGACGGACCGACCGACCAACCGACCGACCGACCGACAAGCTGACTCCTATATACCCCCCCTAAACTTCGTTTGTGGGGGTATAATAAGAAAGCATAAGAGGGTATCAATAAGAATATTTGTAGGTAGATAGGTCTTATTTATTAAAAGTCAAGTGCAAAGAATAGTAACTCTGCCTTGCCTAATTCTGGAACTATAACACTTTGAACATTTTCCCCCGTGTCCACAATTACACTGCACAGCATTATCATGCAACATAAGGGGAGGTAACTCATTTACACAAATAATAATAACTCGGTTAAGAAGGAGCATTTACCTATTTTAACAAAATTTTGCTTCCTTGACAAAAGTTGATGTCATTTTGGGGGTCGTTATTCAATATATGTATATATAAACAAAATATGGAAAAAAGCATAGAATGGTTAAGTGTCAAGACTCAAATTATTTCATAAAGCAGTATATGTGAAGAAAATTGTCAAAATTGTACATCTATCCAAATTTAATTGAAATTTCTTTTTTTTCTTCTTCAAATTTTTAATTAAATTCAAATTTACATAGACAGATGTCAAAATATAAATTTAATCAAATTTACATACACTCTAATTTTTCGAAATGTACAATACAATTCAATGCATTGTCTGTAAAAAAATTTAAGTTTAAAAGGGACATCACTCCAAACTTTTGTTTTCAGAATTATCCCCCTTGTCTAACAACAGCACTTGTTATGACAAGCAAGTTTTTAAAGTTTCTGGAATGTTTACAGACTGGGCTATATTAAAGTTTTTGCACATAACAAAAAACAAGAGGGCCATGATGGCCCTGAGGTCGCTCACCTGTATATAGCCCCCCCCCCACCCAACCCCCCCCCTAACGTTGCAGGGCCAATTTAACCCAAGGGCTATTATTTGCACAAACTTGGTAGACACCCATAAGAAGATGTTTCATGCAAAACATCTAAGCTCTAGCTCATTGGTCTTTTTAAAAGAAGATTTTTTTTAAAGTTTTTACTATACACATATAGTTAAAAAACAATGACACCCCTGGGGCCGGGCCAGGGCTTTTATTTGAACAAACTTTGTAGACACTTACTAGAAGATGTTTCATGCTTAATATCTAAACTCTAGCTATTTGGGTTTTTTCAAAGAAGATTTTAAGTTTTTGCTATACACATATAAAGAAAATCAATGACCCCCGGGGCGGGGCCAATTTTGACCCCAGGTCTTTTATTTGAACAAACTTTGTAGACACTCACTAAAAGATGTTTCATGCTTAATATCTTAACTCTAGCTATTTGGGTTTTTTCAAAGAGGATTTTTTAAGTTTTTGCTATACACATAAAAGGAAAATCAATGACCCCCGGGGCGGGGCCAATTTTTCCCCCGGGGCTTTTATTTGAACAAACTTTGTAGACACCTATTAGATCATGTTTGATTCTAAATATCTCAGCCATAGCTTTTTGAGTTCTTTAAAAGAAGATTTTTTAAGTTTTTACTATATGCATATAGGGAAAATCAATGACCCCCTGGGGCGGGGCCAATTTTGACCCCAGGCCTTTTATTTGAACAACTTGGTAGACACTTATTAGAACATGTTTCATGCTAAATATCTTGGCTCTAACTCTTTTGGTTCTTTAAAAGAAGATTTTTTAAGTTTTTTCTATATGCATAAAGGGAAAATCAATGACCCCCTGGGGCGGGGCCAATTTTGACCCCAGGGCTTTTATTTGAACAAACTTGGTAGACACCTATTAGAAAAGGTTTCATGCTCAATATCTTAGCCATAGCTCTTTGAGTTCTTTAAAAGAAGATTTTTAAGTTTTTACTATATGCATATAGGGAAAATCAATGACCCCCCCCGGGCGGGGCCAATTTTGACCCTAGGGCTTTTATTTGAACTAACTTGGTAGACACCTATTAGAACATATTTCATGCTAAATATCTTAGCTCTACCTCTTTGGTTCTTTAAAAGAAGATTTTTTAAGTTTTTACTATATGCATATAGGGAAAATCAATGACCCCCGGGGCGGGGCCAATTTTGACCCCAGGGCTTTTATTTGAACAAACTTGGTAGACACTCACTAGAAGATGTTTCATGCCAAATATCTAAGCTCTAGCTCTTATGGTTTTTTAAAAGAAGATATTTAAAGTTTTTTCTTTCGGTTGCCATGGCAACCAGAGTTCTGCATGGAATTAAATTCTTTGAACAATTTTTAAAGGTGACCACCAAAGGAACATTCCTGTGAAGTTTGGATGAAATTGGCTTAGTGGTTTATGAGGAGATGTCATTTAAAGTAAAAGTTTACGGACGGACGACGAACAGACGACGGACGGACGGACGAAAAGCGATCACAAAAGCTCACCCTGTCACTTTGTGACAGGTGAGCTAAAAACGGCAATCATAATAGCTTGACTTGTTTTGCTAAAAAATATTAATCAAACTACTAATTTGCAATATTTCCATTTATACATTAAAATTATCCACATTTTCCTGCATTTAAACTGAAAATAACTGGTAGCAAGTTTAAGCTGAAGAGTATCTTGTGTCCTTGACATTGTTTGAACAATACTGAATATTATCAGTGTTTTTATTCATTTTTGGGGGAAGGGGGTCGGTGGCCTTTGGAGGGGGAAAATGCAATAGGAGGGGGAATTTTTTTTCTTTACTTATTTTATATAGTTTTCTTAGCGGAAGAAAAGGGGAGCAACTCTTGCAACACAAGTTTAAAATATGTCGCTTTTTCTTAATATACGGATCTAAAATATCGATGTGTCGCATGTTAAACTTGTTGGGACACAGGAAGTAGCTCCCCTTACCTACCAGAGAACGATTTGTAAACAACCTTAGACTTAGTTTAATTTGAATTCTAGTTGAAGTTTTTTTTTAATGAAATAGTATTATCAATTACAAATATGACTGGCCACAGGTGTAAATAATTTGATTTGTTCATAACCCAAGGTATTATAAAATGCCTGGCTTTTGTTCTTGAAAATTGGCATTCATAACTGAACAGTAATATTTATATATGTGTTTTTTGAAAATTATAAACCCTTAAGTTAACTGTGCTGAAACAGTGGTTAAACTTTGCTATCTGATCAGAGTCAGGCCAACCCTCATATCTGTGCAGTCAGGCCTTGCTCTATACAATTGGTTGACAACATTTTTATCTTGATATACCTTAAATCAATAATGGACATATACAAAAAATGAAAGCTGGACAATGCCTCCTACTTCCAATTAAGAAATTCACGGCTTAAAAAAAAGTTTGAATTTCCCATGACCCTTATAAGTATACAACAACCAACAACCCTTTGAATAATTCTCGTTGAGTTTCATGCAAGAAATATCACATAAAAATTTAGCCTGTATTCAGCAAGCAGCTTACCTGGTAGGGGAGACCAAAGCATCCTGGGTAGGTCTGAGGAG